GCGGAAAGAAGGCCGCCACCCAGAAACGCAAGCGGGATCTTACGCTGGATGACATGTATCATGAAGGTGAGAATATCCCAACTCCATTGCACTGCTTAATACCCATACTAATCGATTATAGGCGAGGGTAACTTTGACGACGCCAGCGCCAAACCCTCAGGGACAGCAACACCCGCCGAGGAGCTTATGGACACCCCTTCAGCGACACCTGCAAAGCGCGGTAGGGGCCGTGGTCCTGGAAAAGGCACTTCGAAACGCGCCAAGACTACAAAAGAGCGTCTCCGTCTAATTGACGGCGACGGCGGCCTCGATTAATGCAATGACTGTCAATTACTTCAACTCGGAACCGGCGTTCAATCTCAAAGCTTCTCTTATCTTTCTTTTGTCTTGGTTATTCCCATTCCTCTTTACACCCTTCTTTCCTATTCCTATTTCAAATGGCAGATACATGAACTGCTCTGTATTATCATACAAAACCTTGTCTATCTGGTCGGACATTCCCCGAAGTTGATGGCTGATGGTTGATGATGAGATGTTCTCGATAGACTTGATCCTGGCTTTAGCTTGTGGTTTATGGGTGTGGTCTCGTGAACTGAACTTTCGATTTGTTTTTTTTTTCTCCTATATCTCTTTTTTCCCCTTTTGGCTTTCCTGACTTGTATGTTCAAAAAGGCGCTCATGTTTAGTTTGGTTATGAGTGTCAATGTATTGGTTTGGACTCTTATGGTCTTGCTTTGGATTAGAGTCGTAGGATCACTTTGTAGTGAGGCGTGTGCTTCTGCCGTTATGAGTGCTAATAATACTGATCTAGGGTCAACAGTACTTATATCCAGCTTACCAGCCTCTATAACCCCTCGGATCTAACATGTCCTAATACGAAAGAAGCTAGATGGCTCTTTACAGTATAGACCTTAGCTGATCCCTTCTCCTGAATATAGCCTTCATATCCGAATAAGTCTACTTCTCCTACCATGGAATGCACAGCATTACAATAGAAAAACACCCCAAGAATCGTAATTGCATTCATGCACTATCTCTCACCTCCACTGAGTCGTAGTTTAGTCACATCGGAACTGATATTGGAGCTAGAAGCAGAGGAATGAGGCATGGTTAAAATAACTATCTGTGTAACCCAAGTCCTGCTAAACATGCACTCACCCCCAAAAACCAATGGCGGTGACAGCTCTACGTATGCTATTCTGCGTTTTGTTGAAGAGAGAGAGACTAACAGGACTTAAGGGATGATTTTAGAGTGCTATCTAACTGACTGGAGAGAAAAAGGGAAGACAAGCATTACATTTCTCTCCAAGCTCTAGTAATAAACTGGTCACACAACCACTCCAACAATTCTATGTCCTCCAAGAAGTGTCATTGCTGGTAAATGACTTCGAGGGAGGTGTCCTAGACCAATCTCCTCCTCCCACGCATCCTCTTCTGACTCTTGTTGAACTAGCACCGAAGCCCGTTGGTGCCATGATGAAGTGGGTGGTATCTTCGTCGCACCATTGCTTGGCATTACAGCGTACTCAACTTCGTGTTTGCGTTCTGTTGGCTCCGGGTCTTAGGTGTACGGGTTGCTGGTGGATGCCTCGCGATATGCCTTGATGAGTGCTGCGTCGAGGATTCTCGCTGATGGGGTTGTTGTATGCTGAGCTCAATAAAGTCGTCCTGGACACCACGCCCAGCGAGATTCCTTAAATATCACCACAGTCCCCCCTAGACGATGCCCACTAGAGCAGTGGTGCCTTGGGCATCATCAATAATCCAGTAGATTCTGCCCACTGCTACAGTCCTCATTGACATTAGTGGGTCTCACCCGAGGAAATATTGACCGTGTAAGTTCTCCAAAGTCGACACCACGAGGTTCTGAAAGAGCGCGAGTGGATAGATGTCTGGTAGGTAATGAGTCAAAAATTCTTCCAGCTGGGTCGCTAGCGATGCACGTTTGGTGTTGCATTCGTATCACGTGGGACACTTTGCTTCGTCGAGGGAAAACAGTAAGCCGTTGACCATTGGGAGATCCAAGCCCTTAGAAAATCGAGTACTTTCTCCCCTTCAAGATCGGCCAGGCCAATCTGTATCACTTCGTGAAAGAAATAGTGCACTCCAAGTCGATATTAATCAACTTGGAAGCAGGTATGGCCTTGCGGATTCAACGCTCTTTTGATGCTTGCCGTTATTTCTGTCCTTGGATGTCATTGCTTGGAGCCCGATTTCTTAATCAGAATTCTCCACTCCTTCCTTCTATTTGGTCATAGTCTAGAATGTCTGGCGTCATTCTTTCTTCTTCGCTCTCTCATGGTAACACCAATGAGTATCTGGGGCCCTCAATTCTTGGAGTTGTGCCACCGTCGAGATCCAAGGTAGAGTGGGAGTTGGCGTGAAACCGTAAAGCACAGTGCTGCCTGGTCAAGGTTGAAGGAGAAAGCTCAATCACCTCCTGAAATAGCTTCCGGCATTATGGAGGGTAATCTCGACTCTCTGGACCTCTGAGTTTGACACCCGGCGTTGGGCATAGGGGAAGTCAATTAGGGCGATAATGTAGAAAGTTTCGTTCGCTCTGTCGATAACCCATGTAGCTGGCTGTTCGGGACATTTGGCATTCAAAGGGCAATCCATCACCGCCGGTAATCTCCATGTTGGGTTTACCAGCCGAGAAAGATATCTGGCTCCCCATATTTCGCTAGGCTATCCCGGCTTCCTAGTTGGTTAACATCGACTTGGAATATACCATGCCTTCGCGGAAGGTATTCCAAATTGGCGTGACTGATCTCGAGGGGAGAAAGTACTCGATTGTCCTAGGGCTTGGTTTCGCTGGTCTCGAACAGGATAAGACATTATCCAGGCCCTCTTCCTTTCTGGTTAGGTTGCTTTCCGGTAGCTTTGTTTGAAAGTCATTTGTAGACTTGTTGGTGTGGGTAGGGCCGAAAGCCAGCGAGTCACGAATCAAGATTTCTTCGCCTGGCCATATAGCAGCATATAGACATCCTTCCGCTGTGTGTTACATTCCTTTTGATACCGGTAAAGGCACTTCGAGTTGGCATGGATACCAAAAGATTTCGCAACGCGTGATCCTGCCTTTAGATCATTTGCGGACATAACGTCCAGGGTAACCCGCTCAAAACGTGCCGGGAATAGCTCTAATGTGTGATAGTCCTCATCGCTCTAGGGTGGGAGTTAGCTTAGTATGTACTATCTGAGAATGGGCAGAGTATCTGTCTTACCATGGATTGTATCTCTGCCAAACCGGCATGGTGGGGTGTCTCATCCACTGCAACACAATAATGATCAAGGGTATCATGGTTAATTGAGTGTTATCAAGTAGAGAAAGATGATGATGAAAGATGATGATGAAAGATGATGAAAGATGATATATTAGAAGTGAGAGAAGAGCCAAGGGGAAGTCCACGGGTTGGTCTCATTTTTGAAGCTGATAAAAGGCATGAGTATGGAAAGATCAAGAGTGAGGATTCTTACCTGAGTTTCACCTCACTTTGGAGTGTCTGGGTGAGGAAATTGGGAAAGTCGGGAAGTGGTACTTGGCTGTTAGTACCAGTACTCCTTTGCCGCTTGTCTGGCGTAGGCCTTCTTTCTACCAGGTTATATCAATATAAAAGTTAGTTGGGATTTGATGGCGTAATATAAAGAGGGATGACATCTGAGTACCTGAGAGCTCATTATATGAACGAGAGAGTAATATAGGCTGCTAAGAGGTGGAGCAGAAGATATAATGTCACTTCCAATGAACAAGTGTATCATGGGGTATTATAGAGATAGATAGGAAAGGTAAAGTGATAGAAAGAGAAATGAAAGGAAGGGAAGTGAAAGGAAGAAGTAAGAGAAGCAAATGCAGGTCTAAGAAGCCCGACAATTATCAGACCATGTCTAAACAGATATTTTGATCCCAAATACAACGGGTTGTAATAATCATATGATTCATATCCCTGCTGTTTGCTATCCTGCTTGCTAGTTTACAGCGGTATAAATACCCTGTCCCTTCATATATTTTACAACACAGCTCTCTCACTCCTTCATCTTCTCTGCCTACTCAAAAACTATGAATCCTGAAAGGTAGGAGTGTTAATCTCATTGACTATGAGAGCGAGACTGATAAGAAATCTGTGTTTCCTCAGTCTCCATAGCATCACTTCCAGCCTGCCGATCCTGTCACAGGCCTAGTATAGAACTGACATTTATCATGTCAAGATGAGCAAAACATACAGCTGCCTAACGCCGAAGGGACAGGGAACCAAACTACGAAGAAAGACACATACAACTACGCTCTCGCGATGCCCTTTCTCCACTCTGCATTCGCCCCGATCATACTACTTCATCGGCTTTACATCCAAAGCCTTTTACCCAGACAATGTTCTAGAAAGAGCAGAGGATGAAACTGTCCCACACTCTCCAATTCTACAATTCAAGTTGTTCTTCCTTTCTCCTTTGAGATCTGCCTTAAAATGGATATTTCAAATAATATTGAAATGTAGAAAAGCATATAAGATGTTCATATAGATCCACATAAGTGGAGTGTTGATTGTAATGATCCACTTCAAATTGTAGAGATGGTCGAAGTGTAAGCCCCTAGAATACTGAATTAAATCATTTTAACAAGATAATATATAATATCGTAGCTTGAATGGCCTGCAAATACGGTTGAATTCTCATGTTGTTATATTGGTGCCTTAATGCCTTATTTCAGCCTCCGAATTCGGCCGAGGTAGAAAAATCCTTCAGATGTCAAAATGTCAAATTTCCCTCTGGGAATTGGCAAGTGGCAAAGGCCGGCAAGGAGGCACATCCGGGAAGAAACATCCGTACCTCGGGGTTTGACATGAACCAATCAGAACCCAGTATATGTAAGCTCGCATGAGTCAGCCCCATCTGGGCCGATTGAATTTCCCTTTGGTTCCGTTGGGACAGACTTGTAACTTATATCTCCTTAACTTGACAGGGGGTTTTTTCTTGTCTTCTTTTTGTTACTTTTGGCTCAATTTACCATGGAGGCTCTTTTGCAGCAGTCTCGCACTATGTGCCCTTTCCTTAAGCGCACATCCCCCACTACCCTCCGGACTCTGTCAACCGCTACTCGTCCTAGCACCAGCCCGGGAGGTGGAACTATGTCCAACCTGCAAGTTTTGGGCCGCCGCTGCCCAGTTATGAGCAAGGCTCTGGCTGTTCAGAGCGCCCGTCTGAGTGGCAGCAAGCGTTTCACCTCCCGTGCCGCCGGAGTCGCTGCATTCCAGCCTGCCCGAGTTCCGACTGGTAAGCGGGCATTGCACACCACTGGTGGTCACCCTGCTAGTCTCGCCTCTGGCGGATACGAGAAAACCGAACGGGGTAAGATTGAGTTTGTGAAACTCGGAATTTGACCTGATTCTAATCTGACTACAGGAAACCCTAACTTGCCCAATCCGCTCCGCTCGTCCCTTGCCGCTCACGCCGCCCACCCCGGCCCCGCGGTCCGCGGCCCCCGCCCGGAAGCCCCAACCAACTCAAAGTTCAATTACGATGACTTCTACAATGTGGAACTGGAGAAGAAGCACAAGGACAAGTCCTACCGCTACTTCAACAACATCAACCGTCTCGCCAAGGAGTTCCCTCGGGCCCACACTGCCTCTGCTGAGGAGCGTGTGACTGTCTGGTGCTCGAATGACTACCTTGGCATGGGCCGTAACCCGCAGGTCTTGGATTCCATGCATAAGACTCTGGACACCTATGGAGCCGGTGCAGGTGGCACTCGCAATATCTCGGGTCATAACCAGCATGCTGTCGCCCTGGAGCATACGCTTGCTAAGTTGCACGGCAAGGAGGCCGCATTGGTCTTCAGCTCCTGCTATGTGGCCAATGATGCCACCCTAGCAACATTGGGTAGTAAGATGCCCGATTGTGTCATCCTCTCAGACAGTCTCAACCATGCCTCCATGATTCAGGGTATTCGACACTCTGGCGCGAAGAAGATGGTCTTCAAGCACAATGATATGGAAGACCTTGAAGCCAAATTGGCCTCTTTGCCACTTGGCACCCCCAAGATTATTGCCTTTGAATCCGTCTACAGTATGTGCGGATCAATTGCACCCATTGAAAAGATTTGTGATCTCGCCGACAAATACGGTGCCATCACTTTCTTGGATGAGGTCCATGCCGTAGGCATGTACGGCCCACACGGAGCTGGAGTTGCCGAGCATCTCGATTACGATGCGTACGCATCGCAGGATACAGCTTCCCCGCAAAGCACTAAGGGCACAATCCAGGACCGAATTGACATTATCACCGGTACCTTGGGCAAGGCCTACGGCTGTGTCGGCGGATATATTGCAGGCTCGGCAGCCATGGTGGACACCATCCGCTCCCTTGCTCCCGGTTTCATCTTCACCACTTCCCTCCCACCAGCAACTATGGCTGGTGCCGATGCCGCCATCCAGTACCAGGCCCAGCAACCCCGGGACCGAGTCCTCCAACAACTTCACACCCGTGCAGTCAAGGCCGCCTTCAATGATTTGGATATCCCCGTCATCCCCAATCCCTCACACATCGTCCCCCTCCTAGTCGGTGATGCCGAGCTGGCCAAGCAGGCTTCCGACAAACTCCTCGAGGAGCACGGTATCTACGTGCAGGCCATCAACTACCCCACTGTTCCCCGCGGCGAGGAGCGTCTGCGCATCACCCCCACCCCAGGCCACGTGAAGCCTCTGCGCGAGCACCTCGTGCAGGCCGTCCAGGCCGTCTGGAACGACCTCGGCCTCAAGCGCACCAGCGATTGGAAGAGCCAGGGCGGTTTCGTCGGCGTTGGTGTTGAAGGCGCCGAGGCTGCCAACATGCCCATCTGGGAGGACGCCCAGCTGGGCCTGCAGGCCGGCGAGACCATCGAGGGCGCTGTTGCTCGTGAATTCAACGACGCAGCTGCCCAGGCCACCGTGCCACTGAAGGCTGCTACCCCTCTGACCGAGAAAGCTTACTCGGGAATGAACTCCACCCCCGTTGGTGTGGTTGCCTAGAGCAGACGAGTCCCGTCTATGCTTCGAGGTTTTTGGGGTAATTCTGCCTGCATTATTCCCGTCCATTCTTTTACACATAATATTCGTGCGGACATACCTTAACATATGCATCCGTCTTCAAACATATCACATATTCATGTCATATCTGTCTACTTTCGGTTAGATGATGTAGCCATTTTCCGGGATTTCGGGTCTGATTATTTCGTTGTGGCTAGCAAGGCCAATTCTCGGATATATTGCTTGTATCTATATCGATCCAGTGTCATTTATTGACCTCAGGTGGACTGTGGAATGAACATTGTTGAAGTGGTATTTGGCTCTTGTTGCATTTAATGTAGGCTTGGTTTTCTGTAGTATCCAAGTTTTTAGTAGGAAATGGTCTGTCATTGGACTTTTTCTTGTTGATATTTAGGGCTTTCCAAGGTCGATATATACATTCCCTTTCGGATCTGAACTACCTCTACTCTAGTTGCAAAGGAGCTGTTCCAAAGCATATAACAATTGAAATTGTAATTAAACAAGACACTACATAAAAAAGTAGATGAACAACTGGGTGAATCAATTTATCTCTTGTTGTAGTACTATATATGCGACCACCTTGCAAGGTTATATAAACCCTAACCACCGACAAGTCTACTCAAAATGAAAATCAAATCAAAGAAACAACCAAGTAAATTCCTCTGGCTATGTAACAGTGTCTCATTGATATAGAAACAGATAAAAGTAACAATTTTGTAAACACAACAAGCGCCATATATTCCAAGGCCCAACAACTCAACCCTACTTCCGACCACCACGACTAACCTTAGGGAACTCAACAGGAACACGCAAACGAGCAACACGACGCGCCGCCGCCTCCGCACGTCCACCCTTAATATTCCACTTGGCGAACTCCGTCTCACGAGGCTTATCAATACGACAACCAAGCTCACGGAAGTACTGGTGAATAGTATTGGGATCAAGACGCAAGTCATCACGCAGATCAGAAGGATCCGTCGCAAGCTCATTAGGCGCATTACCACCAAGCGAGCTAGACCCACCATCCCGCGCCGGCTGCGGGGGGATATGCAGCGACAACGCACAGATAGTAGTCTGCAAAAGCGTGAAGTCATTCTTAGACACGAAGCCGCCGCTAGGCGCGAACCGACGACGAACAGCATCAATAACAGACTCCGGAAGCAGATCTGTGGGCTCCGCAGCGCCGGGCTTGGGCTTCGCGATTGCGGCGCCGGTGGTGTTTGAGAGGATGCGACGGAGGTCTTCGCGGGGTGGGAGACGTTTGCTGCCAGGGCCGCCGCCCTTGGCGTTTGCGCCTGCGTTTTTCAGACAGCGGCCGAACTCGATTAGAAGTTGGATGAAGCGGAGGACTTGGAGGTGGGTTGTGTTGTCGGAGTTGACTACTGCGCCGACGCGGTTGGAGACGTAGCGGGAGACGGTTGTCACGCCCAGACCGGCTTGCACTTGGGTTTTCCATTCGTCCACGCCGTTGAGTTGGCTGAGCGTTGTGTGGCTGCCTGGGACGAGGGTCTCGATTGTGTAGACGTCGGATGGGTGCGAGACGGCGAGGTTGGGTGTTGGGAGGGGCTTCGCGGCTTGCACTTCGGCTTGCATGGCTAGGGCCTTGGCTAGGCCGGAGGCTGTGTCGGTGGGCATCGAGGAGATGAGGGCTGCGCCGGCTGTGGGGACGGCGCCGGCGGGGGCGTTGGAGAGCTGGGCGTTCTCGGCCATGGATTGTACGGCCTTGCGGGATTGTTTGGTGCCGAAGGTGTTGGTTAGGGCTGTGCGTTGGGCGCGCATGGTGTTCTGGTGATGGTTGTTAGTTGGGGGGTTATGTATGGAATTGATGGGAGCATGTACCATCTCGTCTTCTGAGTCTTCCTCGACCTTGCGGCTTCTCACTGCTCCTCGCAGGGTGGCTCGTCGCACCTCCACAACCTTCCATGTCTTGCTTTCTGGGTCGATGACTGCGACGTAGTGCTTCAATTGCGAGTCGGTGTCGTCTCCTGCGCCTTCACGGCCGACAAAGTCCAGCTTGGCGTGGTCCGAGGACTGGAGGAGCAACTCCGAAGAGACAATGCCCGGGTTTCGAGTCAATGCCGCAGACTTGAAGACATTGGCGCGGCTTTTGATATATGGGTCCCAGCGGAGGGATTTCGAGCTTTGGAGACCGGGAGTGTCGGCTATAATGCAAAAACTCGATTAGAGATGTTTTACAGCCTGGAGAAGAGCCTTCAACTCACCAATTACCGGTGCCAGCTCGCTTTTATCTTCAACCACGCTGGCGGCCAGCGGGGGCAGCTGGTGCAGCGCAGGTTTTTTGCTTGGACGGTCATTGTCTGCTGAGCGCTTGCGCTTCTGATCTGTTTTATTGGACGGCATTATGGCGTTAGAGAGGAGAGACAAAAGATTGTAGCTCTCCAGAATCGGCTTTAGCGCGGTGAAATAAAATGTCTGGACTTGTCTGGCAGAAAATTTTACGAGCGAAGACCAGGCAGGCGGTGAGTACACGGGCTTTCCACACAAAGGAATATTGACGTACATTGAACGTCAAGTTGATCTTCATGGATATACAGCTACAAAAACAAATGCTCATGTGGAAGTTGTGCTCCGCGTTACAGGTTTACAATTACAATGAACAAAAAATGTTGCACTCATCAAGTCATCGATTCATCTGCAGTAGCTAAACCAAGACCTCCGAGTTATTCCATGGATTTTTGATAAACTCCCGGAAAAAACCTCTCCACAACTTTTGACCAGCCCGAAGGAAGGCCGTAAAGATAATGAGATTGACCAGTCACCCCAATGCCGTGCTCAAAGACCGATAGTTTGCACCGGTCCTCCAACATCCACCTAAACACAGGAGCCCCTCCGAATAATAACCATGCATGACATCAGATCGTGGACGTGAATGAATCCGAGGTGTTGGAATGTGGGTAGACTGTTGTTGTAAACAGCGGATTCCGCCATGCGATCTGCGACTTCTTCTAATGATAGGTCGGAAATCTTGTCCGTGCAGGTAATTCGTTGGAATGAGGGGCGTGTCACGAAGAAACGAAAGTTGTAACGTCGCGTCGTCAATTGTCGTGTTCAGCGTTTAAACTTGAGCTCGGACAAGGAGAGCTGAGATGGAGGGGGCGAGTAGTTTATTTGCTAAAGTGGAAATTAGTATTTCCGTTCATTGAAAACCCAATGGCCTTTCGCAAGACCATTGGCGCACAATGGAATGACTTACGATCTGGCACGCATCTTTCTGCGCTTGCGCTTGAGACGGCGAGTGCGCTTCTTTCTCCACTTAGCTCTCATCTTCAAACTGTTGACTAGTTAGTGCATTGCTCTCGAGAATAATATAGGCTTCCGGGAAGCTACTCACGATTTCGAGGATGAAACAGAGATAGTAGAAAGAAAGATGAAGTGGGCGGGTCCGAGACGCATTTAGGTACGGTGCGGCTGACTCAGCCGCCCTCGCTTAGGCCCCACACGTGACAGCCCAAGCTTCCATCTGTGACGACACATGACCATGCCTGATTAGGAAATTCGGTAGGGTTTCACTCGATAGAGCTGTTGCAAACTATTTGAAAATAATTTTTGTAAAATAGTAGTGGAGATTCTAGGGTATTGACGTTCAATTGAACATCCATGAGAGCAATGTTATTACTATTTTATTGATAGCATATCATGCATCATATAGCTTCAAGTAAAAAAAAACAGTGAGCTTTTGATGCCAATGTTTCGGTTGGGTATAGCCAGCCATATATTCATTAAATATACCAAAAGCTTCATCACTCATATAGTTTCGCAAAATCCGCAAGATGAGGTCCACAAAAGTAAAATGAGAAAAGGTCCATCAGGTTTTCAGTACGTGTACCGATATGTGGGCGCCAAATCGCCGAGATATTCCTCTTCCTCTTCAGGAATCTCAGCAGGATCAACAGCGGCGCGTTCGCGCTTCTTGTTCTCAAACCATAGAGCTGCCATGTATGTCGTGCATGCAAGAGCGGACAGGCAAATGAACGAGAGGCAGATGATATACCCGGTTCGGAAATCCGTGACGCCATTCTTTACGACGAAAGAGTAAGTAGCGATGATTCCACCGATGTTACCGAAGCCAATCTGCCATGCTGTGCCCACGCTGCGTCGATGATGACCACCCAAATTCATGGCGAACCAGCATACAATGACAGGCATGGCGCTGTAACAGCCACTGGTGAGTAGGAAAAGAGCAGCATATTGCGCACTGTTATTTGTATGGATTGTCATGAGCATGATGAATGCGACAATAGCAATCGCCATTGGAATCAAAGTGAAAACGAATCGGTGTCGCAGTCGGTCAGAGCAGAAAGCGACGACCATCGAGAAGCCGAATGCTGCAGCCCAGGGAGGAATGGAGTACAGCTGGGTTTTGATCGGACTATAACCATAGGACTGGATAATAGATGGCGCGAAGTATGCGTATCCTGTATGAAAGTGAGCGATAACTCAGAGGAAGAAGGAAGCGATATACGTACCATAAGCCGGGACAATCAAGCCGAAGTACATGAAGCCTCCAATAAAGATCTTGTCTGGGGAAAGTCAGCGCGCTGCAAATGAATGCAAGAGGATCCGCCGAGTTATACTTACAGTCCTTGAAGACACCTAGAACCTCGCGCTTGCCCATGTGAATGTTGTGAGCAGCCTTACCGACATCCTTGGCCAGCTTGGCGCGCATGTATGTGCGCTCTTCCTCATTCAGCCACTTCACATCTTCGGGGAAATCGGCAATGAAGAAGAAAAGGATGATCGCGACCACACTGGTCAAAACGCCCTCGAGAATGAACACCCAGCGCCATCCACTGTAGCCGCACATGCCATCCATCTTTGCAATTCCGCTGGCAAGTAGACCACCGAAGGCGCCGGCGAGGGAAGTGGAGCTGAAGAAGAAACTGAAACGCTTTTGAGCTTCAGAGCGTGTGTACCACATGCCCAATAAATAGAAACCTAGCGATCGCAATTAACACCTGGTTTAGACATTGTTGTTGGTATTTGTACTTACATCCAGGGAACATGCCTGTCTCAAAGACACCCAAAAAGAACCGAGTGGCCATCAGTCCTGACCAGTTCTGTACCAGACCCTGGAAGAGCAAGACCAAGCCAAACATGAACATGCATCCCGATACTAAATTCAAATTAACAAGCCGCTCTTACTAAAATTGCGCTGGATCGCACGGATCGCAAAGGGACCAAAACACTTACGCCAGACATGGGGCTTCAACTTCTTGAGCAACACGTTGGACGGAATCTCGAAGATGATATAGGGCACGAAGAAAATCGTGAGGGCGGTGTTGTATTTTGTTCCATCGACGATATTCAAATCCTCCTTTAATCCGAGAATAGCAGCATTGCTAATATTAACTCTGCAGGCTGATGTCAGATACAATTAATGCTTGGTCACGCGCCACAATTGCTTACCGATCCAAAAATGCAAGCAAATACAAAATACATAAACAGGGTAGGATGTGCCAGTCGACCTTGGCCTGTAGCATGCGCGCGGTGGTAGTTGTGAGAGGAGGCAGATCAATTTCTGTGGAACCAATTTGACTTTCGCCTCTGTCAATGGCTTCAAGTTCTTTTTTTTCTTGTGGTTCTGCGGAAGAGTACGGTCAGCATAAGCTTATGACAACAATGCGCTGGCGGAAGCTCGGTACACCCTAAAAAGGACGAAAGGGGGAAATCCGGGGTAGAGATATAGGTGTAACATACCTGAGACACCCATGATGAGATGCAAATTCCCAGAATCCTATACTTGGAAAGACTATACAAAGAAAAAAAAAGGAAAGGAAGGGGAGAAGGATTGGCTTTTTGGGGTCGGATTGTCAGGCGCAACTCGCCGATGCAGGGGTGCTACCCCAGATGTCGAGGCCCGATTTCGGCCAATAGGCCGATATGCATTCCGCACTACTAATCTTTTTAGTTTTTTTTTTTTTTTTACTCTTATTGTTTATTTATGATCGACATGGATATGCGGAATTTACTGTCCCGAATCTTATTTTCCTTTTACTTTATACTTCATATTCCATACTTATAGGTTCTCCCTATTTTGTACATCCAAATATTCCCCGCAAACTTCTGAAAATGACTCAGGGTCCGTCGGGCCGACTAAAAATCCACTTTTGCTGACTTGGCAGTGCGGGGACATATCACCCGAGGTTGGATAATCTTATTACTCCTGAATTGTTAACCTGAATTTAATCTATTTCCTTCCCGATTTACGGAGAACTCCGACTATATCTTTAACATCTATATAACTACTTAGTCGACTGACTCTACATTATCCTCCCGTGGCCAATATTCCCACCCTTTGACCAACCACACCAGGAGACTGGGCAACTGGAAACCCATAGCAGCGCCTACTCCGTGCACCCTTAATCTTCCTAATTGTCTTTCCAATTGGCAGAAGCTGGGTCTCACGTGTATCCTCCTGAACATACGACCCGCGCCGGCGCCACTTTCACCCTTCCCCTCAACAATACGGAGTAAACAGATCCCGTTTAATATTCGCACAAAAGGGGCATCGTATTCAATATATTATGCATCGTCGAATGCACGTGCGATCGCGCATTACGAACCGCATAGACTCGCTCGCCAGCATTATCCACACGTAGGGTAGATATGTTAGTTTCTACCCAGCCACTAGGCCGTTAACAGGCACTCGTGAATAAAGCTGGTATTAGGCGCTATGCCGGTAGCTGGGTCATAAAGATCGGCTTCAAGGGATTTGCCATCTTTCCGTAGTCACTGTCATATTGCTCGTTAGAGAACTCTTCCTTTACTGCTCCAGCTAGTGAGACAGTTACAACGCATGAACCCTTGAAGACCATCACGCCGACCTCCAATTACCCTGATTGTGTTAATTTATATCTCATATCATGACCTTACCATTAGATGTATGATGATCTACGATATGAACTTGCCAACGTTGAAAACAATCTATAAAATCTTGGGATAACCCGAATTTCCTCAATCCGGAGATCGAAATAGGGCATATAGGCCGAAAATGTCGCGAATGGATGGTGGAGGACAGTAATTTAGGAACTATAGGCTCTTTAATAGTTACATAGTAGCTCCGGGAGTTCTAAGGTTCTCTCTTTGATGTAAAAGGCACACTAGAAAAATACAAAGATCGAGCAAGTGAATGCGGAACTCTGGGATCGATATTGGAGGTCAAATTCCCATTGATACAAATTAATAGTGTCCAATGGTTGCAAAAAGGCCACCAAAATAAAAGATATGGCTATGCTGGAGCCAATTGGTTGTAACTGTCTTTGTGAACTCATCCGCTACTACTTCAATGTTCTTACGGCCTACAAAATTTTCTTTCACGTCCACAAGATCTCTACCCGACTCAAAAGTGAGATAGCCCCCCTTTACCATTATCAATGCAAGATGTGGACTATTGAATCCCAACCGGGCTATCCTTGTATAGCGTTGGAGGATCGACCCGAAGTGGGTCACTGTCAAACAAAGAACCAGACCGTGATAATGTGGGTTTGTAGATCTTGAAGATAATTGGAGGAAATCTCTAGGCTTCAATCCTAGAATCATGTCAAAGACTGCATGAAACCTAGGGGCTTGGTCGGATACTCAATACTTGGCCTTATTTGTTTGCTATTCTCTGTGCTCTATCTGTCCCTTCTGTATTTCCTTTCTCCTTTGCCATATTCCATACTTGTCACTTCAAGCATCTCTTTACGCTATATCTACATGTCATTGATTCGATGAGTTGACAGTGATTCCAATCTTTCTTAAATCAGAATCCAACTCGCCGTTTCTTCTTTGTGGCTCCCCTTTTCTCTACCACGATGAGCCCTAGAAGAATCATTGTTCAAATATCTAAGCGTCTATTTACTCGCCGTGTATTTTGTATAACGTTTATTATCTTCATATGGTTTCTCATATATCATCTTCCAGCTCCTCCTCCCACCAAGAACAATGACCGCGCAGACCGACCACCCCCAGAGCATCATGTATCGGACACGGCCCGATTTCTCTATCGCTCTCCCTTCCGAGAGAATCCCGCTATTGAATATGAAAAACAGCTCTCACGCGCTCTGCAGAGAATCGAAAAGGTCGTATTGGCACGAAACCAGCAAAACAACATAGCGGAACATAGAATCTGGCAGATAGCGAAAGACGAAAAGCACCGAGGCGACGACTCGATAATATTCCAACATAAAAACAAGGAGTGGGCATACACTGTGAGTATCTAGACCTGATACAACTACCCAAGCTACATGACTTCCACTAACAACCAAAAAGTTAGTCAATGATAACAAGGCCATCGAGTTCGTAACCAACGAGCTATCCGCCATCTCTGAAATCGCAACAACATACAAATCCTACCCTCACAATGTCCTCCGAGCAGACCTCCTCAGATATCTCCTCCTCTGGTACTACGGAGGCTTCTACGCAGATATCGACGTCTTCCCCGCCCGAACCATCAAGACCTGCCCAGCACTAGAGTCCTTCTTCGCACCCAGACCCGACGAATACAACGAATACACCTATCCGGACATATCACTCGTTGTCGGCATTGAAGTCGACGAGCCGTACGCTTCACCCCAATTTATGCACGACTGGCACTGGACAAGGAGCTACGGACTGATCCAGTATACCATGTATGCACCGCGACGGTTCAGCCCGCTTCTGCGTGAGACTATTGTGCGCGTCTTGTCACATACCATGCAATACAATAGCCATCATAAAGGCTTCTTCCCTAGTCTGGCGTATGGTGAGAAGGATATACTGGGAATTACGGGGCCTGATGTATTTACGGATGCTGTTCTCGATACGCTTTCGTCCTCGCTTCCTGAGACGCATCCGTTCGTTGAACAGTCTGTCGATGCAGATGTGGATATAGGGGATCTTGTTGATACAGAGACGGGAGAATTGCGGAAACGTGTGACGTGGGCCCCGTTTCATAGACTCCGTGAGACTGTTTGCATTCAGGCTGATGAGGCGGTGCCGAATGAATCTATGGGGGGACTGTGCGTTTTGCCAATTAGTGTTTGGGGGAATGGGCAGAGACATAGTGAGGCGGGAGGGTTTAATCATGCTAATGCGTGTGTCAATCATCGGTTTGGGAGGACGTGGAAGAAGGGGTGGTGGGAATATATATTTGGCTAATGGTTCCGTTATTTGAGGTAGCTTTTAAGATTGAACATAGATGATATGGACCGGATGAGAAAATTTCTTTTTCTTGGGATAAATTCATATGCATTTGTTTGAATTTACTCAAGGGCAGTAGCTGAGAGTATGAACTATGAAACAGTCTAGAATGAGTGTATTGGAAGGTGACTCCTATCGAAAGGGAGAAGATGAAAGGACAGTAAGTGCCCTCTACTACCACGAGATAATCCATAAGCTTATCAAGAGCCGAAATACTAGATTTGTCAAATTCGGGCTTTGATCCTCATTAAGCAATCATTTATAGCACTGGCAACCTTCCTTCTCGGGGTTCTGGCAACGGGCCTGGTTGACAGAACAACCCCCACAGAATCCACACGTATCAGGAGGATAGCAGTTCCCTTCTCCTACAACACAGCTCCCATGATGGCCCACACACTTAGTGCAGGCATTGGTGTCTCGGCCCTCAAGATCTCGGGCCTATAATGAACATGTTAGAAATTACCGTTCCTGGCAGTGAGAGTTAATTGGTAATTTACCTGGACCATGCTTTGCTGTACGGAGTTAGTTGCGGTGTATGGATGGTTCAAAGGGTCAATTACTCACTGGTTCTCCGATGATAGTATCCTCGCCAAATTGGTACGTTTGGAGCTCGACGCCATTTGCGGCGAAAATGCCATTTTGCGCGGCTGATGCCTTGGCAATAAGAAGAGCGAGGACTGCGGTGCCTTTGAGGAACAGTTTCATTTTGGAAAGTATTTGATGGTCCAGTATTGAAGCTATTGGGGGGCGGTTTCTTCGATGAAGTATGAATTGAGATTAAACTTATACGACTGAGGTTGATGACAAGTGGGGTTCTTATATCATGAAGTTATATATTGTAGTAAGTATGAATAATATGTTTGCTACCCTCTGGCGGTAAAGTGAAAATGCAATACTTCAGCTTAAAGACTAGGAATGCAATCCTTCTGATGCATTGGCAATGCAGCCGAATTGCCATTTGTACCTACTAGTAGACATAAGAGCCTCAAATTTTGAAGTGGGCGGATTGGTATATTAGGATCATCGACTTGTAAGACAAACTTAGTAGTCGGTAAGCCTTTTGCTTTTTCCGAGTAGAATACATCGTGTTTCATTGGCCATGCTTTTCCTGGCCCTCTGGCTGCTTTCTATTATATTTGACTAACGAATGTCGGTTTATCCTAAACCTGAGCCCGAATTGCAATTGGGCTAGGTCTTGTGATGTAAGTTCCCGTTAACCTTGGAACCCCCCCGGGGCCATTTGAATGGCTGACATTTGATTTCTAGTCAAATATTTACAACACTCGAATAGCGAGTAGATAATATCAGGATTCAATACCCATTACCAGCAACCTATTATAGAAGATTCGAAAGAATAGCCTACCCTATATATCCACAATCGGGCAAGCTGTCTACGGCCATTCTGATGATTACAGGCTGTTGCCTATTACGAAAGATCGGCAAAAAAAAGCAACGGACCTGAGCTCTACGGCTGAGGATCTGACCCGAGACCCCGAATTGCATATCATAGCGCTTGAACGCGGAGTCCAACAGGAAGCTAGCCTCAAGATTGGCCATGTGTCGACCGTGACACATCCAACGGACGCCTGCATATGTATCGCAGTGCGTGAATTATGTACGGAGTACTCCGTAAACAACTGTGTATTCCTTATGAAATTGGCCAAGAGCTGAAAAGTTGCCGAGATTGACCTGCCATTGCAGGATCATGACTACGGACCATAGATACGGGGTAATAAAGTTATACAAATTTGAGTAGAGAAGGGGTAATAGAATTATGTAGCACCCAAATAAAGAGCAGCAATATGTACCTATATAGAGAGGATAATCTGGGCTGCTATCGTTTCATGAGATTTCGATTTACATATTGTTCTTGGCTTATGCGGCTCTAGATACGTATTATAATCGCCCTGGGGCATTTTCTAAATGGGACGAAATGCTAAAAGAACAGAGATAGAAAGGGAGTCTTGTCCACTTAGTTTGGGGATAATTTGCGAAGGCCTTCCGAGTGGATAGCATGCCGTAGGACTTCAAGCATTATGATATTATTCAATTATGTTCATTTCATCATAAGAAAGATTGGGATCAAGGTCACCAATGCCGTACCACCCGCAAAGATCATCAATGAAAGCCAAGGATGGCAATGCATCCATGTTGTCGCTCGATACCTCAAATTCCGACCCCACACTTCCCTGTCCTTCGCCACCAGATAAATCTGGCACATCACTTGACCTGGTTCCGCTGTCACTTGTAGATTTAGATCCAAGCCCCAGGATATGATTGGCAATTGTTTGGATCTCCCGCACGTTTCTCGCTGTTCTTGGCCAAATCTCTCCCAATGCCTTTAGACACCCAATGGTCATTCGGATCTGCCCTCTGGCAATTGTTAATTCTGTTCCCGCCAGTCGAAACGTACATGCAGCAATCAATGCCAGGGTTCCTTCGCTAGCCATACAGGTAGAGAATGGGGTGTGGTGAAAACGTTGGGCCGTTAACGCTAGAAGCCCAATCTGTGCTTCGGCGGACCGGAGGACTCGGATTGTGTGCACGTTCACAAGATCCGGTGTTTGAGTGTCAAGGGGCGGTTCGCGGGCACAGCTCGAGATACCCTCTGCGCGGCTGAATTTGAGATCTGAGAGCGGCCGGTGTAAGCCGATGGTGGCACTAGAAGCTAGCCGTCAGTGCATCCCTTCGGTGTGTAGAAGAAGGATATATTAGCACTCACACATGTATGAGCATGTGTGCCTGAAACATCAACTCATCAATTTCCCCAGCCTTGCTCATAACTTGCTTTTGTGTCTTGGGTAATAGGAGTAGCCACCCCGTCAGGGCCGAGTCCGCTGCTTGAATCATTCGTAGCGAGTCATCTTTGTTGGCAGCCTTTGGTACTGTGGATATTGCCAAGGCTGTACATCGCACAGCACCGATCAAATATGCAAATGATGAGAATACGGTCTCGTCGAGGGAAAATTCACGACTGTCAAACTCGTCCAGGGTTTTAGGCTCTGGAATATCCTGTAATGGGTTAGTTATTCACTGTGTCCTCAGAAAAATACGGTCTGCACATACTCCAGACTCATATTCCCACTCTTCGCAGGGCAAATCGACTGTAGACTCAATAGCGAAGGTCTTAAAATTCATAGCCCCCAAAGTCCCCGCATAATATGCATCCACAATATATAGCATCCACCACGTCCGCCTCCAGCATTCCTGCAAAACGGGATCACCGGCTTCATGTTTCGACGCAAATTCCTGGTCAAATAATCTACACTCAGTGGCTAGCCAGATCGCAGCGTCCACTTGTGATTTGGCGTCTGCTTTGCGTTCATACCAAAATAGTGCTATGGAATATAGAAGTCGGCACTGGACCATAGCAGGGTCTGTTGGGGATATTTGCGAGAAGGTGGCCTTTATGTGATCCTCTAGCGCGATTGACCATCCTCGTGCGTTATAGATATGCCCAATAAGGCGCATGACTGCGATGAGCGGCCTAAATGTGGACTGTCTGCTCGGATCTTGATATAGTCGCGTGAAGTGTTTCCGCGGCAGTAGAAAGGGATGAAATTTGTGAAAGTTGGTATAGTAAGCATCGATCAATGAGTCTTTCTGAATATCGTGGATATCAAGTAGAAACTCTGGTGACGATGTCACGCCTGTAGTCTCATCACCCGTGTCAAAATGTTGGAGCTGGCTGAAGCTATCAGGAAGCTCCCCAGCAACTTCTGGACAAATCTGACCATCCGCCGATCGTTGCGGACTTGGCTTAGCTACTGGCACTGCATTCTCTGCCGTAGCAAACTTTTTGCGCCGTTCTTCCAGAGCTACGCGACTTAGCCCACCTCGGCGTGAGCGAGCATACTGGCATGGTTGATGAAGCTCAACGCAGCGGCTGCAGGATGGTTGTTTGCCGTCGCATTTCACGTGGCGCGATCGACATGGCAAGCACGCCAACGACGAGCGTGTCGCTTTGCTGTAAATTGGACTGGTCGTAGACTCCATGTGGGATGAGAATATCAGAAAGACAGTTCGAATAGCCAGGCAGGAAGTGCGGGTACTCGGGTACTCGGGAACTCGCACGGACCATTATCCTATTGCCCGCCATAGTAAATCTTGACCGCCTAACTAATCGGATCTTCATTATCTGTTACTGTAGAATCAGAATGTAAAAGTTTGGAGAATGTGACTTGGAATAGAGAAATTGAGTTAAGAATTATACAACGGAATTGAATTTTAGATATGTAAATTACATAGTGTTGGTGTATTCGAATGTATTAAGCACAGTATTACAGGGATATGCGGCTCTTTCCCCGATTGCCCACATCCCCACCCTCGTGCCCACCTGCACTACCATTGGCTCATAGCATTTTCAGATCTCGAATCTATAACCGTGCAGAGCGTAAAATCTGTACTTTATATCCATGTTCATTACAAAATCACTTCCTAATATGACTGTTTCCTTCACTTTGAGCTTCCAACATGTCGTGCAAGATTACGTGGCTCAGAGCCTTACTTCTAATAGGGCAGATAACAATCATGAACCCGGGGAGAAAGGCTAAACAAGAATTTCCAAGGGCAACCTGAGATTTCGGAACAGAATATCCATTACAAATTACGCTACTATGTACGGGGTTAGGATAATTGAAATAAATCCAGGATATTGCACGAGGCTCACCATTTTTCAGGTAGCCGGGTATCCATAACACCTTCATACGGATCGCCCGTGGATACACATAGGCATTCTTCGGGGAACCAAAATAATTACCGCACCTGACAGAAGACGTTTATTTCCATAGTGTTCCGAATATGCATATAAAAGAGCATGAACCGGCCTTGCTCACCATCTCATATCGCTCATACACATCGACCACATACACAACAAGCAGCGAAGCCTCGTGCAAAAGTCAGAAGAAATGTCACACAAGATAGTCATCATTGGTGCTGGGTTTGCCGGAGTATGGAGCGCACTCTCAGCCAAGCGTCTACTCAAACTCGCAAACAAAGAGAACGAGATCGAGGTTGTCGTCATCGCTCCTGAGCCCATCTTAGTGATGCGTCCTCGGCTCTATGAATCCAATGCTTCTACTTTGGTTCATCCTCTCGAGACACTCTTCAGAGAAGCACACATCAAGTTCATACCTGGTATCGCCGAGGCCATCCTTACCGAAAAGCACACTGTCCATGTCAAATCTGCCTCAGGTATCGAAACAACCGTCGACTACGACCGCCTCATTCTCGCCGCCGGTAGCTCCGTCAACCACCCCGAAGGCGTTATAGGTCTTGAGAAATATGCTTTCGATATCGATTCTCTCGACGGTGCCGTCAAACTGGAAGCACACCTCAAGGAGCTTGGCGAATTCCCCGCGAGCCCTGGTCGCAATACCGTGGTCGTGTGCGGCGCTGGATTCACGGGCGTTGAACTCGCAGCCGAGCTGCCTCGACGACTCAGCCACATTCCCAATGCGCACGTCATCCTCGTTGGAAACGCGGATGAGGTTGCCCCCGATTTTGGAACTGATCCACGTCCAGCAATCGCACAAGCCTTGACAGATCTCGGCGTCGAGTTCAAACTCGGATCTGGAGTCTCGGCAGTTGACTCGGAAGGTGTCACTCTCGCGAGTGGGGAACGTATCGAAACAAAGACGGCAATCTGGACCGCTGGAGTGAGGGCTACGCCCCTTACAACACAAATTCCCGGCCGGAAGGATGCATTGGCACGGCTCTATGTTGACGAATATCTTCGTGTTCCGTCTGTGGATGACGTATTTGCCACAGGTGATGCTGCGTGTGCGATTGCCGACGGTAAAAGCCAGTATGCGTTGATGTCCTGCCAGCATGCAAATCAGCTCGGCCGCGTATCAGGTTACAATGCCGCAGCAGCACTCCTGAGTGAGCCTCTCATGGAGTACTCGCAAGCTGAGTACAATTGTTGCCTTGATCTTGGCTCCTGGGGTGCGCTGATTGCCAGTGGCTGGGACAGGGAAAAGATTAAGCTCTCTGGCGATATAGCGAAGCGAGTGAAGTGCTACATCAACCAAAAGTTGATCTATCCTCCCGAAAATATCCAGGAAGCTCTTACCTTGGCTGAACCTGTTGACATTGATTCTGATACGCTGTTTCAACAGCTGACTCAAGTTATTGGATAGATTACAATGAAATATCGAGCTCCTCCCTGAATGGCTCTGGATAAACCACTATCTTCCAAATCTATATAGGCATAAGATCTAGACCGCTAATTCAGAACATGGGGAATATATCCCATTTTCAGACTAAATCGTTAGACTAATTGATAAGTCACAAGGATCACACGCCCGGTGCTATTCCTACAATCCATGGGGCTCATGCTCATAGCTGGCGAGTGAGTCATAGCACTTCCTCCGGAAGACTCCCTAGGAAAAGGAAAAAGCAAGAAAGGTCAAAATGAAGAAAGAGTAAAAAAAAAGTGAACCCTAGCCCCTTGGCACGTTCGGTGGTTTCTCCAGCTCAGTTGTGAAATCGATGTCAGAACCTTGGCGCCATCGTTTGCGCTGAGATATGGCCGACGAACCTGCAGCAGTCTCGAAGATCATGTAGAGAAGTGAGAGGATCTTGGATTTTCCGGTGTCCCAATGGTAGATTCGAATTGCGTACTAGATAATTTATTAGTTCCATTCTAGTGTTATGCTTTGTGGGGTTTCATACCTCACTGTTCTCTCTAATGTGGATGAAGTGCCACTCGAAACTATCAGTAGCGACCCCATATACAGATGTGTCAAACATCTTCGACGTTTTCCTGGTGTGATGAATCATACCTATCTAGATTAGCTCGTGCGCTTATAGATGTTTAGTGTAAGTCAACGTAACTTACCCATGTACGCTAGGCATTGGAACACGCCGGCCTTCAGAGCCTCGGGCTTCTTTGCTTCCACCATTACGAGGTTTGTCTCGTAATCTTCCGGCCTTCCGAACCAGAGGGAATAGTCCACCACACCAGAAAGCAGAACTCTCTCGCCCTTGACTTTCCACGGACGTTCGATACTCCGCTCAAACTGAAGATGAAGCGATTTGATGGTCTCTGTGGAGAGGGAAAATCCGATGGAAAGACGTGGATTGATCTTTGATTCATGTTTCATCTTCGCGAGCGTGCTCAGCATAATAACGTCAATTCGAGATCGCAAAAGGGCTTCATTTGGTGGTGAGCCACCCGTTGCCAGGTCGTAATCGGCCAGAACAAGTTCTGTTTAAGTCAGCATATATAGGCACAATCAGTATGAGCAGATTGACTATACCGAGATAACGGGGCAGCGAGACCATTTCGTCCCCACTTGGGGAAAGTTCATCGTCACTGGGGTCAGCTCGTTTCAGGGAAAATATCTTGGGTATTTCCGACATCTCCAAATCAGTGACAGCCTTGCTCGGCAGCTTTTTCGCCTCATTTTTCAATTTCAAACTTTGGGTTCGGATAAGGTCCATTATTGTTTTCGTCTCCGCATGAATTTCCCTGTTCTTGGTAAAACGGGCGACCTTTGTGTTGAGAATGTGAAACTTTTCCTCTAGCTTTTCCATAAAATCAGCCATGGCTGTAAATTATGCGGACAGCTGCAGGCGAAGAAATGTTGAGAAATGACCCTTCGAGCTTCGTCAGAGTTGTCACGGGAATTGGATACTAGGCTGTAGGACGATCGATGAAAGAAGAATTGGCAGAGGAATCGAAGAAAGTTGAGTAGAATAAGGCACAACGAAGATAAGGATGTCAAGGAATTTCGATATAAGACGTTGGATGTTAAATGGAAGAAGTTGGATGTCGGAGAAGAAGAAGTTTGATATTGGAGAAAAAGAAGTTGGAAGTTGGATGTCAGAGAAAAAGAAGCTGGATACTGGAGAAGATGAAGTTGAATGTTAAGAAGATAAAGTTTATAAGTTGCTAGATCCAGTAATAGGTGAAATAACCAGGGAAATCGCCGTCAGAGTTGAATGGGAACTAAGTAGGTTACTTATACGGTTCCAAGGTATATATATGTGCCCAAGAGAGGCTTATTTTATAAAAAAAGACTTCGGAGGCTCGAAACTTAGTATTGATGATGACTCTATAACCCTAGAACTCGAAGATACCGGAGTTGATATCTCCCAGAAAGGGAAAGTTCGAAAATAAGAACCACTATTCTAACCATAATGTAATTGGGCGACCGCTTCCAGATAGGGATCGGAAAGCCACAGTTCGATTACTTCATATATAACATAGAGTGTGTGGGCCTTCTAGCGATTCACCAGTTCAGTGGCGTGTTAGAAATATCACAGCTATCATCTTCACTCCCACGTACTCGGTCACTACCACCAATAGGATCGAAGGATAAAGCAGTGATCTCTTCGATGCGACAGTCACTAATCTGATGGACAGTAGGCGTACGTAGAGATGAACGGGCCGCTACATGCCTTCTGTAGAGATTAACTGCCTGGCCGATAATGTCTTGGACTTGAGCAGTAATTTGATGCTGCTGGTTGCTCCAGTCAAGTACTTTGATTGTGTACTGATATAAAGTTAGTTACAACTTGGGGTATCTCACATCAACGAAATACTTACCCGACTATTCTTGCTAAGATGCATAAAAGTCCACTTGCGCCCGTCAGTCATGATACCATAGATGGCTGCATCTGCGCGTGCAAGTTTTCGAGCACGATGAATCCTCGCCATATTCTGAAGCAAAACCCAGTCATGTGGCATCTGAGACTTCGGCTTCATGACGATCAAATTTGTTTCCAACTCCCAACAGTGTCCATACCATAGGACGTAGTCAATGATATTAGTCGAAGTCAAGCTTGTGTCTTCTTCCATTTCTAGCTCCTGATCTTCCATTTCTGATGTGACTATTCGCTTCTGGAAGCTCCAGTGAGGCGATTCACCTTTTGCTGGTTGAAGAGAACAAAATGATTTTCCTTCTTTGTTGATCTTGTCCGCCAATTGCTCGAGTAGGAGGGATTCTACTCGCACTCGGCGGACTAGCCATTGTACACCAGCCTCTCGACTGAAGGCTCGCTCGAGATCGCTCCATAAGCATCCTAATAAATGCCGTTAGCTTGTGAGATTTCCCAAAGTCATATTAAATGAATCTTACCGAGATGCTCTGGGATATCCCATCTCTTTGTCGCATTAAGTTGCTTTCTGTTCCACCATCTCGTCCGTGAGAGATTAAAATCTTTGACTACACTGTGAAACCTGATGGAAGGTCCAGGCTCCTCTGGGTTCGCCATCTGAGATGATTTCAGTAGAAACATGAGTGTGAATAGATACGGTTGTGAACGAATGAAAGAGAAGTGCTGACAGGCGAGGAAAGTATGATGATATTATGTAGTTTTATACTTTCTACATTCTTCGTACTTTCCCTTTTTAGGAAATCACATACATTCCAAGGTTTCCTTCCAAGGTGGCACTAAACACTTTATTTTCTACGTCTTACACCTAGACCCGTCGTCCGATATAGTTATAGGTCGCCCCACCCCGTCGTGGAATATCCATTGTTTTCTCTGTTGATCTCGAGGGAGGTTCCGGAATAGGAACCTAGCCTAAATCAGCGCCGGAAGCCATCCGCTAAGATATTCATCGGCTTGATCGGAGAAGCCTTTTCAGTTGCACGGGTTCGCTCATACAATATGCTAGAGGCCGATGTAGCGCTTCCCAAGTAGAATTATCATTTTTACCAAGGGATTGTATCCGGCTCAAAGAAGGTGTAAATAGCGAGAGAGCGATGTTAGCTAGTTTTTCATAGAGAGTTTCTAGCCTGAGCGGAGTATAGAATTTAAGCATAGAAGTGAAGTATGAAATTTAATCACATAATTAAAGGACATAATAAAAGCGAATATTCAAATACAAGAGGTATTATAGGAAATATTTGGGTGCGAGAGGAAATATGGATGTAGCTAGCGAAGTCTAAGGTTTTCGCTGATCAACGGGGGTGTAGTTAGACGTAATGGACGGTGCCTAGAAATATGGCTCTACCAGAGATAGTTGGCTAGCTATTGCAATACCTGAAAATACGAAAATAAGCGCATGCACTAAGGTATCCAGTGGGAATGTTTACCGAAAGACCAGCGCGCAGACCACCTTGTGTTTGTGCTTGTTGCTGCTGTTGACATAGTTCGATGCCTGCCATTGTCTCGTAAAACATGCAAAACGGACTGTCGAGGTCTTCTCCATAGATAGTTTTGTACTCCATATCTATGGGATAGAGCACAGGCGTCAGAGGCAGAATTGTATCGTCATATTCTGTCTGCGAATCGGCGACCTCGTTGTAGTCATTTGGCTTAGTGTGATACGTAGGAGAGTTGGAATAAGCTGATCCCCAGTAAACAGCATAGAGAGACACTGAGGGATAGGGAAAGACCGTTGGAGGGGATTCCACGAGCGGGAAAGTGCATTCTTGACCACACGTAGTTTGGCAATGCGCATCTGACTCTGTGTGGTATTCGTAGGAAGCAATTTGGTTCGGGGAAGGCGAGATGTGAGATTTTGGATTTAAGATTAACTTAGAAGCTCGCATCTTCGTTCGGGTATTTGTTGGAGGTGGTTTTGGTGAATCATGCTCTGCGGGTGACTGTTTTTGAGAAGTGGCAGCTTGTTTCTCTAGTTCCTCTAAGCGCCGCTTCAACCTTTTGCCTGATAGGACACGCTGAGTTAGGTAGAGCAACGAGACCGCGACGTGGACAACGAGCACTTACGATATTTACGCTGAGCTATTCGGTTCTGAACGCGACGACGCTCGGTGGAATTGGAAATTTTAGTCCAGTCTTCACTGGCATCGGCATTAGGACTGGACTTGCGGGTGGTACTATGTCTATCACGGGAGCTGGAATGATCGTCATCCTCGGTGGAGCGTTTCATACTGGAGATAGATGTAATGAGATCGGCCGTTTGAGTAGTGTAGAGCGCAAAGAAGGCCTAAATGACTGTGGATCATAGGCTATTCATAAGCTCGTCCGATGTACGAGAGTAGACTGGTACAGCTCGATTATGTTTGGACTAGTACCAAAATAGATAATAACCCCCTGGAAGCAACATGGCTATCATATCCTGATAACAAAGAGAATCGCGTTGATATTTCCTTTGTGGGGACGGGAATCCGGGAATCCGGGGAACTGGGAATTCGGCAACCCGGCTAACAACTATGTGACTCTATTGGCGGCTTTGATACAAGTGACTCAACAATGCGTTAACTCGATATGTATAAGTTTATTGCGAGTATTTAAAATAACCCGTAAGCGGAGCTTCTTCATCCTTTCTCTTTTCTCAAACAAAATTCAATTCTTCTACCCAAAACGGAGTCCTAGGCACGACCAACATGAGAGCTGTTCAAATTGAAGGTGATGTTTCCTGTCCAAGGATCGTCACGAACAATAACATGGACACTCCTACCCCCCAAAATGACGAGATCCTCGTCAGAGTCCACGCTGCTGGAATCACCGGCGACGAAATACTCTGGCCCGAACCATACGCCTGTGCATCTCATATACCCGGCCACGATATCTCCGGTGTGATATCCGCAACCGGCCCCCAGTATCGCGGTCCTTTAAAGGTCGGTCAAAATGTCTTTGCGCTACTCAGTGCCGACAGAGGCCAAGGCCAAGCCGACTACGTGATATGTCTCCCCAACGAAGTTGCACTGAAACCAGAGTCACTTTCGCACGAGGAGGCGGCAGCCCTACCAATACCGCTTCTCACAGCTTGGGAGGCAATTGAGTCCCACGCCAAGGTCAAACCGGGTATGCGAGTCCTCATCACGGGGGCTTCTGGTGCAGTTGGGATCATGACGGTCCAGCTTGCACGTCAGCTAGCCGATGCTCACGTTGTTGCGTTGAGTTCTCCTCGACATCATGATTTGCTAAGGCGTCTTGGGGCGCACGAGGTGCTTGACTACAATACTCCGGACTGGAAAAACCAGATAGCTGCTGTAGATTGTGTCTTCGATACGGTTGGTGGTGACATTCTGGCCCAGACGTGGGAAACTGTGAAGGAAGATGGAACTATTGTCACTGTCGGAGATCCTGCACCTGCTTGGGCATTTGGAAGAGGTGTGGCAACCGAGTCTGCCGATCGCCCTCATGTGCGCTATTTCCACTTTATCGTCTCCCCCAATGCGGAGAACATGACCAAGGCGAGTGAGATGATCGATGCTGGTCGTCTTAAACAATTGGCGGTCCGATCTTTCCCTTTCAGTGAAGCGGTTGGGGCTTGGGAATATGCTAGACAGAGAAATCGGGGGAACAAGGCAGTCATTCAGTTTGTGGGAGGGTCATCAGCTTAGTTACAATTCTGCACTATTACCACGTCAAATGAGATGAAACATATGCTTCTTATAGCTCATCAATACATAATCAATCACATTGAATGAATTAGGGACTTCTTTCAGTGGAACTTACAGTTCCACTCTGGTCAAAATGGTAGCTGGGTACCCAAGCTGGCCCTACCGCTGTTACCTGTGGCCTTGAATAGTTTTTTGATAAGTAAAGGAGTGGAGATCACGTTTATATTTTCAGTCACTGTACTCCTGCGGAAGCTAGAGTAGAGTAGATTATAGGGAAGCCCCAACTAGACCGAAGTCGGCATTGGCTCTGCATTTCTATAACCCCCCTTCCCCTCCCGCCTTTCTGTTTGATGATTTTGGGCTACTGACTAGACTAAACTCGAATGATCATTTAGGGATCGTAGCCCTTTCCCCGTACGAGAATTCCAGAGCTTAATGGTCTTATCATCTGAGCCGGAAACCATAGTTTGACCGTCTGGAGAGAAGGCCACTGACTGAAACCCCACTGGAATGACCCTCCAGGGTCTGCAATTCTGCACTCCAAGACTCATTCACTCTTGGTATTGTGAATTTCCGACGTATCTCTGTTCCGAATTGCTTTTCGTATAATGGACCCCAACGGAGCAAATACCAGTCCCGCGTAGTAGAGCTGAAGCGGTGCAATTTCAGCTACGTGTATGTTGTTGAGAAGGAATCGCCCCGCATCATAGAGAAACTTGATTAGTTCACTCTTTGATTCATTCTGTCCATTTATTAGCAACCATTTATAAAGAATTCTGGAAGGACTCACTCACTCGCGCAATTTCTTTCATAATATCAAGGTCTCTTACAGCCCCGATCAAATGGTGACTTGAATATTGAGCCTGACGCCATCTATCCTTTATATTCAGCTGGATGTGCGGATGTCGTGGAGACTCAGCGTCCTGGATTTCTCTCTTAAGACCATTTTTACCATCACTCATCACTGCAATGCATCTTTCAAATAAATAAGGATGTGTCTGTTCTTCCTTGACACAGAACGTGACCATGAGGGATTTGGTCATCAATCTTCCAATGGCTCTGCTAGTCAGATCTATCAATAATGACGACCTGCGTCTCAGAAAGGTGGCTTGAAAAAGTGTCAAAGAGAATATGACGAAACCGAGTGTAGGGTACTGGCGCAGGAGCCCTTGAAAATGAAAGCACACGATCGCTAGAACAACATAGTCCAACTCCCATAGCTGGGATAGGTCTTTCCGTAGCAAATCTGATGTAGAGGATAGAAAAGGCCAGACTGACCAGCAAATCCCTTCTGGCATAATTCTAGAGGATCTCACAGCAAGGTATTCTCTCAGTGATAGATGGATCAACTTGACGGTTTCTTCTTCGGTGATTTCTTCTGTAATCGAAAGAATATGATTGAAGGTAGAGAGGGCGTCATTTACTATAGAGTCGTTGACTTCCGTCAGAATACCGATTTCACTTTTGGTGAGCGGACGTTGTGAGACGGTGAGACAGCGAAATATTCTCATCATCTCTTGACGATGAGACTTTCTCCGCAGATCTTCCATTATGTTAGAAAGCATTCTGTTGTACATCGCATCTAAGCCAACCGGGAGTAGCTTGTCAAGAAACGCGGAATTCCCATCCACTATCTCCTGTTGAATCGAAGGATCTTTTAGAAGGGAGATAGCTAACGCAACCCACAGAAAGGTCCCTTCGGCTCGGTCGGTTAGGATAGTGCAAAATTTGTCTTTACCCTGCTGTAGGCGGCAATTGGATCTCACGAAAATAGAAATATCTCGGTTAGTCCATTGCTGTCTCTCAGGTGCATCCAGATCAATCACCAGATCCGTTTGACGAAGAAGGGACTGCAGCGGGCGGCTGGAGATGAAAGCTTTGACTGGGTTCTTCTCATCTTGTCGAGTTTTGTCGCATATCTTTCTTATTTCACTCGAAATATGGGACTGTGAGGATTCATCGCACTCATCCAGTCCATCTAGCACAATGTAGATATGAGGTCTTTGCGGGATCACTTGTATCATCTTCCAAAGACAATCCCAGAGATCCTGGATATGGGCGCCACTGAAAAGGTCTTGTCCCCAACTAGAGAACTTCGGACAGATGACCTGATAAAGGTCATCGGAATAATTCTTCTCCTCCAACAGTTGATTCAGTAGACCGAGTACTACTGCAAGCTCCGTAGAATGTAGGACATTATTGGCATCACAAAAGTAGCTAAGCACTATACGATCATTTCCCAAAGGGGATGTCATAGAGCCGGTCCCTAGTCGGGTAACCAAGTTTGTGGAAAGATGACTCTTTCCTTTACTAGGGCGACCGAACATCCAGAGCAGCCCGCAACTTTCTGGTTCATCTCTGATCCAGGATTTGAAGTTTTGGATCTTCCCGAGCCATTCACAGGTTCCACGATCCGGGTTTCTTTCGCGGGATTTAGAGCCAAGTCTTGCGCCAATAGCTTTCTTAATCTTTTCGTTGGTTGTTGGTTTTGCTATGATGGGTCAAAATAGGACAGTTGAAAGGCATCGCGCAACCTACATCCACTGCTGTTGATGTAATTGATTTGGGTTGAGAAAGGGCTTGCAGTGTTCCCCCTGACAGTGTGATGAAAAGAAGGCTGGAGTGCCTCTGCCATATTTCACGTAGTTTAAGCCAGCAATCCTTTTGTAAACGGGTTTCTCAAAATTCATCCGGAATGTAATTTCTTCAATGCCATTGTGGTGCGCCCTCAAACCTATTATGTACCTTGACGTGTCAGAGATGAAGGTGGAGAAAACGTGCATATATCACATGGCGCTAAAGCCTGCTTCGATTTGAAAGCTGCCATCCAATTGTTACGCGCTCATGCAAGTCGCTTGATCCACTTGGGTGCATATTGAGCCATATGCTAGAAATAGAATGGGAAGATTGATTATTTGTTGTGAGCAGAAGGTGGCATTCTACCTCGGCTGACGTCAAAAAAGTTGGGGGCGGAGAAATAGGGCGGGCGGGACGGCTTCCTACCCTACGATAACTCGGGACCCTACAGTTCCGCCACTGAAAGTGCACCCCAAATATTGAGCTGCGGTAGAGTATGGACTTCCGTTTGAATGGGAGAGGGGCCCTTTATAATATTTTCTCAGACATGAGTAGAATACTATCATTCTCTGTTTCCTCTCGCTCGCATGCGAAGCACCCCGATTTCCCCGTGTGAAGTCTTGTTAGCCTAGTCGGGTAAGTATAGGCTAGGCATGTTATGAATAATCATGCGCATGTATGTCGTATTTTATTGCCATGGAGCTTAAGACCTCTACGCTACAGTGAGAAGCGCTAGATACCCGACCGATAGGCTATTCACATTAAGTCTTTCAACGAGCGGAGAGCTACTCCGCGGACTTGGATATCACTATCATACTAAGAATTCACGAGTACATTATATATCACTCCACTGCTATCACCTCCATCTGTATCTCCAATGCAGAATTAACCCCCTTACATTCTATCCTCTCAATGATAATATTAGTTCGCGGCGGTGCAAACGGAAGCACCCGTCGATAGTAATCCTCGAATTTATATTTCCAGCGAAGGTCGTCTTTGAAATAAACCTAAAGAAAACATTAACGTTTAGCTTCACATGAGTCAAATGCGATCGCCAGATCATACCGTAGTCTTGATAACTCTGTCCCAACTAGAGCCCCCCGCCTTCAGAATCGCCTCTAAATTAAGAAAAAGCCGTTCAACAGCTGCCGTTTGTCCTGAGACATGCTTGCCGTTAAGGGATATCGGTGCCTGGGCCGCTACATAGATCGTTCCGTCGACTTTGAATGCTTGTGACTGTGCTGACCGATTAGATGGGCGAAATAAATGGCTGGGATAATTCCTCTTACGGAGCCACTTGGTGCTGAGGAAAATATTATTAGGCAAGAACTAGCTTCGGAGGCTGATGGAAAAGAGGCTTACGCATAGGGGCATTTGGAGTCCGTATGCATTCAATGACAGCCCTACGGCGCGGGATGGTTTGATACTCTGGAGGTTGCTCATCTTGTTCTAGCATCGTTGACTGCACAGGATCTTCAGATATACTGGAATAAGTGGTCATTTTTGGGACAAATGGAAAGCAAAATGGAATCTTTTTGTGGATTCTTTTCGTGGTTTAATGTGTAAATAGTCTACGGAGTACGTGGACCCCGTATTATGCGGCTGAAAATACAACACGTTATCAGACACAGCCGCCTTCTGGGGGGCTATGTAGGTAGTGGACCTATCATGGCTATGTGCCACATCACGGGGTTTGCCCAAAATTGGTTTTATTTAGCTCCTCGGCCCCCACAATATGTACGGCCGGGGCCAAAGTGGTACTAAGAGATGGCACGGCGTCTATTGGCTCGGGGGCGTGTTCATAATATTTAGCATGTCATATCTCTTGTGGAAGTATCTGGATAGGTTATATTTATTCACATGCTAAAAAAGTACCGTATTTTGTATATCTGAGAGTGCGAATTCTATAGTTGATTTTTCAAGCTTCGCCGTTCCCACTAAACACCACCCATCTCACTCATACCGCGGGAAGCAACCAGGTTGTGACAGACTGCCTCGGAATGCTACCACTCCACTGCTGGCCACTTTTAGTAGACAGAGTAATGTAAATATCATTCTTGAACGTGTTCTCAATCACAACTGAGCGAGTTCCATCCGGATTCAGCGAAGCCACAGATTGCACACCTCCTCCATCGGAATATGTGTAGCTTCCCGTACCACTCAGCACAATCGCACCCGGCGGCATAAACTTGCTAAACTGAGCCATCATATAGTATGCGGGATTAAACGTATATCCACCGTTGGAAATAGTCGCCAGACCCCGACAGTTTGCACAGCCGCCACTTGACAGATGGGGGCCGTCTTGATCATTTGTGCCCAGTGTCCAGGCCGTAACCCCTGAAGCCCAATTTTGTAAAGGGCCCATGGTGAAATCGGCAGCTTGGTTCCATGACGCAGAGGCGGGGGTCCAGCACTCTGTCATATATTGCTTGATGCTGGGATTTTTCTGGTGGAATTGCGTGAGGACTGTCCAGTCTACATTGCTAGCATAACAGTGCCATGCAACCGCGTGGACATACTGGCCAGCTCCGTTGATGACATTCTGAGGGTAAGATGGCACGTCTGATGTTTATCTGTTAGTAAATGGAGCCATCACTAAAAACGCTGGGTTCTCGAGTGCATACCTGTGTTGTGATCATATGCCCAGATATCGGTGTTCAAGCCGGCTTTAGCCAGGGCCGGACCGACGTAGTTCTGGATCAACTGCGCAGCTTCATAATCAAACATATACATTGTAGGGTATCCAGCTTGGCTGTTCAAAGGCTCGTTCTGAAGGGTAATAGCATCGATGTCGGCACCGAGCTTCTGGTACGCCTGGATATACTTGACGAAATACTGCGCGAAGGCACTGGCATACCCAGTGCTCCCGGTGCCTCCACTAGTCAGGTAGCCGTCGTTGAGGTTATTATCTTTCGTATTGCCATCAATGACATGGTTCAGCTTCATCCAACCTGGGGCACTCCAAGGTGAACCAAGAATTTTCAAGCTGGACTGTAGGGATTTCATCTTGGCTAGCATTGTAGCCATTGCATTTCCACGGTCGCCTAGGTTAAAACCGGACAATGATGGATCTGCATTATTCCCATTATCGTCATAGGTATACGAAGGGTCACCAGATAGATCGGAAGCGCCAATCGTATGGCGCATCAGAGCGAACCCTGCACCGGCTGCGGTCATCAGTTCATTTAGTACCTGTTGCAGCTTGGAACTGGACAGCGTGTTGAATGATGTGACTGTGGCATCGGTGATGGCGGCTCCAAAGCCCACGATTGTTTGTTTATGTCCGCTAGATGTATCATCAATGCTCAGCTTCCAGGTCGATTCGGAGCCTGGACTGCCGCTGCCCTGGACTGGTGCCGCAATTGACGAGAGCTTGTGACTGCCATCATAGTTTGAGCAGTAGGCTGATGGAGTGGTTGCTCGCTTCCCAGGTGAAGCCTCTGCTAATACTGAAAGCAGAAGCAAAGGAAGAAGAGACGGAAGCATCTTCTATTCTGCTTTCCAATAAAGTATTTTAGAGATTAGCTTTCTTTTTTGAGGGATTGGGAGAAGGTGAAGGTAATCAGACATGGGGATGTACTATCTTTACGCATCCTACTGAAGACAATATTCTCGATGCATAGAGGGGTAAAGATGCCGGGGGTCTAAGATAATATCCTCAGCCGTAAGCTGACGAAAATACTACAGTATCACCGACTAATGCACGCCACATTTTCCTGACGGGTCCCCGGGCGGATGTCCGATAGCTTGTATTGTCTTGGTGTCTTAGCTCGGAGAAATCGCCAATTCGAGAATAATTGGAGTTAGAAATATTCATCCCGCAATATATACGGCCTGCATGACTCAAATGAGGGTTTGACTTGACGATCTAGCTTCTCGGGGCGGACTTTCCTGGAAACGATGCGAAACACGATGACTTTGTAGGAGCGGGGAATTACTAGAATTGGAGAAATAAAAGCGACTGCAAGGTTGAGATTGAAGCAGAATAAAAGATTAGTGCATGAGCCTTTGGAACGACACTCCTTGCTGTTCAATACCAAACAAAAGAGAGGGAGTCAAAAAGGAAATATATATAATTAAGGACCAAAAGTAAATATAGTTCTCCAAGTTGATATAATTTGTAGTAGGAGTGGTATGGGATGATGAGCGTTGTAGCTAAAGAAAATAGTAGAGACGATCGGCTCTCCGTGCAAGGGGCATCAAAAAGCTGTATGCCGATGGGTCGGGCCGTTTAAAACATTTCAGTCGTGTGGATTGGAAGAGAGAAAACAAACTTGATGAGATCATTGAAAATTCAGTGAAAGAGAATGTCAAAGAAAAGAGTTGCAAGTTTGAAAACAGGACAGCTCCAGGTGCTATGACGTCAACATCCTGGGAACAAACTGTTACTCGACTTTATAAACCCCCCAGGACACCAGTGGGCTCATTTTTGCTTTAAATTTCATCAGGAGGAAAGAGTGAAATTTTACAAAATGAAGGGCCACACATTCCCCGTCGATCTCAAGCAGTTCAAGCAACTGAAGCTTGACCCGAAGACCACACAGCTATCACCCCAACAGAAGAGCGATTTGCAACACAACATTAACATTTTCCGAGATGCTATCATTGCTTTCACAGCAACGGGTTCTGCCCGAGGTGTTGCAGGCCATACTGGTGGTCCCTTCGATACAGCCCCCGAAGTCTGCATCCTGCTCGCTTTGATGAACGGCAACCCCAACAAATGGGTCGATGCCCTGTACGACGAGGCCGGCCACCGTGTCGCCACACAATACCTTCTGGCCGCATTGGATGGCAAGATCGAGCCTGATCATCTGCTGAATTATCGCGCTGCCGATTCCCACCTCCCCGGCCACCCCGAACTCGGTTTCACACCCGGTATCAAGTTCAGCTCCGGTCGCCTGGGTCACATGTGGGGTATGGTCAATGGTATTGCCATGGCCAACCGGGATAAGAACGTGATTATGTTGGGATCTGATGGATCCCAGCAAGAAGGAAATGACGCGGAGGCTGCGCGGATTGCCGTCGCTAATAACCTAAACGTTAAGCTCTTCATCGATAACAATGATGTCACAATTGCCGGACACCCCTCGCAATATCTTAAGGGCTACGAAGTTGCTCGGACTCTTGACGGACAGGGTTTGAAGGTCCTCCGCGCCCAGGGAGAGAATCTCGACTCCCTATACGGCGCTATATGCGAAGTCATCAACCACGACGGCCCCGCTGCTGTTGTTATCGACCGCAAGATGGCTGCTGGTATTGAAGGCATTGAGGGAGAAACTCACGCACACGATGTCATTCCTGTTGACATCGCTCGCAAATACCTCACCAAGCGCGGATACAGCAAGGAACAGCTTGCTTTCTACGATGATATCAAGCCTGGCACAAACCCACACACGTACAAGGGTTCGACCAAGGACAAGGGCTCCAACCGTAATATCTTTGGCGAAGCCGTGAATGATGTTCTTGACAAACTGAGCAAGGAGGAGGCTAAGCGTCGCGTCATGGTCATCGACTCCGATTTGGCAGGCTCCACTGGCCTGAAGGCTATCGGCGCCAAGCACCCCGAGGCCTTTGTCGCATCGGGTGTCATGGAGCGTGGCAATTTCTCTGCTGCTGCTGGTTTCGGATTCGGCAGCAATGGAGAGCGCCAAGGTGTCTTCTCTACCTTCTCTGCCTTCCTGGAAATGTGTATTTCCGAGATCACCATGGCCCGTCTGAACGACTGCACCGTTCTCTCGCACTTCTCTCACAGCGGAGTCGACGAGATGGCTGACAACACCTGCCATTTCGGTCTGAACCACTTCTTCGCCGACAATGGCCTAATGGATGCGGAGAGTACCGCCCTGTACTTCCCTGCCGACGGCGAGCAGATGAAGGCCGTAGTCAACGAGGTGTTCTGGAAGAAGGGTCTTCGCTTCATCTTCTCCACTCGCTCCAAGGTCCCTTATATCTTGAAGGAAGGTACCGACCAGAAGCTCTTCGGTGAGGGCTACAAGTTCGTTCCTGGCAAGGAAGAAATCATCCGCAAGGGCTCTGCGGGTTACATTGTCTCGTACGGTGATATGCTCTACCGCTCGCTTGACGCGGTCGAGAACCTGCGTGCAGAGGGCCTCGACGTCGGTCTGATTAACAAACCCACTCTCAACGTGGTCGACGAGGAGACCATCAAGGTGTATGGATCCTCACCATTCGTCCTGGTTGTTGAGTCAATTGCTCAGAAGACTGGTCTCGGCTCTCGCCTGGGTACCCACCTCCTTGAGCGCAAGTTCACACCCAAGTTCAAGAGCATGGGTGCTATCAAGGAAGGCTGCGGTGGTCTGTATGAACAGGTCAATGCTCAGGGTCTTGGGCCGAGCGATATCATTGCTGCAGTTAAGGAGGTGTCTGGAAACTAAAACGGTTGAAACGTAACGACTCATGTAATAAATTTTTTTCTATGTACCTACAACATAGGCCAGTTTTGTCAATGTCACTCAATTTCCTTTATCAAAAGCCAAGACTTCCGCGCCCCCAAATTTTACCGTTCCCGAATCCGATATCGCGGCAATTGAAGCGACATTTGACTCAACAGGCCCCCCACTGATTCCCCATAAATATTCTCGTACTTGATTGGCTAAATCACCACCAAATCGGACTTGGCACTTGACGCTTGTTACAAAAGGGGCACTAGATCACAGCAGCTCAGGAGCTCAAAAGCACGCAATCTTGCTGCAGGATTAGAATAGGACTAATGCGAACATTAAGCCCTTAAGATAGATATTGCGTTTCTTCAAGGAAAAAAAACTATATATGGCGCGTTTCCCGTGTAGCGTTTAGTAGTTTTTTGAGGAATTTTATTTTCGTGGCTTAATTCAAGGTGCTTACTATCCCCTAAGCCGCCATGGACGAACGAGCTTCTATTTCGGCATCGTCCGATACCCAACTTGAAAAGCGAGTATGGTATCGAGGAACACTCTTCAATGCCTGCATTATCGGAGGCGTGGGATTCACGGCTCCGGGCTTGTGGAATGCCATGAATGCTTTGGGTGCTGGTGGCGCACAGGAGCCGTTCTTGATTAATGCAGCCAATGCACTGGTTTTCGGTCTCAGTATGTGAAATATCACCACGATCGCATTACGAGTTTGAATTGCTAACTTGTTTGTTAGTGGGTATTTTGTGTTTGTTCGGTGGCCCTATCGCTAACCGGATTGGATTAAGATGGACGCTGATGCTTGGCGCTGTGGGATATCCGTTATATTCGTATGTATCGCGATATCACGATGTAAACCCGGTTTACATTGATATTAATTCTTATTGACAGCGCTGCCTTGTATACGAACAATCGTTTTGTAAGTTCTTCGTCAATACTGGAACTACCTGAATGACCACGGATCAAGGCTAATACCTATCTAGGGAAATGTATGGTTTGTGCTGGTTGGATCAGCTCTGTGTGGTTTATCGTGAGTATCCTGTGTCGAAAAAAACGAAATGAGATCATCGGCTAACATTCATAGCGCCGGTCTCTTCTGGGCCTCTGAGGGTGCAGTGGCACTAGGTTATCCCGAGCCTGCAAAGCGAGGCCGGTATATGAAGTGAGATATTCCAAATTTTCTTACATTGACAAAATAACTGACTTAGAAAAGCATTTGGCTTTGGTTCCGTACAGGTGGCCCGTTGCTTGGAGGTGCCATTGTTCTTGGCCTCAACCAGTATGTCTACGTTCGAATTCATATTACGGACAAAATTGACTAATGAATGAAAAGTGCTGGCGACGCCCATGCCAAAGGAAAGGTTGGATCTCGTGAGTTGATCCAATATAATGTAAACAGCAAGAACTGTTTCTAACTTAAGACAGAGACATATCTCATCTTCGTTGCGCTGCAATGTACTGCCGTGCCTATTGCCTTCTTCCTCACGTCACCCGACAAGGTTCAACGCACAGATGGAAGCAAGGTCAGGATTATCCTGCAAGACTCGTGGCGTGATGAGATGAAAGAACTCTGGAAGGTCTGCAAGCGGAGGGAGGTATGTTTAACACATTCGTTCAATCGTGCTATGAGGTCTATGTGACTAACTTTCATAGATTCTCTTACTCTTGCCTGTTTTCTGGGCCGCATACTTCAATATGTACACCGGAAGTATGGATTCTCTCTTTCCTCCTTGCTATTTACAATTGCTGACCAGTTTGTCTAGACTTCAAAACCTATTACTTCGGAGTTCGCGCTCGCGCCTTGATTGGATTCGTTAGTATGTTTACACATTTATTTACCCACAATTTGCATCAGTGCTAACACGGTTCCAAGCCTACTTCGCCACTCTTTTGGCCTCGACAATTATTAGTAGGTTCCTGGACTACCGCGGGCTTTCGACCAGAAACAGAATCAAGTACAGGTACAGAATATCCACATTCACACTAAAACCTAGATTCAAAACTAACAGAAGCTACAGCTTTTTCTACGTGATCGTGGTTCATATCGTTACTTGGGTTTACTGCTGGGTTATCCAAGAGAAGTACACCAAGAACCCACCGACGTTTGACTGGGCCGACAAAGGCTTTGTCGAAGGATTCTTCGTTATCCTGCTCTGGGGTGAGTTTAGTAAACTCAATTTGTTGACACAGTGCTAACCTTTCTATCATCAGAATTCGCTCAGCAATCACTGCAAAATTTCCTCTACTATCTTCTCTCCACCATGACCGACAACATCTCCGAACTCTGTAAGTGCAAACCGAACTGACCTTTCTATCTACAAATTTCTGATACAGTGTAGCCCGTTTGTCCGGTATCCTCCGTGGCCAGGAAAGCTTTTCGCAGGCTGTATCTTACGGTCTCAACTCGAAGAAATGGCACGGCGGAAGAGTGCCACTGATTGTTAACACAATCCTACTTGGTAAGTGATACCCACTAGATTATCAGAAAGAAACAGTGCTAACCTTTCCCTGCAGTTCTTTCCGTGTGGCCTACTTGGCTCGTTGTCAGGACACATGTTCCCATCGAGCATGACAAAGAGACTGCTATGTTGCCCCATGCCGAAGACGAGGAGCAGAACAAAGTGAGTCTCTCTGACAAGGAGACATTTATTGTGGCCGAGGCGGTTGCTTCGAAATAAGCTGGACTTAATGAAGCGTCTTCTCCGCAAAATATATATATAATCTACCGACGGGCTGAAGTTTGCACAACAGTCCCCTTGCCATTCGAACAAGATATAATTCATGAATCAATGAGACAAATATTGCGTGAATAATGCTGCCTTTCTTAAACTACGACAACATCCTCACCATCCTGATGTTCCTCGCGTAACTTCCGCTCCGCACGACTCTCACTGGTAGGATCGAGATATGCTTCGGTATGAATTAGCAAAACATTCCGAATTCGAAGGCAAGATATTATTATTAGTACTCACGTATCTCACCAAAAACAGTAGTCCGAATACCCCTTCTAGCTCCTTTGTATGTACCAGGGATAACCCGGTGAAGTGTACACCTGAATGGGAATCAGTCACTAACCCCGAAGAAGTAACGAGCTGCATAGTTACCGATTATCCCACATAGCAACACTCCCGACAGCCCATTTCCAACGAACGTAGTGGTCATCTGCTGAATGAATATGATATGCCAAGAAATCGAGCACTTTGTCTGAAAGACGTCAATTCAAAACAACATACCAATTCGTTGATTCACGTACCAGATTCAACTTTCTTGAGCTCAGCAAACCCAGTCACAAATCCAGGATTGACATTCAGCGCCTTCAATTTAGTGACTGGGTGCGTGCGTACGGCTGGGTGGTGTGTATCGATTGGAGGGCGATTAGGAGCTGCACCCCATAGATCGATGATGGTATCATCTGCGTGTTCGATGGATTAGCGATATTATTACAGGCGGGATGGTATCAAGGAGACGAACACTGCAGCCTCGAGGTATGAACGGCGTGAAGGCCATCGAGGAACCTTTTGTATGCGTTGCTTAGCGCGTCATATATGCCATATTGGGATACCTATGGAATCAGAACTTGGCTTTGAGTGTGATCGGGGGTTGTTACATACCCAGGCTGTGTCGCCGCCGACTTCGGGATGCTCTTCCATTCTTAGTAGGGAGTAGGTCGGTGCTATGATGTATTAGAAATGGATGATCAGAGAGGATAGTTTGTTGCATACGATTGATCTCAAACGAGGTATCAGCGTGAAAATCCCCACTAGGCTGCAGCAGTAAATTTTCCCATTAGACTTTGTCTTTAGTAGTATCAAGAGTATCTTACCCAAGGGGTGTAGCTTAGGATTTCACGGTGATCCTCGCGGCTACCTTTGATATTCACGAACTTTGTAGTCCGTTAGCGATAATGAGGATAAGATAATGTCGTGAGGTGGTTATGGGATGACTACTGGGCATTTTGGATGGTGTTCCTGAGAAATCTCGCCAGGGTATACGATACCTTTTGATCCTGAGAGTTGTCAGATCACTCTAGTCTTTGGAAAACGCTTATGCTTCGGCTTACCTTTTGAGCAGGGTGTTTATCCAATATACCTGCAAACTCGAATTAACCAAACCGTCATTCAGACTCCATATAGCCTTACCATAATGCTGGAATAGTTCAACCTGTTTCTCGGTAGTAAGATCCTGTTCCCGGAAAAACACAACTCCCCGCTCAGTAACAAGAAGTGCCAATTCATCCAACTGAGTCTCGTTCAGCTGCGACAATTGCACATTCTCAAGAACAGTTCCAATCGACTCAGTTAAGTCAACCTGCTTCGCCACAGAGAATAGCGCCTTCTTCTCTGGGTCTGCAAAGAATGCCCGGTCCTTGGGCGGGGTAAATGGCTCGCGGGGTGGCTCTGGTGGCACATGGTCCTTGATTTTCTCGTTGAAATGAGGATGAAGTGTAATGGGAAACCCCGAGTCCGTTGAAATATGCTTGCGAGCCTCGAGATGAGCCATGTTTTGAGAATTTGTTTGTAATAGTAATTGAGATAAGGGAAACGATCGAAATCTAGGTGAAATTGGAGTAGGAATATTTCGTGCTTTATATCTTGTTGAGCTCATACCCAACTTCGATTGCGTCAAAACGCCATGTGTTGATCGTTTTGTTCGAGTCCAATCGGCTACCTATTTCCCCGGATATGGTGCCTTGTCAGAGTCCTGTGTCGAATATGTGGAATAATCACGTAATATAAATTTTTGAAATTTTGTAGGTATATTGCTGCAATCCATAAATATATGTCGCGTGACCAATAGGGAACATCCCAGACAAGAATATAGGCCATACAGTAGTTATGTTTGTCAAACAAATCCCTAATAAAACATGCAAAAACATGGTACGATCCCCCTTAGGAGTTAATCTCACAATCTGATGATTTGTCGGACTATCTATCTACTGCCGGGAATGTAGAGTAATATCCGCCCTGTCTCGGGGGACATTATTATTTTCTCGTCTTCCGTCTCTTCCTTTGTTGTGCGGCATATCAAGTGAAAGAAAATGAGGAGGTGACTCCTAGGGCTTTATCCAAAATGTTGAATTGTATCCGCAATCAATAGTTCCCCGGCCTCCTACCCAGACACATACTGTGAGCATGTAGACACACGCACCACTCCCACCTCTTCTAACACGTGAAACCCATCAGAAATTTTGGGGATAATTCTGGAGGTAATTGTCCTGTCTAGTACCGCAAGGAACATGCGAGATCAAAACTAATCGCGATCAGAGTAGCCTTGGATTTTCCAGGGGATGTGTGCTGCTGGTCGACAAAAATCTCAGAATCTTTCGCTGGCATTGGTATATGTTGCTCAGCTCATGTCTGCGTGAGTCTGCTGAAGATGTCGCTGGTTGGATTTGCCGCTTTGGGAAGGAATGGGGTATCGTTCAAGTGGAGGCATGAATGCGCTAAAAGAATAGAAATTGAAAAGGGTTAGCTGTGAATAAGAAGTTCTTAGCTGCACATCTTATCTGTACCCCATATATCACCAGGATATGACCACAGTAGACTTTCATATTGAAGCTCGAAACTTCCAACTTAGCCTCTAGACCAACCAGGGTTGAATAGTGGGCCATGCCATGACACGATTTGCGTTCAGGTTCTTGATAAGGCACTACAAGGTATCCAGGTCCACGGGTGCATTTGGGTAACTTTACTATGTATCATCGCTGAATGTTTTGCACCTGCGTGGCCACAGAGCCCACCTTGATTGTTGCGGACAGCGAACAGGACAAACACAGGAGGCGGTCGGGTTTTGCCAAAAAGGAGGTTATAACGAACTTTAGACATACATATTTCGCCCTTCGGGGCATATGGTCAAATGAAAATATACAGAGAAGATTAGCATGGCCCCTGCACTAAGGATGACACGCTCAATCAAAGAGAAGCTCCCAATTTTTTTTTCCTTACAGATCCTTTTATGAGGGTATACTAAGGTGCGGGTCTATTGATGGTGTTTAATTGGTTACTATACAATGGGATCACGTGAGGCCCCATATTTGTCGCAGGTTCGAAACCAGTCAACGGCGATCGCTGAATTTGTTCCCCACTTAGTATCGGGGCCAAATTTATTTTTGGAGGTAGTCGATAATGGTGCTAGAATGATAGCATGGAGCCATACCCAGAATGGCACATTTAGTACTTCCCTCATGCCAGCCTTTTAACACTTCAATGGCCTACGCTTGACGCTTAGTAGATACTGAAGTCCCTGCGCGAGAAAGGAAGGTGGAACCAGTTTATGGTCAACATCAATATGTCAGCACACATAATGAACTAGTGTGGCATTAGTGTGTCCAGATGTAGTTGTATAATGCCCATATTACGAATAAGGGATTGTTATATCCATGGATGTACCCGCGGTTGAAGAGTCGGGTAAAGACTCGGGAACTACCTCTGGCTCGGAATCCAATTCAGAAAGCTAGAATTCGAAGCCTAGGGATGTTTATTGATGCTGAATTTGATAAAAAAACAGAGTCAAAGAACGTAAGTTCCAAATGGGGTTAATTTAGAACTGGAAGATATCTATCGGGTTCAATGTACAACATAGAATAATTTCAACACCAGAACCCGCATTAACAGACACCCTCTCATAGTGTTAAACCACATGTGACTGAACACTGTGTGCGCTGCGCAGGAGACCTTTTTTTTATCCTTACAGAACATTCATAAGCATTAAGAATGAGGTTCACGATCTGTGGAAAGCTTCCAGTCACCTGACTGTCTCTGTAGGAGACTCTTGTGGTCTCTCTCCAACCTACCTCCCTTACAGTCTTCACTGTGCACAATATAGATAGAATGATACCTGAGAAGCGCACCACAAAGACTACTGAAAAGACCACTGGAAAGACTGCTGAAAAAAAAAATCACAAGGTCGCTTATGTCGCCGGCTAATTTTCCAAGTCGGTGTATAAAACTGGAAGGTGATCCAGAGCACGGTAGACTGGAGCGTCGAAGCAAAATCGGTATTTACCCAATTAGGAATGTGTACCTAAAAAAGTCAGGCAGGGGGGTGTCTAAGGACCAACCACAGCTAGACTCCACTCTTCCCCGCGGAATTTCCCTAGTGCAACGACTGATCAGACCATTCAACAGCGGATTGAAGGGCGCTGAATCACATCAGGAACGGTACCTACGAAGTCCTCAGGAGGCTTCCAGTCATTGCTCTTTCCTATCCTAGATATAGGACAGAAATCAATTGTCCCACACATCTCCCACCCTTCGCCGAGGGAAACCCGCCGCGGGGATTTCTCTCCGAGAAGCATTTGAGAAGCAAGATGGAAAGTGGAGACGAGCGACCATACCGGTCTCATACGAAGCCAGCATGCGTACCATGCCGGCGGAGAAAATCACGTTGCAAATTAGAACCCCACTCCGCGGCCTGTTTAATGTGTCGTGCGCACGACACAGAGTGTACATTTCCCAACGGCAGAGCAAAGCCAACCGCGCAAAAGAGGGCCGCTGCGGAGGAAGCCCCACAGCTACCACACCCGAGTTTACGAACACCAACTGCAACTGCACATGCTGTGAGCCGGCCGCCCCTTGTCGCCGCTTCGCCGCAGTTCTCAATTGTCACCCAGGTTCAGACCGATCAGGATACACCGCTGTCTCTCGAAGCCGAAGATGATAATCCCCATATCCTCGGTCCGGCGGTGACTGGGGATAATCACGTACTGGCTGACTATCTGTCCAACATTTCTGGTGGCCAAGGCATTCGTGAAATTCGACCTGTCGAGCCGGGTAGTTCCTCGTCCCCGGTTATTTTCACAAAGGTGCAGAAAAGGCCGCTGGGGCTCATGGTGAACTCTAGTCCGGCATTGCACAAGCTACAGACCATTGAAAAGCTTTTGGAGCCATGGGGACCACATTTGATCGACATGTGAGTTACACTTCACGTATTTTGGTATTCGATGGAAGCCGCGGAAACTAATTGTCGCGACTAGTTATTTGAAGAAGATCAACCCTTGCCTCCCACTACTTGAAGAAAGCTCCTTTCGGGCGCAATACACAAATGCCAGGCATCGCATTTCTCCTGCACTTTTGGCGTGCCTGTATGCCCATGTTCTTACTCAATGGCAACATGACCCACTTCTGTCCCGAGAACGGTGCCCAGACGTTCGTTTCGTCTGGAACCTTGCTATTGAAGCCTCGTATTCCGAGTTACATGCGTCAGCTGGAATATCCACGATAAAGGCCATTCTGCTCGATGTTGGGGGCCGCCCAACCACATCTATGACAGGCAACGGTGTAAGACTTGGTTCGGCTGTTGCATTATGCCATTCCTTAGGTTTGAATCGAAATCCACTCCCGTGGGATATTCCGCAAGCTGAGAAGCACATGCGAATGAAAATCTGGTGGTCTATCCTACTCCATGATCGCTGGTATGTTTTCAAGAGCGAATACCTCTTCCAACGTGGGGTATCCTGATAACTCATCGTCAAATAGGTCAAGTCTTGCTTATGGGACACCTCCCCATATCAGAAGAACTCAATATGACGTACCACTACCAATTCCCGAGTATCTGTCAGACTGGGAGCGTGACCGCGATGCAAACGCAGTTTTCATAGAGCTCATGAACTTGACCGACGTGCTAGACCATTGCTTGGAGCAAGTGTACAGCATCCGCATCGAAAACCAAGCACCAAGCAGGAATCTAGAATTGGAGTTGAACAGATGGGTAGACTCACTAACAGGAGACATCCGTAAGATCATCATCCGTGGCTCAAATCTTGATATACCTGGCGCCTCCAATCTCCGTTTGGCATATCTGGCTACAAGGCTCCTTCTCCGGCGCATCGACCTAGATCGCGAGCGGCAAGCGCCAGACTCTAATGTAGAACAAATGGCTAACCGAGTCATGGAGGCCCGCAGGACCGCGGAGGACATTGTTGTTCTAGTGCAGGAACTCAGAGAAGCACAGTTGGGTGATTACTGGCTACCTGTCGTGGCATTTACATTTTCAGCAACAGTGACGTTTTTGATCCGCTGCGCGCTAGAGACGGAGCGTGCAGTTGGTCTTGCACAAAGTGGTTCTCTGCGAATGGCGAGTGATCTTTTGGCCGCATTACGGTCTCACCGGAAGAACTTTGGCTGGGATCTGGGTGATATCTGCCTTGCACAGCATTCGGATGTCATTGACAAGCTATTGAGGTCAGAGCCGCCGCTTGAGAACTCGGGGGAGACGAATGTTGAACTGCGTCAGCCTTTCGTGCCGGATATGGCTTTTCTTGATGATCTGTTTACAAGCACATGGGACATACTACAAGTTATGGAATGAAACGAATAAGTGTTAGAAATTAGTTGTGACATATGAGGACGCCTGTTCGCCGCGGAGCCGCGCAAATTATGCAATTAGAGAGACATTAATAAGAGAATTGGTATGCCCAGGTGATACCTACCTATAGCGCGCGAGGACGACTGTTGGCCGCGGCTCCGCGGCAAAGATAAACAAAGAGAAGGGGGTCGATTCCCTGGAAAGTGAGCTACAAATGAGGGGCAGCGACCCTCCAGATTAAATGCTACAAGTGTTCGAAAGCAGTCATCCTAATCATGAGCAAATCTAACATGGCCCCTGGAATTACTACAGAAGAATCTACAGTTGCAATCATGCCCCCAAAGAATGATGGACATCCTATCTTGTATAGTAATGTCAATCAGGAAGAGCTTCAAGCCAAAACATCGAAATATCTTCTCAACTATGGCACCAAGTTCAACAAAGACGTTATCTGTGGCAGCCGAGGGCTCTACGTGTACACAGCTTCCGGACACAAAGTGCTGGACTTCACGTCCGGACAAATGTCCTGCCTCCTCGGCCACGGGCACCCAGAGATCGTGCAGACAATCACAGGCCACGCAGCCTCCCTAGACCACCTCTTTTCAGGCATGGTGTCACCCCCCGTGATCAGCCTAGGCGAACGTCTGTGCAATCTTCTACCAGCCGGTCTCGACAAAGCCTTCTTCCTCTCCACCGGCGGCGAGAGCAACGAAGCAGCCATAAAGATGGCCAAGGTCTACACTGGGAAATTCGAAATCGTCGGACTGGGCGGTAGCTGGCACGGCGTGACCGCGCAAGCCCTTGGCGCACAATACCATTTCGGTCGCAAAGGCCAAGGACCCCTGATGCCAGGGATGCTGATGCTCCCCTCGCCGAACGCATACCGCTCCATCTTCCGCCGCCCTGACGGGTCCTACGACTGGGAAGCAGAAATGGAATACGGCTGGCGCATGATCGATATGCAATCGTGTGGATCGCTCGCAGCTTGCATTGTGGAATGTATCCAGTCATCGGCTGGTATGCACGTGCTACCGCCTGGCTACCTCGCGGCACTCAAACTGCAATGCGAAAAACGCGGGATGCTCTTGATCGTCGACGAAGCACAGACGGGCGTCGGCCGGTGTGGAGATCTAATGGCTATCAACCACGAAAATGTCGTTCCTGATATCCTCACCCTCAGCAAGACGCTAGGCAATGGCTTGCCGCTTAGTGCTGTCGTTACTAGCGCTGAGATCGAGCGCGCGTGCATCGAGCGAGATTTCTGCTTCTATACGACTCATGTTAATGATCCACTGCCTGCTGCTGTGGGTGATAAAGTGCTTGAGATTGTGGTGCGTGATGGGCTAGTTGAACACTCGCGTGCTCTGGGTAAGGTGCTTCATGAGCGATTGAATGCCCTGAAGGAAAAGTATGGTTGTATCGGGGATGTCCGTGGACGCGGACTTATGGCAGGGGTTGAGATTGTTGAGTGTCGCGCGACCAAAACCCCTGCGCTAGCGTTAGGTAAGGCGATCGGGGATCGGGCATATGATTTAGGCTTGTGGGCCAATCTCAGCAGCCATCCGAGTTTTGGGGGGGCTTTTCGTATAGCCCCACCTATCACGATTACCGAGGACCAGCTGCTTTGTGGCTTGGAAATATTGGAAGAGGCGTTTGCAACGACCCCTGGTACTCTGCCTTTGTGATCTAACTGGTTTAAGTGATTGAGGGGATTAAAATTTTCCTGCGACCAATGTATGTCTTTGATACTTCATCTCATTCTTTTGTAAAAATCGATAGTCTCTTCAGAATGGAGCGCAATAAACAAGCTCATTGAAAAATTGTACAATTTTGCCGAGGTGGCTCATCACAGGGCCAGACTCAGATCGATTAGCAGAAAGTGCAGTAACTTGCAGCTGACAAGGTTAACCCTAACACCTCCACTATCCCGAAATATGAGATCATATTGAATAAATTCAATTATATTAAACTGAATGATTACCACCTATAACAAGAAATTGGCCATTAGAATCAACCGGTTTGTGTTTCTTCGGATGAATGTTTCACGTCAATTCCATGGAAATCCAGACACTGTTACGGGTCTTGGTTTTAGATTTTTAGATGTCTCTTATCATGGCTGGCTGGTTACTGGCCGTAGGAGAACTCCGTATGATTGCGATCATCTAGCTAACAGCCTATCAGAATATTTTGTGAGATCCACCCTCAGTAGAGACATTAGTGGAGATAATCCTAGACTACTATTGGCCCCTGAGCCTTGGTGGATGCATAGCAACCATGCGGTCATTTGAAGGCAAATCGCAGGATTGATGTGTTGTCTGAGGTGATTTAATAATGGGTATCAACTACACCTCAATGCCTGACAATACACAATCGCTAGTTACAAAGGACGATACAATTGTACACTCTCAAGAAAAATCTGATTGTGAATAATTCGGAACCGAAGAGAAACATGGAACCAGAACGGGTAGAAAGAACAGTCCCAAGAAAAACAAAGTCGATTTATTGGAAATGGCCATGTGGCGCAACAGGAACCAAGATCTCATTCGTAGAAGCCCAATCCAGACCCACTAGTCTAACTCGATTTAGGTAGGAAAATATTCTTATCGGGGATCATCGCTGGAAGTGCGTAAAATTGAGAATCCTCAAAGCTCTTAGCAAGGTTTTCAAAGATTTTGCTCCACAGTCTTAAACCTGCGACTATGATCGGATCTTTATATAGGAGATCCATGATCCACCCTTCACTAAAACTCGACAATCTGCGCCGCGATCTCTAAAAATGCGACCAGGTCTATCAGTTACCCAGATTGTAGGCGCAAGCCTAGTCGCAAATCAATTCGCGAGCGCACTATCACCGCGCACGGAAATCGGGGATTCTTATGACTTTGTGATTGTCGGGGGTGGTCAAGCTGGACTCGTGTTGGGCGCTCGTCTTTCAGAAGATAAAAATCATACTGTACTCGTTCTTGAGTCGGGCGGGGATGGAGATGAGTTTAGGAAGCGCATAGGTGCGCTCGATTATTCTATTCCGTGGAATTTGCGACATTTCTAACGCTCGTGTAGATACACCGGCATATTCTTATTTCGATTCATTATGGACAACACCGTTGAATTGGGATTTTTACACTGTTGCTCAGCCTAATGCAAACAACCGTGAGATTGATTGGCCTCGTGGCAAGGTCCTTGGAGGTTTGTTAACCGTAATAGTCTAAAGACCAAGAAACAAACAATTAACACAGACATATAGGAAGTTCTGCCATCAATGGCTTGTACATGACCCGTCCCGGCGAGGACGAAATTAATGCCTGGAAAGACATGCTCGGAGATATGGATGGTGCCGATAACTGGTCGTGGGAGTCGTTCTATGCTTCTTTGAAGAAAAGTGAGACTTTCACTCCTCCAACTGATGGCGTAGTTGATGAGGCTAGGATCACTTGGGATGCATCAAACCATGGCACTAACGGGCCGATCCATACAACATACCCGGACTAGTATGTCGAATCTCGTTACCTGGAATTCACGGACAACGCTAACGCATCCCTAGCACATTCCCCGAAGTTGGTGACTGGTTAACGTCATTAGAGACACTTGGAATTGAGATTTCTGATGATATGTACGGGGGTGAAACCTGGGGCGCTGACGTTTCGACTTCCTGTATCAACCCTTCAAATTGGACGCGGTCCTACAGTCGTTCCGGGTATCTCGACCCGCTTCCAGAGCGTGACAACTACGATGTATTGGCCAATGCGCATGTGACTCGACTGCTTTTCGAAGATTCTACATCTTCGGATAAGAAAACAGCGAGTGCTGTTGAATACACAACCGATAAGGGATCAACGAAACTGAAGGTCAAGGTTAACAAGGAAGTGATCCTCGCAAGTGGCACTATCGGCAGCCCGGCTGTATTGCTCTACAGCGGTGTCGGCCCCAAGGATGTCCTCTCGGAGGCTGGTGTTGACCTTGTATCTGAGCTTCCTGGTGTCGGCCAACATCTTCAAGATCATTTTGTGAGTGTGCTTACTATTCACAAGATGAACATGTAACTAACCTGGTGACACAGAGTGCCACAGTGAAATGGAGCGCAAATGTGGACACCGCAGGGTCTATCTTTTACGATGGTGGCAAAGACAAGGTGCGTCCTATGTCTCCCCTATCAAACAATGCGGTTTGCTAATTGCCATAGAATGATCCCAAATTCCTCACATACATCGATTCCGCCATTGCCTACGTGAATTCCACGGCTATCTACGGCAGTCAAGTTGCTAAGTACCAGTCGAAACTCCTCGACTCAATCGACCAGTATGCACCAAACACGACATACGACGATGGCGTAATCGCCGGCTACAAAGCAATTTGCAACACGACAGCATCAAAGATCTTCAACACCCCGACAGGTCAAGTGGAGCTTCTATTTATGAACAGCGATGCAAATGGCGACATCGGCATCACAGCGGCCATCCAACATCCATTCAGTCACGGCCGTATCTACATCAACTCCTCCAACCCAATGGACTACCCTGTCATTGACCCGAACTATCTGGCCAACCCAGCCGGTATGTACCCCTTCCAACAAACATCCAACCAATGCTCGAATACTGACAACCTTTTAGATGCCGAGCTCCTCCTCGAAGGTATCAAACTCGCCCGCAAGATAGGCGAAACCAAGCCAATGAGCAAAAGCCTCACAAACGAAACCTCCCCGGGTCTGACCGTCCAGAGCGACGAAGAATGGGTGGAATGGCTACGCAAGTCAGCGGGCACTGAGTTCCACCCATCCTCATCGTGCGCAATGCTGCCCGAGAAGCAGGGCGGCGTTGTCGACGCCAATCTACTGGTATACGGCCTTACCAATGTGCGAGTTGCGGATGCCAGTATCATTCCCATCTCCTTGTCCACCCACTTGATGTCCTCGACATATGGCGTTGCAGAACAAGCGAGCGATATTATTCGCGCATACCACAACTTGCCAGCGGAGCCCGTGCCGGCGTTCAGTGGGTCAGGTTCGTCCAATTCCACGCCTTCCAGCAGCGCAGTTGCCACGAAGAAGAGTGGTAGTGCGAACAGCAATGGTGGTGCCGCTGTTGGCACTGCTTTGTCCCTTGCGTGGACTTCTGTTGTTCTTGTTTCAGTACATGCTATTGTTGGTTATGGTGTGTTTGTATAGGGTGGTGTTTGCGTTTAGTAATGTAATGATGATCCATACCGGTTGAAATCCGGCTTTAGTATATATGAATTCAATGTCTGCAATGTGTTGGGAGTCTCGGGGGAAGCGAAACGGAAACAGTTCCGCTGTAATTAGATATCTACCTCATCAGAGCCAGGTCACATAGTTCAAATCATCTCGAACATAGACACATGACTAGTGCAGACAGAATATGAAGGGATTTCACATATTCCCTCAACTATCTACACCTATCCCCTCAAATCTTCGACTTCCCATTCACGGCCAGTAAAGCCCCATCCTTCCTCACCTCAAAATCCTTACCCAGCTCCCACCCCACCCACTCCCTAAGCGTATCAACACCCCCATCCCCAGGCATAAGCCCACCACCCGACCACCCACCCTGATCTGCCAGAATCGGCGCCGCAGGCGTGCTAACCAGATGCACCATAGGCCGCTGCTCATACCCACCCTCTTCAAGCTCCGCCTGCTCCAGAACGGGGGTAGCACAAGCATCCGTGCCATCAAAAACAGCCTCCCACTCCGCCCGCGTCTTCTCCTTAAACCTCCTCGTAAAGATCTCCCTCAACTTCGGCCACTGCTCCCGATCTTCCCTCTTCGGAAGCTCCCCAATCTTATAACCTAATCCCCGCACGAACGCCGCATAAAACTGCGGCTCCAAAGCCCCGACGGCAAAATATCGCCCAGCATCCTTAGTCTCGTACGTATCATAATACGGACACCCACTATCGAGCAGGTTCTCACCGCGCGGCTCAGCCCACGCGGGGGTATTCCTCCCTAGTCGCGGGAATGTAGCAAGATACGCAGAGCCATCGACCATATTCGCCTCGACGACCTGGCCACGGCCTGTATGGGAGCGGGAGATGAGGGCAAGCAGGACTCCTTGGAAACACACTGCACCACCGCCGGCGAAGTCGCCGAGGATGTTTCCTGGGGCGTAGGGCTTTTCGTTTGCGCGGCCGAGCATGGACAGTACGCCTGAGACGGCGATGTAGTTTATGTCGTGGCCGGCCATGTCTTTGTACTTTCCGTCGCGGCGGAAGCCGGTCATGCGGGCGACTATGAGGCGGGGGTTGTGTTTTTGGAGGACATCTTTTGGGGAGAGGCCGAGGCGTTCGAGGACGCCTGGGCGGAAGGGGTCGATTAGGACGTCAGCCGTTGTGAGGAGGCGGAGGAGGATGTTTAGGGAGCTTTTATCGCGGAGGTCGAGGGTTATGGATGTCTTGTTGCGGGTTAATTGGTCGCCACTGATTGAGTTTGGTCTGTCTATGCGGAGGACTGAGGCGCCGTAGTCGGCTAGGAGAAGGCCTGCGAATGGGCCTAGGTTTGTCAGTTATGATCATGGTTCGTGGATGCATTGCGTACCTGGAGCTAGGCCTGCTAACTCAATGACTTTGATTCCTTTCAGTGGTAACATTTTGGATATGTATTGTAAAGATCAATTGAACTTCAAAGGTGAATTGAAGGGTGTTTACTATTAGTACATGGACGTATGGGATGTCGTAGTTCTCCGCAGCCGAGGTCCGTGGATATTAGAATGCGGGGAAATAATGCCACGCTAGGCCAAATAGGGAATTGCATACTGTACAACGTAAGAGGATATTGTTATTTCTTGCAACTGATTTTACTTAGCAGAAAATAGTCCAAATATGTGGATAATACATAGTACCTACCTGGGTATACCTAGGTACTCCTTTTGTTGGTCATAGTCGGAGTGGGTTGGCAGATGTCAATGCACCTTCCTCCTGTACTAACAAGGAGTTTTCTGTTTACATATCACCTTCCATTCATTCTTTCCTCAAAAAAAGATCTTTTGATTTGATTTATACCAATCCCCACTACCAATTCCCACCCTGGCCATTATCTCCAAGTGATGGATGGCCCACGCTCCCAAATCTAACCAAATGACGAGTCGAGACTCAAGGCCCAGGTCAGAGTCATCTGAACGATGAAGACCCTCTCGGGTAAACTGCCCTACGGGATAGGTGTATTGACATGCATCATTGGTATGACCCAAAATCACCCTATCCATCATGAAATCAACTAATATGTATCCATTAGGGGACCTCAGTCGCAAGAGCTGGTGAAATAGGACAGTACAAAGGTTATCCAAAGAAGGCCATGTCACCCCAATCAGACACAAGCAGGTCATCGACAATCCCTATGGTCGAGACGGACATATCCATGGTAGTGGCAACAAACATGAGCCCAACTTTGCAAATGTCTTCTGGCTTCACTGAAGTTCAACGTGATGGACGTGGAATTTACCCGTCTCCCTTATTGCCCTTCGAACTAAAAGTCGTACGTGAAAGTGCATCTATTGTGCTTTGGAATACTAATCAATGTATAGGCCCCCACTCGACGCGTTGTGCAGCCTTCGGCATGCATGGCTAAGATTCACAAAATCCAAAGTCCACGCTGTAGCATTGGAGTCAAGTGCACATACAGCTGCCTTGATTCATCACGTTGTCTATAATTACTCGAATGTCTTGGAATATTTGTGGATACTCAGATATCACCGTGTCCGGTGTCTGACAGATGAACACTGGTTCACTTTAATCGACTCAGTAATGTTGGTACATGGTCAACCATTCCATCCAAGTACGCTCTAATGCCTGGGCTAACATGATGACATTCATCTAGCCACAGAGTCGGCCAGACAAATGCGGGTCATATGACAGTCGATAATTATCTTTCTGAGATAAATGAGGAGTGCAAGCCACATGTTGGTTTTCATCACTCAACCACGACAGCATGGACAATGGCAGATGCAAGGCCTCCATGGGCCTGCCCACCCACCCGGAAACGTCTAGATGTTTTGTCCATTTTCTTCACTATGGACCTCTGGAGCAGAACTCAGCAAAATATTGCTAGCCGCGAGTTCCTGATATGCTGCCCCTCGACTGTGTCTGCAAAATTCACACATTAGCCCTCCTATGCGTTCCAGAGCTCGTTGGCCTGGAGAGGATGGATGGTTTGTATCGGATATCCACCTATTCCACTATTATCCCACGATATCCACGACGTGAGTGTTTCTTGTGCTGTCGTTCGTTCTCTTCTGATTTTGCGAGTAGCCAAACCAAATTTGGTTGATGTGCGGGTGCCGTTCGACCTTGTCATAACATGCCAAGGATACCTTCATGGTAACCCGAAGGTGACAGGTCATGCGCTCCCTGTCATGGTCGAGTGGGTTTTATCACCCATCTTTCCACCTTCAAGGCTATCGAATCGGTCTTATTGTCGATTGTCGAAGTACCCGCTCAGAAATAACACTCTTTTGATGGGTTGAGAAGAAATTTTGGGAGGAAACTGCAGCAGATTGGGAATAGAGGTTCCTCTGCTGCCACAAGTATTCATAGTTGCAGGTGCCCAGGGACTTATTTCCTGAAAGAATCATATCAGTCCATGCTAACCTTTTCTCGGATAGACCCTATACCATTGTATAGCAGTATTTCACCACCGTCATTTGGATGTAGGCTACGCAACCCTCTACGCGTTGCGTTGGGATAAGGCGAGCATATCGCACCCCATCGACGGCTTACGCAACGGAAAGAGACCGGGCCAGTCATCGGGTGGAAAAGTCGTCATGTTCACAGTCGCCACATGGGTCATCTTCCACTTTCCATCCATGATTCCTGGGATCATACCAAACATGAGGCACATCTCGTCACAAAGACCTATTGGCGAACACGCAAGCCCGGAAAAATCCAGGCTCATGGAAATAGCGGTCTAGGAATATGATAAAAGTATGAAGTGACATGGTATTGTTATACAGAAAGCATGCAATTCCAACTATTCTATAGCCAAACAGAAAAAATGAAAAAGGTCAGACTCGACGGCGACACCTTGAAATGGATATCATTAGGAGATTGAGAACAAACAGACTCGACCACTTGCATCAACAAAGACGCAGGGATCTCATCACTACTGGCCAGAGTAAATCACAAAAAGAGGCCAGGAGGTATAGAATCACTCCAGAAACTGGAGATCGGATAAAAAAGAATATAATAAAGACAATATCGTAATGAAAAAAGCAACCAGTCGCTAGTAATTACCAGTTCTTCTTGAGGTCAGCATCGTGAGATCAATCATATGAGATCATGCTGTCCAGACAAGTGGGCAGCTTCACAGCATCATGAACATGGAAAGAGCGATGGCGAGGACGCCGCTGAGGCTGGCCACGCCGGCCCGCGTGGCACTGTTGAAGGCTGGGACCTCTGGGATGATAGTAGGTCCTGCGGGGGTGTTGGTGGTGGTGGTTGTGGCCTTGGGCACAGGGTGGTAGGCTATGCTTGACGAGGGTCTAACGGGGTGGACTCCGCTGGGGATGGGCTTGAAGGAAGATGGTACGGCGGAGCTGCTACCGGGGATACCGGCAGTAGCGGAGGGAACCGGGATAACGAGGGTGATGCTGCTACCGGTGGGGCCACAGTGCTGGCAGTAAGTAACGGTGGTGGTATAACCCTCGGGCACCGTAGGAGCGGTAGGCTGCGACACAACCTCAGTGGTAGTAGTGACAGCGGGCTTGGTGAGGGTCACGGTAGTCGGGGTAGCAGCGCACACGGTGCAGACGGTCACAGTGGTAGTCCAGCCTTCGGGAATGGAGACAGTGGAGGTGGTAGGGCCGGAAGTAGGGCCGCCGGTGATCTCCGCGGGACCAGTTGGGACTGCGGTGGCAGTGGCGTCACCAGGGCAGTACGTCTTGGTGATTGTGGTTGTGATGGTGGTGAAGCCAGTGGGGCAAATATCAATGTACGAGGTCGTAATGATAGTTGTGGTTGTACCCGGAGCCAAAGAGGAAGAAGACGCAGGAATGGAGGGAGTGGCAGTGATACCAGCGGTGGTGGAGTCAGTGCCGGTAGGCTTAACGCCTCCAGTAGTGGTCTCGCTACCGGTGGGCTTAGCACCTCCAGTGGTAGTCTCATCGCCGGTAGGTTTGGCACCTCCGGTGGTAGTTTCGTCGCCGGTAGGCTTAGCACCCCCAGTAGTAGTCTCATCGCCAGTAGGCTTAGCACCTCCAGAGGTAGTCTCACCATCGGTGGGCTTCGGGCCTCCAGTAGTGGAAGAAGCGCCAGACTCAGTCGAAGAGGGAACGACAGCAGTGCTGGAAGAGCCCGGGATTACGGGAATGGAGCTTGAGACACTGTGGGAGTGGTGGTGGCTGTGGGTGTGGGTGTGGTGTCCATGGCCACCACCGTGCGAGGTGTGGGTGGGCTTTCCAGTGGTAGAGGGGTGGGGAATAAGACTGGATGAGGATGAAGCCCCAGGGATCACTGAGCTGCTAGAAGCGACCGGGCTGGAAGAGGTGGTCGAGCTAGAAGTGGTTGTCGAGCTAGAGGTAGTGGTCGAGCTGGAGGTGGTGGTCGAGCTAGAAGTGGTGCTCGAGCTTGATGGGGTGCCCGAGTGGGACGGGGTAGCCGAGCTAGACGGGATGACTGAGCTAGAGGGGGTGGCCGAGCTGGAGGGGATTGCCGAGCTGGACGAGGTGGTCGAGCTGGAAGTCGTGGTGGTAGTAGTGGTAGTAGTCGATGGGACAGTAGAAGTAGTGGTGGTGGTGGTAGTGCTGGTGGTAGTTGGGACAGTGGTTGTCGTGGTAGTGGTAGTAGTCTTGGTGGTAGTCTTGGTGGTAGTGGTCGTACTCTTGGTGGTCGAAGACGAGACAGGAGGACGAGGAGAGAAATCGTACAAGATATCCTTGATCTTCTGAGTGTATGTCTTTCCGTCGATGAGGTTGGTGTCACCGGCGGTGGCCTCCCAGAGCATGATACCACCGAAATGCTTATTAGTACCGAAAGCTTTGACAAGTGGCTTCACCTGAGCAGGGGTCAGGTAGAAACCAGGGTTAGCGGCAGCCTGCGATGCGGGAAGACCGATGAAGAGCTTAGCATTGGGGTTGGCACTCTTCTCAATGACCTTGACCCAATCGTTGAAGTTGAAGTTGCCCTGCTTATTGACCCAGTCGGCAGCAGAGCAACCCTGGGTGTTGTACCACTGAACCCAGATGAAATCAAAGGACGACTTGGAGATAGCGTCGCCAAGCTGCTTGTCTGGAATGGGGCACTGGGGAGCACCGGAGATGTAGTATTTCTGCTGGGTGCTGGAAGCGAAATGGATGCGCAGACGGTTGATCATGGCAGCATATCCTAGATAGCAGTGTTAGATAGAGTCCAAATCAGGAAGTTAAGATATCAGGAAAACATACCGACTCCACCGTTGTACTCAATATCGAAATCGAATCCATCAACTGAGTTAGTGAGCAGTGGGCGAGGGAATTTCTTGCCCTTCATACTAGCGTTCCACTCCAAGGAAGCGACCGCTGGTACGTAAGGACCGAAGGAGTACCACAGGAAATCCGCAAACCATTCTGCGGTGGCCACGTTGGGGAGAGACTGGGTTGTGGCAGAGCCACCACCGAGGGACAACAGGACTGTCTTGCCAGCAGCCTTGCAGGCTGGGATATCCTCCCAGATCTGGTGGCAGCCACTTAGCAATCCTGTGCCTTCGAAGAAGGAGCCATCACACTGATTGGCGAAGTTGGAACCGGGGTAGTCGCCGACACGTTTGGGGAACTCATGGATAAACCCGATGTTGATAATGTCCGACGTGGTCTGTTCACAGAAGTGCTTGAGACGAGGCTGGTTGTAGCCTTGTCCGTAGTAGACAGCAACGTTACTTTTCAGGCTGGGATCAACAGCAACAGCGGATGATGAAAAGAGGGAGAGGGCCGACAAAGCGGCAATAGACTTGAACATCATGGTGAAAATGAATGTAGTAATTATACGCAATAATCAAATGCAATAGTAATCGCTTGTTAACCCGATTAAAAGGAACGACAGGTTAGCTCGCGAACAACGAGAGGACGCAGACAAATATCTGCTTGGGAAGTTTCCCAGAGTGGCTCAGAACGAGAGTGTTGGTTGTCGAAGGAAAATACAATTCCCGGGGAGGATGTGACTGAAATACATCGAGGGCCGATTCATCTTCGACCCCTGGGGGAAATGCCGACCTCCGACATAAGCACACTAATCAAAAAGCAGAATAGAGCTATCAAAGGGTGGAAATGAGGTGCGTGATATCCGGATGATTCGACCGTTCACAGGTCGGTGCCCCTCTGAATACACTCCACTGGTCCAGAGCCACCCAACGTAGAGTCTCAAAGTGGATTGAAAGCTTGATAGTCTGTCCACTAGACCCGGAGGCCAACAGGATCTGTTCACAACGGCGGCTATGAGACTAACCTCATAGGAACCCCGATGTGAAAGTGGCATAGACCGACCTTTCCATTGCAGACTAATCATAGGCGAAATGCCGGGCTTGTAATATAACCATACAGCCAGTGGCGTAAAAAGAGTCATATTTGAGCAGAAAATGGGTCAGAACTCATCCAGACTTTCTTTGGGGAGGGGTATGTGCTGGCCCCGTGCCTATTTCGGCCAGTCTCGGCGCAGTAAAATTGCAAGAGCCGCATGAAAGAGGCTAAAAGACCCTAACGGAGTCTAGCCGGATTAATAGCAGGTTCATGACTGGGGCAGAGGCAATTAGCTTGATATATCAAATCCAATCACGACTCATGATTCAGGCACTAGGGCACGGATGCCTTCTAGGGTCCACCGTTGTATGTTGGATGCATTGTCGACACTCAACTCAGAGTTACACATGCAGGTAATCAGGCAGGTACCAGTGCGAAAGTATATTTATTTTTCAAGAAATTACTAAAATAGTAAGAGTATATAATTGAAAACATTTGGAATTCTAGAAAGTCAATGAAGTTCATGAAGTTCATGAAGTCAAGGAAATCAAGGAAATCAAGGAAGTCAAGGAAGGAGATCAGAACCGAGCTGAAGGTTAATATTCCTACGCTAATCCTTCGGGGGCCATAATATGGGGCTAAACCCTTCCAGGCACACCAATCAACGTCGATCCGGATGGGGCCGGATCATCTGTTGTTATTCGCTTAGAATCTTTTTAAGATTGGGTGTCTCACTTCATCTTTTTTCTTCTGACCCTAATCCCAGTTGAGAATCATGTAACCCTCTGCAGTGTTTACGTTCTCATAGCCAAGCCTCCCACGTTACATTTTCCTTTTATTTTCCGGTCATGCAAGGTACATATCGTTCGGAGATATGTCCATTATAAGGGACCTTTTAGGCGACAATGACGCCACTCATGCCTAATTGTATTTTTTATCATACTAACCAATCTGGGTAGTGCCCATTTTACATTTTCCATAAGCCGCCACAAATTTCAGGGCCAATGTGCTCCAGATTACTCCGTACTCTGTAGCCGAGATAAAATACGAAAGTCAATCCAGTTATAGGGGTAAATCCAAAGGTTCTCGAGGTCAGGGTAGGTTATAGATATTAATCTTGTTCCATGGGCGGGAACCTTGGGCGATCAGTGTGGATCGGGAAAGATCCTCTCTATACGCATTCCAGCCCTATCTCCATCATAACAAAACTCTATGAACCTCAGGGAAACCTAATTAAAAAATTGGTTTAATGTATATCATTATACGACGAATCATACATTTATAATTTACATTTAAAATAATCAATTCCCGGCCCTATTGCCGATATTCCCATCTGCCGGTGTACTAAAATTGCATCCAACCTCGGAGATTTATGAATCGAAGCAATCAGAGTCACAACTTCATCATTTCTCATTTCGTGTAAAGTTAATATGGACACTGACCCCAAATATCCACCATGAAAAAGAAAAGCCACCCTTAAGCCACGAAACACAGCAGAAGCAGTCAAGTGGGAACGCAATCGCAGAGCATGATCTTGTGTGGGAAATCCTTGGGAATAATATAATATGCCACACATCTTGTTACAGTCTCAGACTATATAATATTATTTTATTGAAGCATCTCCATATGATTACATCCTTCTCGGGCTAAAATATCGTGAGTGCATGGACAGTCATACGAGACTCCCGAAACCCAGATATTAGGGCTCATACCATGGACTAACGAGAATTAAATCCCCCCAAAATTTATCAATAGATGACTTCTGCAGAATTTAAAACAACCAATTCTCTACATGCTTTTCTAATCTTGCGAAGACAGGCGTCAGAGTTGTCCTTCAGCTATACCACCTCATCCAATATATATTCTATGACGTCCGTCCCCCCGAGCGATATCAAAGGTTATATATACAAACAAAGGCTGTCCGCACAAGTTAAGCATTTTTCCGCCTTTGTTTACGGTAGACCTACTAAACAGAATGGTATCTAAGAAGACTACTAAACATACCACTGGCAAGACTACTGAAAATGAATCACACGGCCGCTTATGCAGCCGACTTCTCTTGTAGTTCCAATTCAACACGCAAAGAAAGTCACCAAAATATTTGTAAATCCAAGGTTCGAGATATATATTCCACTGCTAATAGTAATTTATGGATGTCTAATCGGATCGCGAAATAGTAATCTCTCGAACTCTGTAGGGGGGATGAATTCTCTTTCCGAAGATAGAAACTTATCCCCGGCCCGGGTATTAAAAAGATCGGGTGAACCGTGGAAAGCTCCACTTAGAAGTGGGGAAGTGGTCAACGACGTGTTTAGACCTTTTTTGATATTGCTATTCTACCAGAACTAAACTATCAACCTGTTTATGAATAACTTCAAAATGTAAAATACACATTGTGCATTTACAAGGATATATCTTTACATCGAGCTTGCTAGAGCCTATAAGATCTCACAGATTCTCACCCTAGTACCATGTGAGTTAGACCAAGTCAAGAACAAAGAAAGACGGGGTTAACAATTCATGTGCCCTATTAAACAAGATAGTATAACAACCACCCCGCAGTTGGGAATATTCGTTTCTTTTCATTGGAGCTGAGCCCCTTTTATCTTAGGAGAATCGATAATCAATATGCTCAATATGCTTGACGCACTTCCATTGGAATTATTCGGTTTGATAACTAACCAAGTAAGCCAACCTCCACATAAACCCCCTATTTCAGTAGTTTATAATTGCAGATCAGCCGCACGGACCTAAAGCGACTTTGTGAAGTCAGCAAGCGTCTCCATGAAATAGCCATCCCACATCTATACCGGTCCCTTGTCTTATCCGCACCAGAGCAGGAATTAGAGGGTTTGATGCCGATCCTGGAGACAGTATCACGGAAGTACTTGGACGTTATAGTTCCCATATTGGAGAAGTTTATACCATGGAAGCACTTGAAGTATACCCAAGAATTCGGCTTCAGTATTCCCGTCCATAAGCGAGCCCTATCCAGCTATGTGCACCCTAGTGCTAATGGGCTCGGCGTCGCTAGAGATGGGGCACCAGACCCCTTCGTCAATCTAATCTCTGCATTGGGTTCTCTGAGCCTCCCAGATGACGTCTTACGAACTTTTCGGTTAGTATTTGCCTTTCTTACCTTGGACAACCCACTTACGTGAATACTATGTATAGTTGGGACATAGGAACATGTGTTCCCCAGGCTGTCTTAGGCGGCAATAACTCTTTTGTCGCCAAACAAAGACAACTTGAATCTATCACCATCGTTACGCATATTAGGTGCGGCACTTACCCTCCGGATACTGGACGCACTGAGAATAAAGACAGGCAGAACTCCGTGGATCTTGTCCAATTCAAAGAACTACGTTCCCTTGATTGGAGAGGTTTGAGCCACTGGGAAGATTTTGAATCTGTTAGAAAATGTATCGAAGCTCGTGGACATCAAATCCAATCACTTACCCTTGATCTTGTGGACTGGAATAGTGCACAGAAGACATGGGGTCGCAAATTCCTCGGACGGCGCCCCCCGATCGCAACCTTTTAGGGAACCCTCCAACCGGGCGCTCCGTTCCCAAGTTTGAATATTGCCGAATTGCTCCTCCAACAGGCCCAACTGGTTCAACAGGCCCTCCAGCCAGCAATCACCCCCGCCTCTCCAAAGAAAGTGCACAACTTCTTCTCAGAAGAAGTGCTTAAAGTATCCCCTGGAGACCGAAAGGTCATTTTTTCATCTCTCAAGAAACTTGATCTATCATTTGTGTCTTTTTATCCTAAAAACATGGAAATGGCGTATGCTTTTAATATCGAAGCTTTGCAGAGTCTGAGATTACGGGACTGTCAAGGGGTTCTTGACTGGTTCAATTCCATGAAGCTGATGGGATTAAAATCCCTCGAACTTGCTTTCGATCGTTATGATTGTAGGAGAGATTCGCCTATATATATGACGGAGACGATCTGCAATTTTGTTCAGCACGCTGCTGGCTTAGAGAGTTTCTTCCTAATGCTTGTCCAGCCTATTGATTGGAACATTTTGACAAACACACTATCAAGTCATCAGCATATCAAGCGCCTTGTGATGCACCGTCTAGTGAGCGAAAACGGCGGTCACGACCTCATCGACAGAGATATACCATGGTCCTCAGATTTGGAACACATCCTACAAGGAAAGCAATTGACTTGTTTTGGAACTTCCACCCCTGTGACCAAATTAGTATGCATCAATTGCGCGTCTTGAATCTCATATACTAACCCAGAACTAGGGTAGCCAGTTACGAAAGATGCAACCAAGGCCGTCATTCAAACTGTTACATGTTAGGGTAAGCGGAGAAGTCCTTCGTGGACTAATCTCCTTTGGAAAAACCAGCTGGGATGGAGAAACCACCTGGTATCCTAAGTCTCTTTATGCGTATGAATTTGGCCAAGGTATTTTGGTCCCCAATTATCGAAAATTTGAATTGGTAGTGTGATGGAATCTAAAGTCGAACCAGATTCTCCCTGCAAACCCGATGAACTGCACAACTTTGCGCAGTGGGCATTTAGCGCTGATGGTCTTCCAGACCTCCAAGTACTCGCGTGGGGAGACTTCTCATATCGAGAGAGGTACTCGAACGCCAGTCTTCTGCTTTGCAGATCCGACAGTGGTTATCAATGCGTGACCCCTTCTAATGATATTCCTTGGAGTCTTGTTCAGAACAATATGGATATGCTATCCGCCTGTCCTTCGGATGTTCAGCTGATGGGAAACCCAAAGCTGCACGAGGTGTAGACCCATTTTGATTAGTCTGCTTATCCTTGAAAGCTATATTCGAGTTCTCTCCACAGTGCTAGCAGAATACATTGATTTTCCCATAATTCAAGACCTGTCTTGCTTTGCGACCCCGTCGCAGTGTTTGATAATCCACGGGTGTTTTCGGATATTCTCCAAGGCAATTCTCTTTTCCGAATCAAGAACAAGTAGCTTGATCCTTGTCAGTAAGTGTTTGGTAAAATATTTGAACATGAGCTCACCTTTTCGATAAGATCCTTAGCTTCTACGCTAACAAAAGACGGGATAGTCATATCCCCCTTGGCGATTCGCTTCTGTGTCATAGCAGGAGTATCTTCAAAAGGTGCTCTCCCAACTAGGAACTCGTACATCAAAACACCTAGAGCCCACAGGTCAACCTTTTCATCATAAGGCGTGTTGCACCTCTTCGGATCGGCCATCTCAGGAGGTAAGTAGTCTAATGTTCCACACTTTGTGAGTCTGCGACTACTTGGTGAATGAACACTCCAGCCAAAGTCAGACATTTTCAGCTCTCCGTGAATACCAATAAGAATATTCTCAGGCTTGATATCCCTATGAATGACATGCTTTTGATGCAAGTATCGTAAAGCACTCGCCATTTGGGCAATGTATTGCGCTGCCTTCCACTCCGGGAAACGCTCTTCTTTCTGCAAGCGCTTGTATAATTCCCCTTTGCCGGCATACTCGAGAATTAAGATTATCCGCTTTCGATCCTGGAAATGACCGTATAGCCGGAGGACGTTGGGGTGCCGCAAATTGCTCTGAATCTCGATTTCACGAGCCACCTGTTTTTCGACCCGTCCTTGTTGGATTTCGTTCTTGTGTAGTACCTTGAGCGCACAAACAAACCCCGTCTCTCGTTCCCGCGCAAGGTATACTCGTCCAAACTTTCCTTTTCCTAGGGGTCGGCCGATTTCGAACATGCCCAGGTGAAATTCCTTCGGGACAGGTTGTTTGATAAACTGAGCGAACTGCTCTCCTGTCTTTGCCATTGCGTTGGTTGCCGCCGACTGAGCAACAGAGGGGGCGCGTCGAGCCGGAGAAGGAGCATGTTCGCCTTTCGCATGCGCCACTTGGGAAGCGACATGATTGACGGCTGTACTTTGTCGCTTGGCATCACTTGTATGGTGCTTTTCATTTGCGGGCGCTGCATTCGATTGCGATAGAACAACAGAGAGGGGATGTCGAGCCCGTAAAGGTTGCCCTGCTTTGGCTTGAGATACTGGGGAAGCGACATGTTTCAACGCTGTAAGTTGTTGTTTTCCTTCCTGGGGAACCCTCTCGGGTCTTTGTGTTGAGATAACCGATAAGGGCGTTCGAGCTCGCCGAAGAGATTTTGCACCGGTTTCTAAAGCCACTTGGGAAGCGACAGGTTCAATGGTTGTGTGTTGATTCTTATATACAGCAGAATTCAAAATTTCTGCTTGTCTGACTCTGTCTGATGGACGAGCGCTAGTGAGTGCAACCTGCTTCCTGTCAACACTTGTGCTCTCGACGGATATTGAAAGGGCTTCATTGTGCGTACTTACTTTGGAGGTCCGGTGTCGGTTGGTCTCATTGTTTACATCTTTTGCATCCTCGACAGACAAATGCCTGAAGCGAGACTCGAGCGTCGTAGTCGCCATACTAATTCCGATGCCGTCTCAAAGTTACTTCCGTGAAAGTAAACAAGAGGATCGTCGGTGGAAACGATGATCACGTATGGGGTAGGAACTCAGACTTGAAGAGTCTCTTATAAATAATGGTAGGTAAAGATGAGTTCTGTTTATAGTAGAATAATTTTTTTAAGCCAACACCAAATCTGGATAGAATGTCTCCCAGGTCGGATGTGGTTTGTTTATGCCATTCTCCGATGTCACGTGGTATTGATATCATTGGTGGCACGTGACCTCCGTTGCCATTTGTTCTAGAATAATTGAGTGGAGGTGCTGCTAACTTTGGAGGCGTTTAGAATCTTAAATCTGCTCGATAGTGTAGCCGCACATGTCTGCACACCGAACCAGCAAGTAGACTCGGCGAAATGCAATTTCCGTCGGAGTACAACCAAATGCAATCGGTAAACCGGGTTGCCATGCCAACCCGGCCCGGTCAAGATGGGATGCGAATGAACATGCTCCCCTATCTTGCTGGGAAGACCAATATCAATAATAAATATTAGTCTGCTACATATGGAGCACCATTATGTAGTCAGTTAAAACAATAGTGTTTATTATTGGTGGTGCATGTGGCACGGTAGGGTAAAGGGGCTCATTAGTCTAGCAAAGACCACTTCCTTCTCGCCGTTCACCGGCATTCATCGTGATTAGCCTGCAAATATCTGCAATTTCTGGTCGATGCTACCTGTAGCGACAACGCACTGGATCTGCAAATCAGACGAGTCTTCCCCACGTGCCTTAGCGTCATCTCATGTCTGTCTCTTAGCAGCACCTGCAACATCCGTGGGGTGATCTTTGACAAATCCTGGAGGCCATCTCAAACACAGGTGACGAACCCCCCATGTGCATCTTTCAGCGTTTTAACACATTTTCCTCCCTGGCCTAAATCCCAAGAACGTATTGTGTTATCATCGGAGACAGAAAGGAGATACCGGCCTCCAGGGTGGAAAACAATTGCTCGTACCCAGTTGTCATGCCCAATCAACACCTCAATGCAAGTCCTCCAAGCGTCCCAGATTTTGATAGTCTTGCTACACGACCCAGTTGCCATAAACTCAGCCGTGCTTCCTATATATGGGGGTTTCGGTAACCCGGCTAATAAACCAAGGTACTGATATGAAGCCGGTGGAGCAATCGCACAACACTCATTGAAGTTTGCATGGCCGCTCAATGTCAATTTGTTTTCCGGTTTTGTTGAAATGTCCCATAAACGAACAGTTATATCATCCCCGGTAGAAAGGAGGAACCCTCGTCGAGAGCCGGATAGACATCTCGCACCCAGCCAGTGTGGCCTTGCATTGTCCTCACGCAATGCCCATTAGTTATATCCTATAACCTCATATGCATATCTTTGCTTGCACTAGCAACTAATCTCCTATTTGGTATGAAACGGACGGCACTAATAATATAGTCATCCCCGTGCAAAGTCCGAATATTCTTATATCCGTCTGCTGGATTTCATGACTTGATGGTCAGGTCGGAACTGCAGGAGGCTAAAAGAACGCCAAAGGCCCCAGGAGGGCAACCATAATCAAGGCCACAAACTGCTCTTGTATGGCCCTTAAGTGTCATCTCTAATTCCCCAAGTTCCCAGTCCCATATCTTAATCTTGAAATCGTCGAAACCGGAGGCAATAGAAGGGTTCTTAGGATGGAAAGCAATACAGTTGACAGTGTTCCGATGGGAGAGTAGTGAGTACCGGGGATGTTGGGAAGCCACGACTCTGGGTCTCGGTTGCGTGCGGAGGTAGGTAGGGGCCAAATTGTCAAGTTCAGATTGTAAAGCTGCGTGTCGTGAGTCAAGATCCATGATCTAGAAAATAGGTTAGTTCCCGTATTACGATGTACATACCCGTAGATGAAAACCCCGTTGAGTAATCCGCAATGCTGACTTGCCTTTCTCTGTAAGCGGGCAGTGCTCGTCCATTTCTTCTCTAGCAGAGTCTCGTATTTCTTCACTGCCGTTGCATCAAAGTCGTTCTCTACAACCCCCAATTCACTTCTCAGGATGGCAGCGGTTCCTAGAAGACCATTTACTGATAAATATGCTATAATGAATCTCTGTCTGCATGTATGTTTAGCATTAGCTAGAAAACAATTACCAAAGCTTGTCCCCCCAAGCATATATTTACAGCTCTTCGGCTTGACGATGGGTCAATAAATGGGCCATCTTTCATTACGGGCAATCTCAAAACCCAATAAATTTATAATAGAACGAGCCGGCAACCTATCTAGCGTTGAAAAGGAAAAGGAGGATGCACGATCGGAATGCCGAGATGTTGACCGGTTCAGCTGTAAGGTCAATTTCGCCTTCAGAATGACTACTATTCAAATCCGCAACAGTGCAGCCTCCTGGTGCGATTGATTGAAGAGTCTTCATGCTTCCGGCGGCGTTGAGATCCCTTGACAGATATGTCAACTTTGATGAGGTTGCGATGATGGACTCATCACTCGATCCACGGGATCTGGCACGTTTAACAAGGTCAGTATCAGCCAAAGTAGCGTTTCCGGTTACAGGGTCTCTGCATTGCTTGGTCTCAGCGAGCCGCATAACTGCTAGTCCGGAAGGGAGGGGAATCTCTTCATCTGGGATTCAAGCCGGGATCCAGTTTGCACGATTGAAGACTTACAGCAATGTCCTTTGACATCACAAGGTCGCTTATGCGGCCAAATATTCTTGTATTGTTGATGCAGAAAGAAATAAAGGGACAGAGTATCTATATTCCTGTGAATCCGGCAAAGAAAGGTCTCAAGTCTGGACTAGCAAACGGCGTAGCAAATAGTAGGGATATGATATCACAATAGACATCAACAATAATACCCACTCGTGCTTGCTACATGTAATACGGCTAGGTATTGGCACTGTGAGTGACAGGGGGATTCAAAGAGATGTTCTTGATTTTTGTTCATCCCAAAAGAGGCATAAAAACCCATGAGCAAACAAGGCCTCAAGCAAATTTCTCACCCCCACCTGGTAAATGATAGATAATCAAACCCACAATTGTCCTCAGTTGTAACCAGAAGCAGAATTACTTTCAGTCGCTACTTGTAAGAGAGAAGGAAAGTTTTCACCTATCCGGTTTCTAGGGATGGAGCTCAATATGTGGTTCCGGTTTGGCGTTTGTTGTTTGTTTGCTCGGAATGGGTATAGAAATGTTGACCGACTCGGAACGACTGAGACTCGTCGGCTCCGAGGATCTCAATTCACGGGGCTGCAATGACTGATATCGGGTACCCGGTGGTATTTCCGGGAGCTCAATGATACTGTCTGAGCAGAGAGATGATTGTGCGGGTTTGGACGCAGCCCCATCTGTGTCCAATTTAGCGAAGACGAATTTTTGCAGAGTTGGAAGTCATGGCAACCAACGCTCTTCTTCGGTTCCCCAGACCGACTGGGAATCGTTGTTCAAGAATAGAAAATCAATCCACCTTCGAAGCAGGCTTCGTAGTGAGATAATGGGGCAACAATCCATCAAGGGTCCTATTATTATTGGAATGATGGTATATAGAATTAAGTAGCAGAGAAGCTTTAATAGACGCTGGTAATTATAGGGAATAATCTGCCCTCAATTAGCATTGTGCATGTTGCTACACTCTATAATTCCCGTGTTCTTCCGTATTAATCTCTCATTCCACCGTGACAGTCATTGACTAAGTCATCGATGTGTACGTGAATAAAATCTGACTTTCTTTTAAGGTTCAAAGGTTCTCAATGCTTGGGTTGTCGTTGATATGGAGTACGGAGTTGCTCAAGGGAACATCCTCAACTACAAATATGGTAAACTCGCTAAAATCTTCTACAAAAATCATATTGGCCTGAAGCTTGTCGAGTCAATTACTAAATCTAAGTATTATATGTAAGTTCATTTGTTTGCTATATTTTTGATAGTCTGAAATGGCAGAGGTGCTATGTGGTTGGAAGTAGCTACCTAGCTTGTATAGATCTGACCGGGGTTCATGTAATTCCACAATTCTCGAGGAATTCGCCGATTATTTAGTTTGGATATACCTGCTAGACTACCCCATAGATAGTATTGAAAGGCCCAAAGTGGCTATTGAAAACTCTAGAAAGGACGAGGATGGGTCGCGTCAAAGATTATTGGCTGACGAATATGGAAGTGAAGACTGATTTGTCTTCAAAAGGCAAGCCAGGTTTACTGGAAAGTCCATTATGTGAGGGGCTCACTAATGTCACACATAGTATGCGTGTGTAACTCCCACCAGTCTTACAATATATACGTGATTACATGAGTGCCCACAGCTCTGAGATAATCCTTCAACCGTATTCCCGAAGAGTCTCGAAAGCGATGGAACCGAGCGAAATACAACGAACAATAGAAACACGATCGATCAACTATGAGTCCGAAGCCAAGTCGAAAACAAGAGATATTCAACAGGCCGTTAGCTCTATGACTTCAGATCGAGCCGAGCAGGTAGTCCGAGAGTCAGGACAGGACCTTTACTCGGAGAACCTAGATGCAACAGGGAAGCACTATCCATTTCGCATCTTACAGAAGAATAAGGACGTCGAGCGTGTGGTCGTTGAGTGGTTCATAGTAAACTCTGCCCCTCTATCCTGTTCTTCTAGTCTTTAATCATTCGTAGGACCGAGCCAATATTGAGAGAGTGGCAAGAAAGTTTGGACGAACAGTCTCCTCAGATCCACGATCACATCTGCTCCAATGGTTCTTGATATGCACTACGCATATGCCGCAGCCTGGAATCCTGAGCCAGGGGATGGCTCCGGACGACCGAACTAAAATAATAATTTGGATTGCATTGGGGAAGGTTAGCCTTGATAATGGGCATTTGCATACGATGGAGAGCGGGCAAGACATGAGTCTGGATGGGCGTGAGAGCATCACATTTTCTGGTAAACCTGGAGGACTAGCTGTGCTATTATTATTAAGTATATGATTGACATTGACTGTCACTGAATTATCAATTCTCGACCGGGGATGGCATCCTTCCATGATATAAAGGAAGCACTAGGGTTCCAAAGTCACCCAACATGTAATTGTCCCAGTCCACTAAGTCAAGGGAGGGAGTATCACCAGTTGGTGGAAGCGGGTTTGATATAGACTCCGGGAAAATGTCATTGTAGATCTCTAGGGAGAATGAAGAACCCCAATCCAGGTGGTCTTGGCGTGATTTTGATTGCCAGGAAGGCAGTGGGTTAGGTATTTCAAGGATAAAGTGTTCCCCTCGTGGTAAATGCTCCAATTCAGACGCCGTCTGTACAAAGGTCGGGGAATGTTGCGAAAATGTTGCATCACCACCGACCGGGATGGAAGAAGTTAGTAACTCCTGTGAAGCATCATCAGTCGGGTGAGGAGGGGAGGTTTCCCAGTTTGTTGGTGTTGGATTATTCGGCGATTCCGCTAGTAACAATTGATGGGATTTAACCAATCCCCGAGGGCTCTGGCAACCCTGTGAGTTTCTTGTAATACTTGACAGCACCTCAGTAGCTTGCGCATCGTCGAATGATGGCTCGTTGTTATCCGAAAGTATGTTTATATCAGCTGCTGGAGAGGTTCGAGAAGTCACCAATGGGAGCATATGACTTTCAATGCTCGGCGCTCTTAATTGGCTTCCTGCCTCTTGCCCTGAAGAACCATCACTGGACTTCAAATAATAATCCGTGATAGCATTGAATGCCTTGCGTAGAGTCGATTGAATCCGAACTTGAGGAAGCGTTTGGACGAAACCATTTATGGCTTCAATTTCAACGAGAGGCCATGGGCGACGCTCAAATCTGATATGGTAAGACTTTATCCCACTAATCGTTTAATGCTAGGACCATACTGGGTTACATTGATGTTTTGGAAAGCAAGGATCATTTCCTTAGCTTTGAGCTGGCGCCATTTCCACCCGGCTAGGGAATATCGGGTAATTTTGTCCTGGATCTTCTGCTGTTTCTCGGCCGTGAGATCGGGCCAAAGCTGCTGCGTTAAGGAGCACATTGCATTGTGGAGACATTCTTGATCTCGCCGGTGCCAGTCTGTTGTTCCTCTGGATCTCTTCCTTCCGGTAGGCTCGGTGTTTGGCTGGGCTTTCTGGGTTTGCTGGACTTGTTGTGAAATAGTGACCAATAGGATTCTTCGTCGCAAAGGAGAAAGTTCATCAATCGCATTCAGATCATTGTAGCAGCGGCGGGTGATATTTTCATCTGAAGGACCACCAGTCCAAAATAGACCAGGGCTTTTAGCCCACAGTACCGAGCATACGAGTAAATTTTTGATTTGCTCCGTCGATAGATCCCAATTCCTTGTGAGACGGGCAAGCGCATTAGCTGTTGTGGACTTGAGCTTTTCGCCTTTTGTTGATGAAAAGTTTAGGAACCAGTTCTCGCGTTCTTTCAAGGCTAATTCCGAATCTGACTTCCTCGATCTGCGTTTCAGCTTTCTTCTGAACGCGTCATGGAGAGCGACAATTTGATCGGGGCATTGTATGATTTCTTCAATCACACGGGAAATTTCCTGTGACATTCAATATCAAAATATTGCACCACAACTTAGAAAAAAGGCTCACTCTATCTCCAACTTCGCGGACTAATCTACTGATGTTGAGAAGACTTGAACGAATATCTGCATCGACCTGCACCTGGTTAGTTGAGCAACAAGTTGGGCAACTTGTACCTACTTGCGAGGTCATATTGAACGTAGATTTGTAGTACTTGAAACATTACCCGAGAGGGGATTTGAAGTACCTCCAGTTGAAAGTTACACTGATGCTACTGTAGCAGGACAACAAACTACGCGCGTAGTTTGTGACCATCCTTGTCAAAATATATTCTTCCGGTAGTGTAGTGGGACTTGAGTAACCTCAGGGGAAGCTAGTATATAACCATTTCTCTGGCCGATAATTGTTCTAGAGATTTTCTATTAGATGATGCAAATATCTGAATATCCGAGCTCCTTCAAATAGGGTAGATGAAGAATTTGTTCTCCACATCAGTCATATCCAACATGGCAATTTCAACGTGCCTGCGTATCATGTTGCCATTTTCATCAAGTTCCTCGACTACTCCGAATTCATGAGTCTTTCTCTCTTCGCTGCTCAAGGATGCAGCCCAAGCCTTCCGGTGAACGTTCCTCCGTTTTAATATAAATCGTATAATGAAAAGGATCAACGGTGTCCCCACCCAACTGACCACTATCATGGAGACCCAGGCACCGTAATATCGAGGTGCATCCTTAGGAACCCATATCTGTGGCGAGCAAATGTTTGCAATGGAATAACCAACCATGAACATAACATTCCGCGTTAGCTTCTTCGTGTAGCCGGCTGCAGATGACGTAGCCCAACCTAAGGCAATAATGTAAGTATTACCATAGGTATGGCCGGCCAGCAACAGACACGCAAGCATCCCTAGTTTCTGGTCCCAATTAATAGCAACCATCCCAATCCCACCTGCAATTGCAGGGATACACCAGAAAAGTCCATGGAAGGCAAGATTTGAAGGCCACCACCGCAGGGCAAATGCACCTGCAAGACAGACCAGCACACCAAACCCGCCACCAGCTGCAGCCACAAGGGTCGAACCCAAACTGTCCACCCCAAGAGCCTTAGTAATGAGGTTCTGCTGCCCGTAGGTCAGATTATTAGACATCATTAGGGTGAAGGCCTGCAGTGTAAATAGCCATGAGATGGGGTCGCGGAGTGTCTCTTTGAACTGGTCTTTCTTGAACTGCTTCTGCTCAATAGAGCTTTGACTTGACTCGTGGACTCGCTTGATGGTGTGAATTTTCTCCTCCAGTGACAGGAATGTAGCGTCAGCTGGGTTGTTCGGATAACGAAACCAAACAAGAACGGAGAGAAGGACCGAGACACCCCCGGTAATGATCATGAATAGCTTCCAGGGCAGTATAGTGCTATGACTCCAAAGCAAACCGTAAGAGATAAATGCGGCACATATTGGGGCGGCTGCCGATGTCAACCAAAGGAAGGGTTGGAGAAACGACTGTTCGTAACGATTAAAGAACATCCCGATCGTCACTTCCATTGCAGGTACAACTACAGATTCAGCGGCGCCGAGCGCCAGTCGCAGAACCACAAGAGCGCCATATGTTGTGGCAACGCAATGCAATAGTAGGATGACACCCCACATGAAGACAAGAGTTGCGACAAATTTTCCAAATGGCAGTTTTTGCATGGCATAATGACCTGGCCATTGTGCAACAATGTAACCTACAAAAGTGTTAGGGGAGGTATAATTGGAACAACAGTACTGTCACATACCAACGTAGAAGAAAGTGCCAAGATTGTTGTATTGAGCCTTGCTTATGCCAGTCTCCTCGAACAAGCCAAGAATAGCGGCATAACCCAGAGTGGATTTGTCAATCTAGAAAGATTAGATGTTGTAAACACGATGTTCGGATAACGATCTCACAAAGAGTAGTAGGTTGATGGCGGAGAGTAGCCCAAATATATGCCAGTACAATTTGCGTCTCAGCGTTTTCTCCTTCTCGGTTGTCAATGGAGCAACCGAATCCCCATGAAGTTCAAGAATGCGGAGAGTTTCATCAGCGTATTTAGTGCCGATAGCCCTTTCGTTTTTAAGCGATGGAATCTCCGTGCTCGTCGGCTCGGCCTTGAAGGCCGAATCCATCCGTAGTTGCAGCTTATTATTTGGCAATGAGCAAAAGTGTGCAGCGGTGACTCGAGTATTTGAATGAACAGGTAATATTGGAGGAAGAATCTTCGCTGAGTGAGTAATTTTATATTGTTTTGGCGTTAGAATTTATCACGCCATAGTTGGAATAAAACACGTATTCTCTCTTGTTTTCCTTATCTTTAGAAATGGACCATCACAATTATAAGGAAAATTCCGTATTGTACACAACCCAATTATAGTCCTTAAGTCACAGATATCTTTCATAGTAACAAGGGCCCTTGGTAGCCTGGGGCTTGCATGGAAGGGCCCCTAGTGACAGCACTTGTAGTTTGCTCTCCTATCATCTCTCCTTTCCTATCTCCTTTTATTTCCCCTTTCGTTTTTCCCTGTACACTTCTAGGGTTTCTTCATGAGAGATATCCTGCATCGGACCCTAGAAAGGGGCCTGTGAAGCAAGCATACAAGAATGAGCATGAATCGCCTCTCCTTGCCTCATCAATCACTCCGTACACAAACTCTAATTGAGGGCCGTGTGAGGGTAGGCGACATCTCGGAATCTATTATAGATTAATTCTAGACACTTATTTGCCGTTAAAGATTATTGCCAAGGTATGTTGTTCAACTCCATGCTTGGTCTAATTGAACCGCGTTAGGGACCAGCAATTTCTTGAAGACGTCGCTCATACCCATCCCAACACAGGACATAATAAATAGAAAAGTAGGACCCAAAATGCCCAATACTATCACCATTGCCAGAAGTGATATGATTGCAACCAACCAATCTTGGCGCATATACATCTACCATCAGCTGCAGGGAAGCCTATTACTTGCGCCATTGAGCTAGCTATAACGTGCTAGATCTACTTCTGCTTAAACGAATAGGCGTCCCAATGAGGATTCAGAATTTATCTATCTTCTTATGCAAATATAGTATCACGACAAACGTCTACTGCCATCTTTATTTGTGTACAATTATTGTTGGTTACTTTACACCAGATTACTGATATGAAGACTCCCTCTCCGCCAGATATTATGGAGAATCAATCATTGCGCGATACTTTCCCCACTTGTAATGTAAGGTGCTTTTGTGGAGAACGTTATACAGCGATCTGGGCACCGAATGACGAATTATCCCTGTGTTTCTTCGTCAACGGCAGTATATGGCCAATCTCCAATTCAGCCCACTGCATGATGGTAACATTCGCTACTCCAATGTTGAGATCATGCTCCACAAACATGTCACTCGCACGTCAAATGAAATCGTAACCATTGTATTGGACAAAAAGCCCGGAGATAAAACAGGAAAGGACGAAAGTGCGGTACCTTGGTATATAGATAGCACACACGGCACAGTTTTACTTTATCTCTCCAGCATATAGACAACCATATCAGCCGACGGGATACTTGTCACCTTGCATCTTTATATTTCTATTTGCGAGAAGAATCTTCCCAGACATACTTAATCTTCACAACGTTTGATAACTACCCGCAATGGGTTGGCGACAATCCTTCAGCAAGCGTCCTGCTGCAATCAGTACAGTGGCCGAAGGCCAGTCAGAGGAGACCTTAACTGCTGGGGGCAAGTATATCGGCGAGATAGGAGGCAATAATGCACCACCCACGTACCAGGATGCATCTGGCGCTCCAGTCGAGAGCAAGTCACCGTTAGGATACTCTGTGGGCCCCGTCACAATCACCCTGCTGAATGTCACAATGATGATCGGCGCTGGTATCTACTCCACGCGTGAGTGCGACACAGCCCATGCATATCTAGAAATGCCAGCTAATATAACGAAGCATCATCTATCCTGTCCGGTACGGGCTCGGTCGGCGCCAGTCTCATGTTTTGGACCCTCGGTTACTTGGTACATCTCGTCCATAATTGGAAAGCAACATCTACTGATTGTTCTCGCTCCGCCCTAGATATGCCTCACGTCTGGAGCTGTGTATCTCGAGTTCACGGCATACTTCCCTAGCCGATCGGGATCAGAAGTCGTTTTCCTCGAACAAGCATACCCTAGTCCGAAATGGCTCTTTCCAACCACCTTTGCGGTCCAGAGCGTTATTCTTTCGTTTGGAAGTGCCAATGCTACAGGTTAGTGGGAATTTGCATTCTCTTTGTTGGAAGACATTAATTAACAAATCATAATAGTCATGGCCAAGTATCTAATCGCCATCTCCGGGCACACGGGCACCGACTGGCAGATCAAAGGCACTGCGCTGGCCTGCTACAGTCTTGCTACCTTGAGTAGGTTTCTCACAATGCATGATTTTGTTTGAATCTGGAATGCTGACAACTCACAGCGCTGGTGTTCCATACGAAATACGCATATTGGTTCTCAAACGCTGTTGGGGTTGTGAAGATTTGCACCCTTCTCTTTGTTATACTCACTGGATTTGTCGTTTTAGGGGGCAATACCAAGGTTGAGAATCCCAAGGCCAATTTCCAAGATGCATGGTCAGGTAGCTCCAAAGCTTCTGCATACGGATTTACTACTGCATTATACCGAATCATCTTCTCCTATGGAGGTTATAATAACGCCTTCAATGTTGCCAACGAGGTTAAGGTATGGCGGCTCGACATTCATGTGGAATGGGCTGAGACTAACACTTCCGTTGATAGAACCCCGTCAGGTCGCTCAAAATCTACGCCACCGCTGCTCTTACAACAGTTTATGTGTTATATATGTTTGCAAATATCGCATTCTTTGCTGCCGGTAAGCCATCGATAACCTACCCTATGTTAGACTCACGACACTAATTGTATGCGATTCCACAGTTCCCAAGGAAGAGATAGAGACCTCAGACCTAACCACTGCAAGTCTGTTCTTTGAGAAGGTCTTCGGCAACAGCGGCGCAGTGCGCGGCCTCAACTTCCTCATTGCCTTGGCTTCCTTCGGTAACATGATAGCCGTGATAATTGGTCTATCTCGGAGAGTCAGAGAATGCGGGCGACAGGGGGTTCTACCTTGGACAACCTTCTGGGTCTCGACTAAACCATTTGGCACAACCTTAGGCCCGTACTTTGTCATTTGGTTTCTTACGATACTGATGATCCTAGCTGTCCCTGCTGGAGACGCTTTCACTTTCAGTATGGCTCCTTTTTCTTTTCCACTCTGCTTGACTTTCTTGCAATGCTAACAATGAACAGTCAACGATTTGAAGATTATGCCCGATGCTGTCTTTAACCTTGCAATGGCTCTTGGTCTCTACGTTGTTCGCTGGCGCCGGAGAAAAGCCAACCTCCCTGAACCCGAATTCAAGGCTTGGAATGTCGTCATTCTCTTCAATATTCTCGTTCAGCTCTACCTCCTTGTCATGCCGTGGTATCCACCCATTGGTGGCCAGTATGCTGGTGATGTCAGCTTTTGGTATGCAACTTATGCGGTGACAGGAATTGGAATGTAAGTCAACCACACTTTGCCTACACCGACTTATCCTGCTACTAGTCTATTTCTTACTAATGAAACTACCTAGTCTTCTTGCCTGTGCCATATATTACTATCTTTGGGCCTTCCTTATTCCTAAATGGAGAGGCTACAAGCTGCGACAGGAACTTGTGAACCTAGGTGGCGGCGTTCAGAGCAATCGCCTCAAAAAGGTCCCCAATTCTGAGATCGCAGAATGGGATGCGACTCATGACTCGGCTGGCCGTCTCATCGAATCGCCCGTTGAGATCCAGGTTCAGGCAAAAGCGATTGATTTGGAGACCTAGAGTGAAGGAACTTTACTATCTCCCGTCTACTTGCTGATTAGGTTATTTGCAAGACTTATACAGCTGGGAGAAGAGACAGACTCATATATATACTCTGGCCTTAATGAATCCCTCTGTTGTTTTCTTTCTCCTTCTGCTTCTGGTAGTGCTAGCCTGGTCGATGTTAGCTATAGTGGTGTGGGTAATATGTATGAGAATGAGGTAGAGGGTGAATACTCATCGAGGTGCTACGTACCCAGCCAAGCGAGCTTTTCTGTCCCCATAAAGCACATAGTTCTGCTAAAAACTCCTAGTAACCTCAATCTGGTAGAGACACAGTGATCTTACAAAAGAAAGGGTCTTATTCAATGATGGAGAGAGAGGTGCATAAGTTAAAAATCTCTGGTATTCATTTTATAGGAAGCAGGGCATTTATACCCTGGCAAATAGTAAGCAAACTAAACACTCAGTCTACTACAAGCATGTGCGATCGAATGTTTTATAGTGTAACAGAGAGGGGGCGGGTGGAGAAGCAACATGAAACTTCCAGGCGACAGCTTGAACCCTGACTTGTGGTTCACGACTGATCTTTAGCTTTCACTTGCCGCACTGCTCAAAGGCTATATGTCCAGAACAAACAGTTTGGACAGCCCTAGACGCAAATAGCCGCGACACCAATGCACTAGCTTAAAATGGCCATTACACCGTTGGTGTGACCAGGGATTTGGTAGATGTTGAGACCCGAGTCATCCGTAACCCAATCCACATTGCGGCTATCAGGACGAACGGACAATGCCATGATGAGCTCATCTGGCCTTCCGGTCAGGTTAACCATAGAACTAACGCTTGCATCTTGTAACGGCGCGCGTAACAAAACAGTGAGTACATCTAGACTTCTCAGGACGGAACCAGAAGACATACCACGTGAGGCATGGAGGGGCGAGGCACGAGCAGCAAACCAGTTTGTATAATAAAGTATGAGGTATTCCAGTAAAGATAGCAGCGATGCTAGAGGGCGTAGTGTAAGGGAAGAGAAAAGAAATCGCAGGCGGTTACTGAATTAGGTATAGGATACCGTCGAAGAAATTCCAATATCGTCATGTACTCCTTTTTCAATGGAAAATTGACCGGAGGAATTCTTCGATGAGGGAATCTACCTCCATATATATGATGATTGGTAGGGGATGTCGGCGTCTGCTGGCAGGGACAAACGCGCGTTGTATATTGACCCTGAATTTCTTTGGAACTTGATTCGGCTTGGAGATTGTTCTTATCAGCCCAGCAACTTCACAATTAGTCATGCGGGGAAGATGAAAGTAAAAGTGAAGTTAGAGGAAGAAAAGGAAGAAGAGGAAGGAAGAGTCAAAATATATTTGGAACTACAAAGGCAAACAAGGACCCGTGGAAACCACCATGGGTACCCGAGGCATATATGGGCGACAGGGCCCTCCGTCTAGCCTACCCACTAGTTCAGGTCCAAAACGCCATTTGGAGCGCATCACACATCAGAGTGATGCACCTCTTTCCCTCAGACAATGCCCCATCCATAGCCAAAAACGGATGCGGCATGCCCTTCATAACCTGCAAATCAACAGGCACACCAGCGTTTTTTAACTTCTCCGCATACTGCTCGCCCTCCGAACGCAGGACATCCAACTCGCCAACCATAACAAGTGCGGGTGGCAGTTGCGAGTAATCGCCTTGCCAGAACAGCGGGCTTGACTCTGGGTTGGTACGGTCCGCATCATTGGGGACATAGTGGTCACGGTACCAGTACATCTTGAGTGCGGGAAGTGCGGGGGTATGCTCGTATCGACGATATGACTCGTTGTTCTCTACTGTGGCAGTGTTGTCTGTGACAGGAACAGAGAGGAGCTGGGCTTTGAAGTGTACAGGCGGCGACAGGGTCAGTGCCTTGTGCGTCATAATTGCGGCAAGGTTTCCGCCGGCGGAGGAGCCACCGGTTGCGATTTTGGATATGTCCACTGAGAGTGCAGCGGGGCCATCAGCAAGCAACCAGAGGAGAGCTTCCCAGCAGTCATGGACTGCGGCAGGCCAGCGGTTTTCGGGTGCGAGACTAGAAGAACATAAGATAAATTAGGTTGACACTTCTCAAGGTTACGTATGCAATGGCATGAATAGGTAGTGGAGTTTGCTGACTTACCGGTAGTCAACTGTAATCACAACGCAGTTTCCTCGTACACAGAGGTTCGAGCAAACCACATTCTCTGTGTCGATGTTACCTAGAACCCAGCCACCGCCGTGGAAATACAGCATCACTGGCCATCCACCCGGAGGCGCCTGGCCCTTGGGAGTAAAGCATCGGATGGGTACTGCTGGACCCTCGGTAGCTCGTCGCTGAACCGTAATGTCTTGAGTCTTACCCACCTCCAGCATAGGACCTGCACCAGGGATCAAGACTCCACTTGTGCGTGACGCCTCCACGGGCCGGAGGTGCACCTGTTGGTTACTGATGACATGTTCGTTATAGAATGCCACATACTCCGGGTCCAATAGGTCTTTTACGGACTCGTGGAGCGGATACGGTGGTTGAGTAATGCCAGCGGTCATTTTGAAGTTATTGTAGGAAGAAAGAGATGGGTCCTATACTTTCAGCGTCTCAAGGCCTGAGACTATGTATTCAAGTAAGTCCACCCCCACGCAGAGGGTGGGATATTGGGAGAGAACAATGCGGGGAGAACACCGCTGATAAGCTGATAAGTCCACTGTTCAGCTACTTTAGGCAATGATCGACAGGACTGTTGCAGTTGCCCCCCCCCGTCGTCTCCATTATTTGAGTGTTACCCATCCCAATCTCCAGTCGATATCCGCCATACCCCTCGTAAAGCCCCTCATGAGCCATTTCATACTCTTTGGCTCTGTGCTATCGTCCAATATGGAGCCTTTTGTTACGTTTTAGTCCGGGCCGATGTGGGATGCAGCCGTAGCTCCAGATGCTACCCTCCGGATGATAAAGAGCGTCTTCCCCGCGCAGGGGGTAACCTCCTGCTTATTTTTATAAGTTTGCCTCATCCCTAGGTCGCACTCTATTTACCTCTCTCAGAAGCTCTCACGATGTCCACCAAGACCCCTATCCTCACTGACAAGGCCCCCAAGCCCCTCCCCGGCATCTACTCCCAGGCCATCGTCGCCAATGGCGTTGTCTACTGCTCCGGCGCTGTCGCAATGGATGCCACTGGCAAGTTGATTGATGGTGATGTCAAAGCCCACACTGTAAGATACCAGCAAGCCTAAATTGACCCGATTCAGACTGCTAACAAAATCAACCTCCAACAGCACCAATGCATCAAGAACCTGACCCACATCCTCGAGGAAGCCGGCACCGATATCACCAAGGTCGTCAAGGTCAATGTGTTCTTGTCCAACATGGATGATTTCGCCGAGATGAACTCTGTTTATATGCAATACTGGGGTGATGTGAAGCCTTGCCGGACGTGAGTTCTTACCCCGCTCTTTATCGTTGGGGTCATTTGGAGTCATATTTCCCCCTCCATTCTTTTCGTAGTATGCGGTGTGATGCTTGCAGCTGCGCATCAATACGCGTGAGTCTGCATATATAATTTGATGTGTTGCTAACGCGTATATCGTGCAGATGTGTTGCGGTCAAGACGCTCCCTCTCAACACTGACGTCGAGATTGAGTGCATTGCTGTGCTGTAAATTGGCCCTTGTTTCCTTTAAAATCTATAGACAAAACTGAAGAATGAGGACATGATTGCTACTACAAACCACCTTTCAGTAAGATCAAAGGCTAGCCACCTATAGATACCTCAGGCATTTCTAGTGACTCAAGGTCCAGGCGGTTATGAAGACTAGGAAGTCCAGTAAAGTATCTTTGAAATGTATATTTTATAATGTCTCATGACAAAAAAGGGTGCGCCCTTGATGTTTGTTTCTGAACATCGGGTCCCCTACGAGCGAGATCATCTAATGTGTGTCCCCACAACCTTCAAAAGGGCAAGTGCCGGAGTGTATTGTGTCACTGCTGCTTGGAGTTCCTTCAACCTCTCATATGTGTTGCTCCTGTTGAAAGCCATCTGTCAATCCGACCTTCTCCTGCCTGGTTATGATTGTGGGTGAAAGATTGCATCGCAATGGAGATAAATAAATGTTCAAGAGAAAATAGTCTGACCTGGATCTAGCTGCTTAACATCGAAAATTGTCTAGACAAAGCATTCAATGCTGTATCAGCTCGTCGGATCGTCATATCAAATGATGATATATCAACAGTGCAACGTTCCATCTTTTGGAGCAAGAATGCCATAGGGGTGTTTAAGAAAGTGTTGAAAAGGGGACAGAGGAAGTAAAAGCGTCCAAGGGAGCCTTGGAGGGGGTTTGTGATTACTCACATGTGTCCCGCCCCCCTGCAGGTAGGAAAATCACTTGGGCAAGTCAGGACTCTCTACATTCCAGTTCATCTACATATATGATCACTCTTTTGTTGCCTTGTAGAAATCGAAAGGAGAAAGAGAGAACGTACTTATTGAGCAAAACCTCATTTAATTTTGCACCTGGTGTAGCACCTGGGCAGGGGACATAGCTTACTCACTCTAGGGGTGGTTGATGAAGATTATAATTTCATACCTTAATGCTTGACATTTATATGTATTGCACTTCCTGATTCTATGTTGCATTCAATGTTGTTAGTATAGCAAGTATTAATCCATACAGCTTTGCCGAATTTGTGGTTTTAACTAAGGAGTGCTACTCCTACTGCATTTTCTATGGTATGATCTAGACGGTATGATAGCGAAATCAAGGTTAGATGTCTGTGGACGAATTAGGCTCCCTCAAAACTCTTGTTGCATAGTATACAGAGCCTAGGGTTTTTAGTATAATGTTTTTCATACCCAACCGACTTCGCGATAAATACTTGATGTTATATATAACGGCCAAGTTCATCATGTTGACCACAGTCAGCTTCAACTTCCAAGCGAATATACAACCCTTCGCTTTAAACTGTCGATAAAAGCATTATCCCTGTTAAGACATGACCTTGCCAACATTTATGGTTCATATCTCCAACTTGTCATTTACAAAAAAAACATTACGCCTGGTGGTTACAGCCAATATGAGCTGTTCACAGTCAGATCAGGAGCGCATTCCACAACGCCAAACTATCAGAGACACTTCATTCAAGTACCTGTCAAATGCGTCAGAATGTTGATGAATCTAGGTTGTGATCTAGGATCATGGCTCATTTCTCGTCCTTACTCACAAGGTCACCCCTAAGATCACGTGTTGCATACAGAATCGGTCGGAACTACATTAAGCGATGAGCTATTGACACGAAAATAATAAAATGAGGAGGCATTGATAATGTCATGAGCTTGATTGCAGTATTCAAAGTATTTGTTACGATTGTTGGTTGTTGAAGTGGTTGTTGACCGACGTCATCGAGGGATCTAGGGCACGATCGCCTCCATCCTCCTATCTTCACCTCCCACCACAACCCTTCGATGCACGGAGAAATAATTATACTGAATTCTTATGAGAGAAAACTGGCTCCAAATATTTCATTCTTAGGGGCTGAAACGAACTGACGTCTGTACAGACAGATCTACAGGGATAACACCAACAACAGCCAAACCCTCAATACATCCCTGCCACTAGCAAGTCCTCAGCATTCCAAGCTATTAAAATAAGATGGACTATTCTTTACAGACCCGAATATCCCCAAGGCGTTGGATTCTTTCCATGCACGCCCCCCAGCTACTGCATTCCGCCCCTCCACGCTATATTCGCGTCGACGCGCTCCAGGCCTAAGATCCTTAATTAAATTCCTCTTTAGTCCTTTAATGCTCCTCTTCGTGCCATCCATATGTATGCTCTTCTTTGCACTCAATTGATGAAGCTCAAGCGTGTCTACAACTGGGTTCTATCTGGACCTGGCGCATTCAATACGCCTGTCCTTGACCTACAACACACTCGCATTTTTTCCTACCCAGTTCCCGAGGCCCAGACAGCTTGAAGAGTGTTACAGAAAAGGGTTCGCCTTTTAGTGCTTAAGCTGTCGCGACCATGACGTCTGGATTTTCAGCTACGCCTCGAAAGGAGGGCACATGGACAAAGCTTGTGATATTTGTTGCGCTATACATGCTACTCTTCGAGTCTATCTTGGAATGGGTGCTCGTGCTCTATGTTTACGGTAATGGCCAGGTTGACTCAAAGATGACCCTGAGTGTTGTACTTGCACTTGTCGCAGTATGTTTGACTTCAGTCATATGGTTATTATATTCTCTTGCTGACCTTTACTCAGTCTTTTCTCTCGGTGCCACTTGTCAGCCTCCAAAGCTTGGTCGCTTGGCAATACAACAACATTGGTGGATTCGGAACCCAGAAGACCATTCTGCATAATGTATGCACATATGTCCTTCGCTTGGATCTTATGCTTTGGCTAGCTACAAGTGTAGCTGGTCTAGTGGTTGCGGCGCAGCAGGTTTACTGTCTCCCGGAAGGAACAGATGCAAGTTTTTGGAGAGTCGGTACAAGCTGTGCCTTCCACCGATCATCTGTGATCGTGTCGGTTATCTCAATGTACGCTGCATTCTCACGCCATGTGGTCTTTACTCGAACTGACAAGTATTCTACAGGGTCACCGTGTGCACAATGTACTGTGCGAGAGAGCTCTGCGATCGACCATACGATGTATCTCTTCTTGGCATATACAAGCGCCAGAAATTCAACAGAGATGGCAGTATCGTCTCTGGCAATAGTTGGGATAGCGAGGAAACACTCAAAAACGAGATTTTCTATCTTTGCCGTCAACACGACGGAAACGGTCCCGGGGAGTTCTGGTCTCTAGACCCAATCGCCAACAGAGTCAATTGCCATCCTAGCATCCGCCATCCTGCACCAGTCCGCCTTCGACCTCAACTCCGAGTCAACACCGACGGTTCGACATACGGAGAGATTATGTCTGGAACGACGATTTCACCCGACACTCCACACCGCATCTCTCCTGGATCACAAAGCATGGCTGCTAGCGAATTCTATCCCATCTCGCGCACGTCTACTGTCGTTACTTCACAGACGGCCAACGAGTTCCGTGCTCTTGATGCACCTCTTCCCAAGCTCCCAGGCATTCCTCAGGAATACACCAGTCATAAGAGAGGAAAGCCGTCGCTGTCTTCTCTTAGACGACTCTCTTCTCTAAGGCGTTTTCTGCCAAAGTCTTTCCCGTTGTCACTTCCATTATCAGCGGATCCTGAAATCCAGGCCCTTGCAGACCCCAACAGCGCATCAGACGTCGAAAAGCAGGTCGTGACACCAGACAGCATGCCCAAAGCAATCCCTCAATCCACGACTTTCCAACTCGGCCCAAAAGGCAACACCCCAGATGGCTCTTCAGTGTCCCTCCCCCAAAGCCCTGACAATATTCAACCGAAACTCAAGCCCGTACACCCAGAGGGCCACCACGCCCGAACAATGACAATGAACTCGGCCGACGCACCAGAAGTAGTCCCAACCCCGCCCTCCCCACCAAAGGTCCGCCGCTCTCAAACAGCCTACACCGCACCCGCAGCTCGCTCAATTCACCACCCACACCACCCGAACTTCACCCCACGCCCACCTTCCCAGCCACAACCTCGAGCATACTCCCAGTCTCGCAGACAAGGCCCAGGACCAAATGTGCACCCTAACTCAATTCGCAAGACAACGCAACAGCAAAACATCATCCACTACCCTGCCCGTAGCTCCTCCTACCACTTCGACCCAAACCACACCCCACTCTCGCAGAGTCAGTATGGACACCAATCATCTCACTGGCCAAAACAGCGTCGTTACGATTCAGCTCGCTCCATGCCAGCGCCCATCCCCCGCCGCAACGACGTCGAAGTAATCTACCCCAGCACGCGTCGTCCGCGCAGCAGTACACCTGGTGCCGTGAACGGCCCTCTAAGCTGTATCTTGGAGACTTCTTTTGACCCACATGTGGTGGATGGTCTGAGACCTGCCTCGGCTGCTTGCTTGGAGTTGCCGTCTAATTGTATTGATCAGACGAAGTATCGTGGAGCTAACCGGACAAGTTTGGGCTTTTATTGAGGTTAGTTGGGGAAAACAAGGGAATTAGTATTAATAGCTGTTTGTCTGCTGGTCGGACACTGTTTTGGTGATATTTGATTTGTTTTATATGCATGTGCCTACGTTGTATAACAGATTTTCCTTGGCGGGTAGGTCCTTCCTATTTTAGCAGCCGCTTTTATGAGGGCTCTTAGGCCTAGGCTCATTGAGTCACTAGATCTTAGCACAGGCCTGGGTTAGTGATTATTATAGAGATTTGTCAGTACGACTATGTATGGTATTTTGTTAATATGTACCTACCTAACCCTAACTGATACTAAATATGACGGAACCATGGATTTCGAGGGAAAACAGACCATCTGACCAATCAACTTATACTTTCAACCTTGGAAGGTTCTACGGTCCGTACCTTATATCCACTATCCACATGTACCTAGGTATGTCCTCCGTACAGAGAGTGATATGCATACTATTGGAATACATGTAGTAATTCAGCCTTAGAAGATATTACTACATGCAGTTCCAAGGTTAATTAGTGGTAGTATCGGTAATATATACCGCCAAAAAATGAAAAAAAAAAGAGTTCGTGGCGTGCATGCATGCCTCTCTTCTCGCCCGAGCTGACACCTTTGGACGGCAGGGTAGGTCAAACCTAGCATTCGACCGGCTTTGTGTATAATTCTCATAAAAGATGAAAGGGACTTCCTACTGTGTAGGATAGATTGGAAGCGGGAAATAGAAACGAAAGGCGTACAGGTATAATGAACTAATAACTCTCTAAGATAACCCATGAAGATAGGGCTGGTATACACTCGCAGTATGTATCAATTCAGGTATGTATGCATCTGAATCAGACTCACAAAATATGTTGGTGTATCACTGGTATACCGGGATAACTAGAGGGTCGATCCTCTCCAGGGCTAACTAACTAGTTAGTTAACTATGTTCTGTAATTTACATTATATAATCAAGTCTGTACTGGGCATTTGCTAGGCGGATCGTGAAAAACAGAGACTTGGACACCATCGATTGGACCCCCAAATACACAATACCACTTATTTGGACAAAATACCCCGCAGTGATGTGGTGCGGCTGAGTTCATTTTTCCATCTAACTATGGAATTTCTACTTAACCTTTTCATACAAGACTTTGTACATATACGTTCTCCGCCTTGACCATGTCGAGCTCTCAGGTGGCCTCGTTATGGACGGAAGCTATCAAACAATATGAAACGATTGCAAAGCAAAAACTGGAAGATTCCACTGTTCTACGGGTGACTACAGTCGAGGATTTGCTGAAAGTAATCGACGACGAAAATAGTCAATTCAACGGTTTCCGTGACCGGGGACATCGCGTTCGAGATGTTGTCAAGCATGCCATGATCCCGATTGAACTGCTAGGAAATGTAGTGGGCGGCTGTGTCTCTATGGCTTATCCACCTAGTGCCTATGTGTTCAGTGGAGTGAAATTATTGCTCGGAGCTGCCAAGGGCGTCTCAGACAAATATGATGCTATTATAGAAACGATGTCAACATTGAAAGTAAGTCTATCATGGTGTTGACTTTTCTCGGGGGTGGAAAGTTAGATGCTAACCGCCATGACGTAGGATTTTACCGTTCGACTCCAAGTATACTCGGAGCAGACTATTTCCGAGTACTTGAGCGACAAACTGACGCAGATCTTGACCGCGCTTTTGGAGGTACTCGCCTTTGCCCGAAAAGAGGTAAAGCACGGGAGAATGGTTAGCTATGGCAAAAGCCTGCTCTCTGGCAGTGACGGTGGGAAAGAGGCAATGGCCAAATTTGCCAGGCTTGTCGAGGCGGAAAATGCGTTGGTTGGGGCCGAGACACTGACAGAAGTGAAAGGAGGGTTTGCGCGCGTGAATTCCGATATGAAGAAACTCGTTCGACAATTAGAAGAAACGAAGCTGCAGACTGAGATGTCCAGCAAGGAAAGGATAACCGCGAACCTACGGCGTCTACTACGGCCTTCCAGGACCTCCGAAGATCGATACACAACAATGCATCGTAACCGCGTACCGCAAACTGGAGACTGGATACTGGACGAAACGGAGTTTAGCAATTGGATCACTGGAAAGAAGCCAGTCCTATGGATCTCCGGAAACCCAGGGGCTGGAAAGTCATACATCGCTACCAATTTGATTTACCACCTTATGCAGAAGCCAGACGTTTCACTGGGGTTCTTCTTTTTCAAGGACGATAACACCACAACCCGGTCCACACATCAAGCTCTCCGTGATATCGCATTTCAAATTGCAGAATACAATTCTACCTATGCTAATCATATCATTGATTGTTTAGATCGTGCCGAGGATATCCGCACGCTTGAGAGTTTATGGAGGAATCTGTTTCTAAATTTTTTCATCGATAACGAGCGCAACGAAATCGACGAGAAGAAATCTTCACAAGGTCCAGTTTATCTAGTTCTTGATGCACTCGACGAAGCATTCATCGATGATCGACTCAAGCTATTTGAATTGGCGAAGGATATCCGGCTCGGTGGTCGCATCCAGCTCCTGATGCTGGGCAGACCACAAATTGCCGAGGAAATGGATGATTTGATGGAAACCCTTCACATTGAGACCATCGACGTTTCCGAAGGGAATAATCGCGAGGACATCATGCATTACATCAGGACTATCATTGCGAAGTCCATCTACTTGCGGAAGCTCCCGGCTCCTACCAAGCGAACAATTATCGAAACACTGTCTAGTCGCTCCCAAGGGATGTTTCTCTGGGTTGGGCTAATGTTAGAGGGTTTATCAAAAATCAGAAACACCAGCCAAATCCAAAAAACGCTCGACGAGGCACCAAAAGGCCTAACAAAGATGATCTCCCATGTCCTAAGGGGCTTTTCAGAAAGTTGCACAGATAACCCACAATATGCCGCCGAGTTGAATGAGCTACTGGCATGGATAACGTGCGCTCCGAGTCCTCTGTCTCTGTTTCAGATTGACGCTTTGCTGAAATGGAGGTCCCCCGAAGGAGAGGGTTGGATATGGCCAGAGGGCTCTCTTCGGGTACAATTTGCCTCTATTTTTCTTCTGACCCGTGACGATGGCCTTTCCACTACAGATCTCAAACGAAGAAATAATTTAATGGGTTACGGCGATTTCGAAGAACCATCCGAGTGCGACTTGGAGAAGGATGAAGAACCCTCGAATGGTGATTTCGATTCTGATCCCAAGACCACGACAGTCTCTTTCAGTCACGCATCCCTCGGAGAGTTTTTCAGAAGCCAGGAAGACAAAGTCTCGGCTGGACCAAATTCTCCGTATATTGGAGTCAATTATCATGAGGCTCAGGCATTGGTGTTGAGTAGATGCTTTGAAATTATCCAGAACAAGGAGTCGTCAAGAGAGGAGCTCGCATCTGCGCTAAGACCATATGCCTGTAGATCTCTTGTTGAATTCCTCACCGCTGTTGATATGAGCCAGATTACTAAAGACAACAAAAAGACCATTGGCCTTCAGTTGGCTAAGCTGCTGTCTAATGAGTCAGGGCTCAAAGCATTTGTTTCGCCGGATCATCTCGAGTTCTTCACCCGTAATGCTCTGAGGATTTCGAATAAATGGCTTGGCGACCCTGATGTTCAAGAGGCTCTTCCCGACGAGATTAAGATTTGGTATAGCAATGCCATGGCTGAAAGCCCAGCCGAAGTCCTACGCCCAATCGTGTGCTATATAGCTTCTCATTGGACTCGAAATACTTTATGGGACCCAATCAAGTGTCTAAGGATCTTTGCGATGTTCAACGAGCTTTGGGACTCTGGCATTTCTAACTTTGGATCACTAGAGGATATCCTGCAGATCGCAGACTGGGGTCAACCTGAGCATGATGCTCACTGGTATGGTAGAGTCGGGCAAGCATTGAGGATATTACATTTCGATGAGTATATTGAATATCTGCAAAAGGCTTTGGAAATGGACCCGGAATTGTGGGAGTTCCGTTCTTATATGGCTTCCATGTACCGTGACCAGAGCAAGTTTACCGAAGCTCTTGGGATTTACCAAACCAACATCATTCTGCTTAATGAAAAGGAGCAGTCTTACGAAATTTCGAAAATACTTCACCATGAGTACGAAAGTGTCTCATTTTGTTACTCGGATCTCGGAAATAAGGAAAAAGCCTTTTCTGTGCTTCAAACCGCCTATGATTCTTACAACGGCCATTGTGCGACATGTGCTCGATTAATCCTGGATTACTACCATAACGCTGGCGACGGTGATCTGATATTGGACTTTTTCCAAATGATGAAAGAGAAATCCCCTAGTGAGGACTTGAACCACCTGACCGAATTTCTGCTCGAACAACCAGATATGCAAGCCATGACGATTCAATTTGGCCCCAAGATCATCCGGAGGGGATGTTTTACATTATTCAAAGAAGCTTTCACAGCTGCCATCATCACCGCTCGCCAACAGAAGAAGGCCATACTAGCTGCTGAGTTGGAATTGAGCCTTTCTTTCTTGCTCCAGTGCCTTAGCGTTGACCCTGAAGGGGGAGCTCGCATTTGTGAACGCATATTGGAGACCTACAAACCAAGTCAAGCGAAAGGTAACCTATATCATGTTATCCGTACCGCATCAAACTCCCTGTGCTCTTACTACTTCCAACAATGCTGCCGAGTTGATCGCTCTGAGGCAGAGCGTCTGAGATATGGCCAACTGCTCGAACGGCTTGTTATGGGGCGTCCCCTCCACTTAAACAGGAAGGAAAGAAACCCCGAAGATGTCACACAGGATGCATACTTACCACAGCTCGCATCTCGCCTCACACTCGGTATTTACTACAAAAGGTGCGGACGTGATGATGATGCCCAGAAATTTTTCAAATCACTTTTACAACGCGCCATTCGTCCACTTAGTTGGAGTGATGGCTTTGGCAACCGGGCCGGCTTCCTTCACTTGGTTGCGATATTTGCCGCCATGCGAGACTACGACAACTGGTTGTCGCTTTGGTACCAAATAGATTTCCTCAATGATAAGATTGGCGATATGGATGCCCAGCCTTTCTGTGATGGGTGTGGACGTCTTTGCACCATCGACGGACTAGTCCACTGTTGGCGTTGTGACATGGAGTTTATCATAGTCTTTTGTGTGGAATGCTTTCCACGTCTGAAAGACGGTTCGCTGTCTGTTGGCATATGCGACCGGACTCACGAGTTCATGACTATTCCTCCGCGACCTCAGTGTGTCAAGGAGCGCAGTGCAGAGCATCAAGACATGATGTATGTCAATGGGGACTGGATGGAATACAGTGATTGGGAGAGTACCTTGAAGGAGAAATATGGGTTGGAAGAAGAATAGTGCGTCCATTATAGACTAACCGTCACAATAGAAGATATTCTGGAGCAACGAGATTCACTTCCATCTGCTGCTTTTCGCTGTCAGCCTAGTCAACATGAATGGGGAGTCTCTCCACAATAGATCTAGGATCAGGTTCGTGAAACACGCAACCATCGAGATGTTTCCTAGTCAGTGGTGCATTACCGCACTCTGTTCTAAGTATACTTGCTGAAGTTAGGGCTTCTGTCACGGTACTCGAGACACCCTCGCACTCATGCCATATATGGCTTTCATATAAAAGCTTATGTAGGGGTGCACCCTTAAAGGGCTGTATAGAAGGCTAGTCATCTTCGATGCTGTGTAGCGTATTATATTAGGTCTACTCTAAGAAGATATTGGTATAAACACAGTAATACAAGTAATTAAGCAATAATTAAACACAGAGAAGGTAAAATATCAGTACAAATTGATTTGGTAGCACTCTCAAAAGACAAGATTCAAATTCGCCTCGAAGCGAGAACAGAGCAATCTTCGCCAAAACATGCAAATTCACATCCCCGAGTTCCATACCGGAAAGTACGCCAGGCCGCTAAAAGACGATTCAAAGAAGCACAATGCAGTCCACAACCTAAAGTACATCAACCCCAGAGAGACATATCAAAAAATCGACTCATCTAAGCCCTAGCCTCCGCGCTCTTGGACTTCGGCTTCTGAGCATACTTGTAGCGATAAGCCTGCCCACTCTTGACATCCCCATCACGTTCTCGACGGCGGTTCTCCTTGCCCTCAGCGAGAGGGCCACGACCCAACTCCTTCTCACCCCAGCTCACCATCAAAGCCTTGGCCATGCGATCACGCTCCTTGAGGAGCAGGTCGATGCGCCGCTCCCACTCGCGCTCACGTTTGTCCACTGACAAAGCGATGCGCTGGTCAATCGCAGCGGCGGTTTCATCCTTTGCGGCAATGACGTCGTCCTTTGCTGCGATGACGGCTTCCAAACGTCTGAGTTCTGATTTGAAACTCTTGCGTAGGTGGGTTTCGGAAGTGGCGGATGAAGTGCGGAGGTTTTCAAGATCCGAGCGTAGATTGGTTTCGCGTTGCTCAGCGGCTGTGAGGAGATTACGGATTTTGCGCATTGACTCGGCGTGCGAAGCGCGTAGCGTGGAGACTGCCGTTGAGTGTGCGGTATTCAGACTACGGAGCTGGCTTTGGTGGTTTGCCTCTAGCATTGCTGTGTCCGGCCCCCTTGGCTCTGGGTTGAGAGCTCCATGTGCTGTTGGGGGTGAGGGGGGTGGGCTGAGAGGTTCGGCGACCTTGTCTTCTTGCAAGCGGGCGATGGTCTCGAGGGATTCGGCGTGTTGCTCTTGCGATTGGATCAGGTCGTTCTGCGATTTGTTTAGGGCTGTTGTGAGCTCACCCACCCGGTTGGAGAGTCGTGTATTCTCAGCTTCGATATTTTTGATAAGGGTCTGAGCCTCGGTTGCCTGGTCACGCAAACGCGCTGCTTCGGTATCTGAGGCTTTCTGGGCGGCTGATAACTCCTGGATTTCTTGCTGAAGGCTTGCAATGCTTGGCATGCCTGGTTGCTGCTGCTGCATACCCTGGGCATCCACAAACTTGTCCTTCAATGGTGAGTGGAGTGGGGATGCGGGATCCCCTGGACCCAGATCTTTGATCAAGTCAAGAATCTCACTGTAGGTGCTATGGCCGCTGATAGGCAGCTCTGCAGCTGCAGCTTTGAGAGCACTCTCCTGGGCTTCCATATGGGATTGAACTCGGGTGAGGTTTGCTTCCAGGGTGGAGTTCTTCTCCTCCAGAGGACGATTTCTAGTCTCCAGGTCGATAAAACGCTCCTCAAGAACCTGATAATCATTGTGCGCACGCTCGAGTTCTGACTCCAGCTTCTCATTCTCCAGTCCGTAGTCATCAATCTGCGCTTGGAGTTGATCAATCTCCGAGTTTTTATCCTGTATCTGTGCATCCTTGACCCGTGTAACTTCCTTGAGCTTGGTGAATGTCTCATCTAGAGTTTCATCGCGCTTTCGCACCTGCTCTTGGGAATGACTGAGTTGCTGGCGCAGGTGCGCAATTGTCTCCAACCGCTCCTTGTCCAAAGGGCTTTGTGAATCCCTGGCTTGGAGCTGCTGTTGCATCTCACGAATCTGGTTCAAAAGAGGATTAAAATCCGTTGCATTCATGCTCGACTGGCGCAATAGCTTTTCATTCTCTTCATTTTGCTTTTGGAGAGACTGGACTTGCTCGCGCAGGATTGCCTCGTCGTTACCTTTAGCATGTACCTCCTCCAGGAGAGCGTTCTTCCGCTGTAATTCTGTCTGGAGGTGACGGATCTGCTCACCGGCAGAAACAGCCTCGAGCACACGACTGCGATTTTTCTGCAATTGCTCATCGCGTTCCTTCAGCGTTTGCTGCAGTTGTGCGATCAGCTGGCGAAGATCCTCATTCTGCTCCTCCGGTGCATGACTGGAGGCATCCGACAATTTCCGGACGGAAGGAGATGCGGGATCCTGGGCCTCGTCATCATCGGGGTATTCCTCGATACCTTCCAAGTGAGTCGAATCTTTGCGGAGAGCGCTAGTTCGGTGCAACAGATGTGAAGGGGTCGACATATCCACTGGCGGTCCGAATTCACTGTATTCCCCAGAGTCGGCTTCTTCTTCAATCGCAGGTTGCTTCGACTTACGGAAAGTTCGTCGTACTGATCCGTAGTCCTCTTCAGCTTCATCCTCGCGGTTCTCTCCGTCTTCTAGGTCCCCCATTAGGTATTTCTCCATATTCGCAGTAAAGTCTTCCGGGCCCTCAACGTCAGATAATTTATCTACATCTTGATGGAAAGGTGGCAGGGTTTCCTCATTCCCATCCAATGCAAAATGCCCGCTAGGGAAATTATCAAAATCCAAGGTGTAATCGGCGAGACGTGCATCTAGGTCTGAGCCTGTCGGGCTTCTAGGAGAAGGAGGCCGAGGAACATGCTGCATTTCATTATCGGAATGGTATTCATCATCAGCAGCGTGACCATAACCTTGGTTGATATGGTGCGCTGCGACGCGCTCGGCTGTAGGAGTCTGGGCAGTTGCAGGAGTTTGGGCGCTTGTCGGAGACCCCAATGGACTAGAAGGGTGTTGTGGAGGAGACGATGGCATAAAGAGAGGCGTGATCAGTGTGGACTGCCCGATGGTATCATGTGAGGTTGGAAATGGCGAGGTATAGCCTGTGTTCGCCATGGTTGCGCACGCGTGCGGATGCGCAAAAAGGGTGCGATAAGGCTAAAACTGCCAAAGCAGAGGTCAAATACAATCCCCGAGCGTTGCACTCAAGATTTGCCAAATGAAAGATATTAAGGTAAATAGGGAAATAACAATAACCAAATTGCGGGGAGAAAAGAAAGATTGAAGAATCTCGCGACGGGGTTGTGTTTGGACACCTGAGGCATTAATGTTTATCCACTACCCTTTTAGGACTAGTGGGTATTTCTGATATGCTTCTTACTTCTTACTTCTCTCCTCTCTCATGTTTCATGTTTCATATTGATTGTTTGCTGTTTGCAATTGATTCTAAAATGAACAGCCCGAGAAAAAAAAATTTTAAGCCATTGTCTTCCATTCTTCAAATCCAGGTGGGACCACCGAGGGTTCATGCGACCGGCCGCGCTGTTCGGCTTCCAACTCAGTTTCACCGTTCCCTGGTGGTTTTCTCCCTGGTCCCTTTTTCCTAGTACTCGCACGACCGCCTTTCGAAGCGATAGCACGCTATAAATTTACGTTCATACGATTAACGACAGGTCCTATTCATTGGTATCGCGGTACTCTCACCTGTTTCTCTGGATCCATATTATGGAACCCACCCACGCCAGTAGCTTTCCCACCCCTTTGTCCACCTTTGTGGCCTATTTCTGAAAGCTCTTCGTGTGGGCGATTTGAAAAATTGCCAGGATTTGGATGATGCGGGCGATTGGGTGGTGGTACTGTGGCGACACTACAGCGATGCCACAATCCGACATTCACAGACTGTGTGGATGGAAGCAGTCTAAGAAGCGGACGTGACATGATCCCAGTGCCTCTGGTCATAGCCATCATGCTATCGAGTGTGCAAATTGATATCAGGAGAATACGATGTTCCGCAAGAAGGTATCGCTTCGCCACAAGGCCAGTTTGATGGGCATAGCCCGCAACTTATGTACTCCCCAGAAACGGCTATGTTGCCTCCATCAGCTCATCGGAGGCAATGGTGGCTTGTCTTTATATGACATTCCCTTCAAAATCTTTTGGTCCGCTTTCTATCTTCTCCGAGACAGATACATATCATTCGTGTGTGTCTGGAAGAAGTCCACCTTGACATAGACTATGTTCCTAGTTGCTTATTTCAATTTGCCGGAGCACTAATCCGATGTTCAAATTTGATGTCATTTCCAGGTCTTGTCCAACGAGCCGAATCCAAGGCCATGGGTATATTGATCAGTGTCCATGGTTCTAGTATTGAGGCGGTCTAGGCCCGTGTGGGATGAGAAGAAGATGCCGTAGAAGGTATCTCAAACTACTTAGTCTAACTTGATCAAGCAATAACCATAATTACCTGTAAAGAGCTAGTAGCATTGCTCAGAAATGGATACATATACCATTTAGCTTAGTCAGTGAGGGTTCGGGTTAATCGCGCGTAGTCCACAGGTTCAGTCCGATCTACTACTTTGTGTTGCAGAGATATTCACCGGATTCAATTTTTGCTTGGATTTTTCATGGCATAAATCTGGAGTTTTATTTATTTCCAAGCTTCTCTGTGGTCAATTCTCTGAGACGCTAGCAACTTGAAGGATTCCGTATCCCCACAGCTGCCCAGCTGTCAATCGCCAAAACTAAAGCTTTACCTAGCTCTCACAAAGGGAAGCTCGTTGAATAAACCTGCTACAAATTACATATATCTGGGTATCCACCATCTCACGCTGATCAAAATGCCACCTATCCGAGGTGGACTTGGCGAGCGCCCGCGGGTGATCTTGTACCACCAAACACTCATCCCAGGCGGGGGCCAATATGTGTCCATGCTCCCGCTCCTCGAAAACAACACCGGGATAACACATATTATTCTCGCGGCAATTCACCTGAACAGTGAACCAGGAGATATCACTCTCAACGATGATCCGCCAGACAATGCCAAATTCGACCCCCTATGGGCCGAAGTGCCCCTCGTGCAGCGGCAAGGTGTGAAAGTGATGGGCATGCTAGGCGGGGCGGCCCCCGGTTCATTCACGCGGCTGGACGGGAGCCGGGCCGAATTCGAACAATTTTATTATCCTCTCCTAACCATGATTCGTCGCCATGGCCTTGATGGAATCGATCTCGATGTTGAGGAGACCATGTCTTTGCAGGGTGTCATCCGACTCATTGACCGACTCAAGGCTGATCTGGGGGATGCATTTATCATTACCCTGGCTCCTGTAGCAGCTGCGCTACTTGGCATTGGCAACCTATCAGGCTTTGATTATCGTGAACTCGAGCAGGCTCGAGCTTCCAAGATCAGCTGGTACAATGCCCAGTTCTACAATGGCTGGGGTCCTGCCGAAGATCCACGCATGTATTCTACTATGGTTTCCCAGGGGTGGTCCCCGCGGCGGATTGTGTATGGCCTGTTGACAAACCCGGGTAATGGATCACAGGGTTATGTGTCCCAGGATAAGATTGGACCTGTTCTAGCAATGTTAATTGAGCAGTTTCCAAACTTTGGTGGCGTCATGGGCTGGGAGTATTACAATGCTCTGCCCGGGGGTACTACAAAGCCATGGCAATGGGCTACTCAGATGACATTGAGCATGGGTATGAAAGATGTTGTCGCGGCAGCTCGTCAGTTAATATCGACAGGGCCGATGGCGAGCAGTCTCAATAATTTGTTTCAAGATATGCTGAATCAGAGGCGTTGATGACGTTAAAGCGAATAACTAGCATTTTAGCATTTCAAACAATCTCTGACTGTAGATTTGACCTTCAGCTGTTTTCAAGCTTAGATGTAGTGAACGGTTGTGCTTTGGCTGTATAATCCAAGATTGCCACGTGAGAGTTAGGAGAGCCTCAACTTTTAGTACCTGAATTGTAGGTACCGGGTTAAAAGGAAGGAAATCTATAAATATAACTTATAGTCAAGGAATAAGCAATATGTAGTAAATTGCATTTATATAATCTATGTGATTTCCAATACTATCAAAGCAACTGGCGTTGTCGATCTTTCCTAGATACGTCATCGCATGAATCACCACTAAACAGAAAGGACCTTCCACTCTCCACCTCAGCATTTATTCAGAAGTGAGTGTCACTCTTTACAATTGGCCATATTGCCCTGCAAAATGGTCTCCCTACGGCGCATTGCGGTAGCCACGAGCTCGGCGACCATCCGACTGACGACCTTTATGTTTCTGCGATGGGTATAGGACCCTCCCATAGGCAGTCAATGTCGCGTTTCATAAGACTGACATATTTATAGATCCCTGGCCATCATTTTGTGCCTCTTGTTGTTACCTCCCTAGTGGTATACCTGTCGTCAATATTATCCCTGCTGAAGGACACCCAGCCTCACCAAAGCCAGACGGCTAAAGTTCGAGGTTTGAACAGTCAGGCTGCACGTCCAGATAATCACATTATAATATACTGACTACGTGGCTCACAGAGCACAAGTCAGTCTCAAGCAGTGCCAAAGCCGGCGATTCTGTGCTTAAGACACTGTTAACGGGGCTGCCTTCGGCAAAGTGGCCCCTGTGGACCAGGATCACAATATTGATCAATGTCATCCTGGCACTTTTAACACTTGACTTTTTGACCCGTGGTATCATACTTTATCCTACCACAAATGTTGCATTCTCGCGCATTGGATATGTCTCCCCGACCACTGCCAACTTGGTCTTTCGCGAGCCAGACTCCACTCGCCTACCAGTGACGGTCATGTACCAGGAGATCTCTCCGCTAAGCCAGGACTGGTACGAAGAGGGCATTGTTTACAAGCTGGACAACTCCACCGACTTCACTACGACAGTCACCCTAACGGACCTGAAGCCGGCAACAAGATATCGATACTCACTGTCCAACAACAAGTCTGGCACATTTACCACGGCACCATCGCCTGAAAGCCGAGAAGCAAACCGACTATCTTTCGTAACATCAAGTTGCCTAAAGCCAAACTTTCCTTACAGTTTCCTATCACACCCACTGCGGGTCCCAGGCATCGAGCAAATGACCGACGCCCTCGCAAAATTGCCTAGGCTCCTGCGTCCAGCATTCATGCTCTTCCTAGGCGACTTCATCTACATAGACGTCCCCTGGCGCTTCGGCTCAACAATGTCCCACTACCGCAGCGAGTACAGACGCATCTACTCCTCCCCCTCCTGGACCCACGGACCAGAAGGCAACCGCGCAATCGACCTCCCCTGGCTTCACACCCTCGATGACCACGAGATCGAAAACGACTGGTCGCACGGTAACAAAACCGCCCCGTACCCAGCAGCAGCAGACCCCTTCATCCACTACCATGTGCGAGCAAACCCACCAATCCCTTCAGCACCCTTCGCCCACCCAGACAACGTAACCTACTTCGCCTTCACGCACGGCCCAGCCTCATTCTTTATGCTGGACACACGCACCTACCGCACCGAGCCCTCACAAAAGAACTCAACCATGCTCGGCCATGCCCAGCTCCAATCCCTCCTGGCCTACATCTCAACCCCAGAGCCAGCAGACACACACTGGAAAATCATCTCCTCCAGCGTGCCCTTCACCAAGAACTGGCACGTCGGCACGACAGATACCTGGGGCGGATTCCTAGACGAGCGACGCACTGTCTTCGAAGCAATGTGGCGTGCGGAACGCGATCTAGGCATCCGCATCGTGCTGCTTAGCGGCGATAGACATGAATTCGGTGCGACTAGGTTCCCAGACCCGGAGCTCAAACTAGGCCGCGATCAGCTTTTGCCGAATACGGCTGGGTTGGGAGTGCATGAGTTCAGCGTTGGCCCGTTGAGCATGTTTTACCTCCCTATCCGGACATACCACCAGACAGACTCTGAGGATGTTATGGTGAAATATGCGCCGAATGGGAATAGCAAGTTCGGGCTTATTGATATTTCGGATGAGGTTGAAGATATTGGTTCCAGTGGTGCTGCGCCTGTTCGGGTTCGTAGCTCGGTTCTTAATTACTCGTTGTATGTGGATGGGGAGGTTGTTTGGAGATATCGTCTTAGTGTTCCGTTGGACCGAGATGAAAGTGTTCATATCCCGTCTCTGCCGCCGGGCCGTGTGCTCGAGGATGATATTCCGGATCTTAGTTGGAGTGTGGTGCTTGGGACTGTCATCGGACGGTTGCCCGAGTTGACCAAGGGGACTGTTGGGATGGTCAATGACCTCTACTTTCAATTTGCCGATCGATTCTGGAAAATTGAGAGACTTGATTAGCTGGTCTCTCAAGGGATCGTCTCTAGTTCATTCGAATCTGTCAAGGCAGGTTGAATGATCATATGTATTTGTTAGATCTTTCCAAGCAGACCTTCAGGTGTGATATCTTGGATAATACAGTGAGCTTAGTGCGAGCTTAAATCGCAGTTCAATATTTTTCGGTTTCTATTATCAATCATCAAATGAATTAAATGCCCGGTAAACCCAGAACGAGATTGGGCTGTAGCTTATATCTCTCGTTACATAGCTAAGTAGGGAGGTAGAGGAATTTTATACACGGCTTGCGCTGCAGAGACTGCTAAACCAAAAACATGACGCCGATCGCCTTTGCCCCCTGGATCCATTCACTGGGGTATAAGATGTAGATATGATGGAGAGGAGAGTGTAGAGCGATGATTGACGCACAGGATGGAAGAATGCATCTGGCGTTGCCAATCTGGAAGATTCAAGATGTCGAACTATCTCGACCAGTAAAGCAAGAGGGGTGGGCGAGAAATGAAGAAGATCGCATACGAAACTCGATTTCAAGGAGGTCTCGTCACAAATAGTTAATTGGGTCAGTGGCGATTATTGCGGCCTGCAAAGTGAAGCCGGGCATGAAGACTAACGCTTCCTGAGTCGACGGCTTCGATTAGAAGCGTCCACCGCTGGAACGGCCATGGCCGCCTCTTGTTGTCACCTCGTCTTCGTTACCACCAGCGAATCCGCCCAACAGATTGGCTCCCCAGATTCCGGCGATACCCCACATGCCAATACGCCAGCCGCGGTACAGGCCCTGGATACCCTGGCCTTGTTGTCGCTTCCGAAGCTGCTGTTGTGAGGTACGCTGGCCGAGGAGCTGTTTGGCACGCTCTGTGTCGGACGGTGTCGAGCTGACACCCTCCTCATAAATGACATGCCACATTGTGCCAATGATACCGCGGTATGTGCGCGGTGTAGGGACAATGGTTTCCACGTCGGATGCATCGATAGATGCTGCACTAATGCTTCCGCCTGAGGACTTTTGGCGCAAACTCAGGGATGTGTATGTGGCGATCTGGGCGCGGCGCAGCACGGTCTCGAGTGGGAATCGCACGGCGAGTTCAAGTCCCGATCCAAGGAAGGCACACAGGTTCCATGCATTGGGGTTTAGGAGGGGGTCAATGGACAGGTAGGATTTGAGGAAGAGTGGCGTTGAGGTCATAATGAGGTTTGGGAGACTTGAATGAAGTATGGTGATTGGGACGAGGTGCGAAGGGATCGTGCAGTTGGGTGTGGGAAGCTGGCGGATAGCTCGGACGAGGGACCCCGGCCCATGGGTTGCTGGTGTGAGCATTAGGAATGTACGAGCGGTGTCAATGGGAGCTAGTATCAGGGCGGATAGCGAGGATGAAATGAATGACAGGACCAGCGTTGCCAGAGGCGATGAGGCTGTCAAAATGTCCGCTGTCATCGAGGAGGAAAGATCTTCTTCCGGCAAGCCGACAATTGCTGATAGAAGACTGCGGATGAAAGTATTCAACGTCGGTAGGAGAAGTGAGTGAATGAACGTTGCGTTAGAGGACTTCCATAGTGAGGTTGGGCCGCTAGAGGACCAGAGCTGCGATAGAACCTCGGTCAGGGAGTTGGAGTTCTTGAGAGTCAAGACATGTTTGGGATGTGTGGCAGACTCTGGTCGAATATACCCACTACGATCGGTGATGTGGTGGCGTGATTTGCGAGATCGAGGTGTACTCGGAGACGGCGTTGGAGGGGCCGCTGAGGTGAAGTAACTAGTTTCATCATCGGATGATTCTGAGTCCTATACGCAATTCCGTCAGCCACTTTGTCGCGGGATTCCACACAGCCCTATATCAACTATAGAGAACAGCCTTCTTACCGAATCATAAGAGCTTCCCTCAGCAGCCGGTGTCGTGTTCCGCTCCCACTGCTCGTCGGTGGCGTCTGGTACGACATACACCTGCAAGATGGTTTTGGCGACATCGAACGGCTGCGCCGTAAGAACCTTGGTGTAGCGAGCAAGTGCCCGGTTCAAGGCATCACGGATCCAGTCAGAGACAGAGGGCGATGCTTCCAAGTAGTCGGCATAGTCCAAGTCCGGCATGAGATCACGAGCTGTGCTGCCGAACACCTGGGCCGATGACGGCGACAGCACCTCGGGTGGCGCATTCGAAGCAGGCGATAAGCCAGACGGAGGGATATAGTAAGGCCGCAAAGGATTGATCCCTTCGCGAGACGACATAATGTGATGTTGGTCGGAGTTAAAGAGTCGGGGAAAGAAGAACGGGAGGAGTGGAATGTCCGAACGCCCAAGCTTTGTCAGTCTTTTTTTTTCCTCCGCGGCCATTGGACGATCATTGCTAACTCTTCCCATATTCCCCCGGATCCTCTTTTCTTCTCTATTGACTTTTACCTTCTCCTTTTAATTATTTACATCCTCTACAACATGGTTTTCTGGCGAGAAGTTGGTCAGCAACTGCGCCATGTACCCAAGGTCGGGGATATCTGTTTGACTCAATCGCGGAGGTGCCTCAGCTATTCAAGATCATGGAGGAACACCGGAATCACGACACACCCCAGGTCCGAGATCAATGCACGGAGAAGCATTCAAGCACCTTGGGAAGGATATAATACAGCCCGGCGTGCTTTCTCAGTGACTGCACAAGCGGCGCATGGTCATATCACGCCGCCGAAGGCCGGAGAAGAGTATGTCCACCAGACTACATTCTACTTTGCGCTCTTCCGCTATTTAACTGCATGTTAACTGAATATGTAGGATCAATGTGACTTTCATTGACAAGGATGGCACCGAGGTAAAGCTCCAGGTTGCCGAGGGTGATAACCTGCTCGATATCGCACAGGCAAATGACCTTGAGATGGAAGGTGAGTTGACCTGATATAATGCTTATTTTAACCCCAATGTCTGACATTATTCCGGAATTAGGTGCGTGCGGAGGATCTTGTGCCTGCTCAACGTGCCATGTAATCGTCGAAGATCCGGACACATTTGATAAAATGGAAGAGCCATCGGACGACGAGAATGACATGTTGGATCTGGCTTTCGGGCTTACCGAGACCTCTCGATTGGGCTGCCAGGTGATCATGACCAAGGATCTTGACGGACTGGTTGTGCGATTGCCGTCTATGACACGGAATCTCCAAGCAAGCGATTTTGAGTCGAAATAAAGACACCGACAAAGACCCCGGGAGGGACTGTTTGGATCTTGAATACCCTCTCATTGTATCTGAATCGAGACAGCTGGACACAGCGCGGGTTGTGGTCCTAATTTGATAACAAATAGGACATTGTATTGTAATATTGATCTGATGCATCTACTAGACTTGCGTGTCGCAAAATGAAAATCTCCTATACTATTTCAATCAGTCTCTCCACAAAAGCAATTTTATTACAATGTAGAAAAGAATATATAACAAAAAAAATTCTCCCAACGCCAGAAAACATGCCATGGGTAATCGTAGATCCAGCTCATGCCTCTTCGATGTTCAAAGGCTTTCCCTTCTTTCCATTGATCAATTCAAGGAATCCCTGCTTGCTGACCTCATTGGCAGCCTTCTCCCGCTCTCCCATACCAATTGTGCCCTTCTTGCGCTCGTCCTTGGCCGCCTCCTCTCCCCGGACTTGGGCCGCGCGCACAGCATTGAACAGCTTCACAACACCACGCTGCGCCATCTTGCGCACACGCTTCTCCTCCTCAGCGACGGGACCGGCAATTCCTCGCTGGATACCCATCACATCACGGATACGACCGCGATCCAATTCCTCTTTCTTATCAGCGCGCATCTTAGCCCGTGCAGCATTGTCGAGCTTCTCATCTGCGGCATCGTTCACCAGCTTAGCGGCATATGAGCTTCGCGAGAGAACGGGATCAGCCCGTGCGGATGTAGGAAGTTTCGTGGACAGAATTTTGGAGATGGAGGTTGAGAAAGCGGTAGGGTCGTTGCGCTTGGGGACGGCTCGGCCGCGATTGGCGCCGGTTGCTTTGCCAGCTGGGGAGGAGTCGGAGAGGTCATCTTCGTCGGATCCGTCAGATCCAGAGGCGTCGCTTTCATCGTCGTCGTTCTCGAGATCTGCGTCATCAAGCTCAATCTCCTCACCAACATCGGAGTCTGCGTCGTCCAGCTCATTCTCCTCGCTAGCACTGGAGTCTGAGTCGCTAGCGTCTGATTTTTTCGGTTCAGGTGCGGGTGCTTCTTTTTGTGTCTTTGCCTTCTTCATGCGGAGATCGAGAGCCGAGGGCTTGGCCACTTTGACGCCTCCTTCTTCGGCATCTGAGTCTTCAAGATTGACTGGGTTGAAGTTCTCATCTTCTTCTTCGTCCTCGGAACTGCTGTGATAGAAGCGCTGCTTGACGAACTTCTTCTTGCGACCGGTGTGGCCCTTCAAGCCATCAAGGACCTTGCGCTTCTTGGAAAAAGTAGGAGGCATTGTCACAAAAAATAATGTAATAAATGCAAGTAAAGAAGAAAGTCAAGGCGCTGATCCAAAAGCATATCACAACTTTTTTTTGGGGCGGTGAGAAACCGTCGGCTCTCCGATTGGCCCCTCCACATCGCCTCTCTGGTCTTCCGATGGGCTTCACCTCACCCCTCCTCCATCGCGGAATCATAGACGACTACGGTCTTATTTTATAATTCCTCTAATTGTTTAAATTTACACACATATTCACCATGGTTCTCCAAGACCTTGGGCGGCGAATCAATTCCGCCGTCAATGACCTGACGAGGTCCAATAACCTCGATGAGAAAGTATGCCATGTGTTCTCCAGTGTGGCCCACAAGCCAGCCCGCTAATACAATAACAGGCCTTCGACGACATGCTTAAGGAAATCTGCGCCGCTCTTCTCTCCGCCGATGTCAACGTCCGTCTAGTAGGATCACTACGCAAATCGATCAAAGCCAGCGTGAACTTCTCCTCGCTCCCAGCCGCAGTAAACAAGAAGCGACTCATCCAGAAGACCGTCTTCGATGAGCTCGTAAAACTTGTGGACCCTCGTGCTGACTCCTTCCGGCCGAAGAAGGGCCGCTCCAATGTGATCATGTTCGTCGGTTTGCAGGGTGCGGGTAAGACAACAACATGTACGAAGCTAGCTCGGCACTACCAGACACGAGGATTCAAGACAGCACTTGTTTGCGCGGATACCTTCCGTGCTGGTGCTTTCGATCAGCTGAAGCAAAACGCTACCAAGGCCAAGATCCCGTACTATGGTAGTCTGACGCAGACGGATCCTGCTGTCGTGGCCGCAGAGGGTGTGGCCAAGTTTAAGAAGGAGCGTTTCGATATCATCATTGTCGATACCAGTGGTCGCCACCGACAGGAGGAAGAGCTTTTCACCGAAATGACACAAATTCAAGATGCCGTGACGCCAGACCAGACCATTCTCGTGCTCGACAGCACAATTGGTCAATCCGCCGAGGCTCAGTCCGCGGCGTTTAAGGCAACCGCAGACTTTGGAGCTATTATTATTACCAAGACTGATGGCCATGCCGCCGGTGGTGGTGCTATTTCTGCTGTCGCCGCTACGCACACTCCCATTATCTTCCTTGGTACCGGTGAGCATATGATGGATCTGGAGCGCTTCGAGCCCCGCGCATTCGTTCAGAAGCTACTTGGCATGGGCGATGTCGCAGGATTGGTCGAGCACGTCCAGGCTATGACGAAGGATTCCGCAGGTGCCAAGGAAACATACAAGCACATTGCGGAAGGTATCTACACTCTGCGCGATTTCCGAGAGAACATTACATCGATCATGAAGATGGGCCCGCTATCCAAGTTGTCCGGCATGATCCCGGGTCTGTCTAACATGACCCAAGGCCTGGATGACGAAGACGGCTCACTGAAGCTGCGCCGCATGGTCTACATCTTCGATAGTATGACTGTAGCCGAGCTGGACGGCGACGGCAAGAACTTCGTCGAGCAGCCTAGCCGCATGGTCCGTATCGCGCACGGTAGTGGAACCACCGTCCGTGAGGTCGAGGACCTACTCTCCCAGCACCGCATGATGGCCGGCATGGCCAAACGTGTTGGCGGTCAGAAGAAGCAGATGCAGCAAGCTCAGAACATGATGAAGGGCGGAAACAAGAATCAGCAGATGGCTGCCATGCAGAAGCGCATGGCCTCCATGGGTGGTGCTGGCGGCGGTGGTATGCCCGGTATGCCTGACATGGCCAAGATGATGCAGATGATGGGAGGTGGTGGTGGTGGCATGCCTGATATGCAGAGCCTAATGAGCCAAATGGGCGGGTTGATGGGTGGAATGGGAGGTGGTGGTGGACGTGGAAGAGGACGTTAAGCTCGGTCTTTGATTATGTTCCTTCCCTGCTTTTTTCTCTTTTCCATATTCAAACCGCTGGCTCATCAACTTAGCATCTGGGCTGGTGTTTGGCGTTTTCTTGCTTCACATTATGTGCAACCCCCTGTACACGAGAACAAATCTGGTAATGAGCCTATCACTATCATATATACCATCCTCAAAAAGGAATCATATCCACTTGTTGTTCTACACCTCGAATTACGTTTTTGAAAAAAGGCAAATTGCAGTGCGGTACTATCGTTTCAGTCATAAAAATAAACACGTTGTATACATAATCCTTAAAGAGGAACGCCGCTAAAATCCATCCGTCTAATGTAAAGAGAGAGAAAGAGATATCGAAAACAAAGGGGCCACCAGATCGACCACTGACCATGTTCATAGCGGCCAGGAGACCCTGCACCAGGCGAACCCAGTGAGATCAAATGAGAATCAATATATCATGATTTTTGGTTGGGAGGTGGAAAACAAATCGAGCCACATAAATATACATGAAGCCCATATCAATTCCACATGAGAGGCAGGTCGAACGAGACAAGAAGGATATGAAACAATTCCGTATGATGGTACATGGAGCGCCCGGGAGAGGAGGGGGTATGGGTATCAAAAGTGTCCTTAGAAAGGGCTGGGAAAAGTCCAAACAAAGGTGGAAGGAAACCCGGACGCATTAGATCCACAATGAGGATTGCTTATTTTTCAGCGAAGCGACGGTCAAAGTACCGCAGCACTCCCATGACGCTTGCGGCCTCGACTTCCATGGCAGCGCGGCTGTCTGGGGGAGCGAGGTCGCGGGGATTGGGAAGGGTGTGGAGTTTTGGTAGCCAGGCTGAGATATCGTCGCTGGCGCGGGAGAAGTTCGGGTGACGGGACAGGGTGGTGAACGCGTCGGCACAGCTGAGCGTTAGCTCGGAGGGCGGAGCGGGCTTGGGTGCGGTAGGTTGCGAAGGCAGGGCGGCGTTGATACGCGGTTTGGACGCGGTGGCGGGGGCATCTTTTGACATGCAGCATCCGCCGTCCTTTCCTCCACCTCCGCAGCAGCCTCCCGATGGAGTTCCGCTCGCTGACCGGGAGGCTGCCAACGTCTTGCAAAAAAGAGTGCTTCGGGGGTCGGCAAGACACTGGGCGCAGGTGCCTGGCCCATTGGCACAGGGGTTGGTTGCTTGGCTGATGGGTGGGAGGACCACCTCTGAACGGACGTCTCCCTCGGATGGAGGCGGGGTGAACTGGGAGATGGATTGGATTGGTGCGAGACGGTTGGTCTCAAATGTGTTCGCGTTGCGTACACGCTGCTGTTCCTGCGCAGCCATCTCGGCGCAGATACAGGGAGTACCATCCTGGCAGAACCCGCAGGGATCAACGGGCGGCGAGGAAACATCATTGTCGTGAGACTGGGTTGGGACGCTAGAGAACTGAGCGGTGAAGTCGATTTCCATCTCTTCTGGATCAGGCTTGATGTGAGGATCCCTATGATCGCGTGCCGGGCTGCCCACGCCATGAGGTGGGTGCCTAGAACGAGATGACTCGTGAGTATCCATTGGCATACCGAATGCATCTTCGATGCACTGGCAGTGGGCGTTGGAGCAGTTATTGCACCCCAAAGATACGTTAGTCTGTGCATCTTCCTTATTGCGTTCGGTACTAGTTGGCTGAACATCCTCCATTCGGGAGCTCCTAGTCTTGCGAGGTGGTAAGGGCACAGAGTCAGGAATGGGCGCGGGCTTGCTGACATTAGGGCCAGCAAATGATGACCGGAATTCCTTGACAATGGCTTCCTTTGCGCTACGCTCGATCGATACTTCTTTCTCCAAGGCGTGACATCGGTCGCGCCACCAACCCATTTCCTCGCGGCACTGATCAACTTCACCGGAGAGGTTGTCAATTTGCTGCTGGAGCGAGGCGACCTGGATATCGTGGCTGTCTTCCATTTCCTTCATTTGTTCTTCCAATTCACTAACTCGGGCGGCCCGGCGTTCACGGAACGCTCTTTGAGCTGCTCGGTTCTGTGCTTTGCGTTTGGTTGGTGGTGTGTCCGTAGCTGGCTTGCGACCAGGCTTGGGGCGTGGTGGGATAACCCATTCTTTCGAGGTGATGGAGCCGGGGGTACCCGGCCCTGGAGATGGTGCTACAGAGGGCCTGGCGGCCAGCATGGGCGCTGGTGCGAGGGCCAATGCAGGAACTCCAGCTGGAGCAGGTGTCATGGACACCCCACTGGCCATTTTGACACCAAATTGATGTTCAAATACTGTGTTAAGGTCAGTTGGGAACAACTAGTCGGGTGCCGTCGGGGCACACGCACGAGCCGTTTCTCGGTCGGAAGAGCGGAAGTGTGCTCATATGAGCCGATAAGCGAGAAAGACTAACTGGAGAAGAAGAAAGAACGAGCTTTCTTTCCAACTCTGTCCTGTATGGAATAATCCAGTAAGGAATGGAGACAAAAAGTACAGAAAAGGTCAAAGAGAAGAAAGAACTGGAGTGTGAAGGGAGGGGGGAAATCCAAGAAAAAGTGATGATCAGATTAGATTATGTGCTCACATGATTCCGGTTTCGGACATTGGCCTTTTCGTATATGTTTTTTTGCCTATGTTCTTTGCTCTTCTTTTTCTTTTTCTTCTGATTTACTATTGGTTTATTTACTATTTTGCTAAACCTAATCCCGAGAGGATCCTCTCTTGAAATTTTTATCTGATCCGAGAATCCCCCAATGAGTGGAGATGGTTCCGAGAATGCGTGGACTGACGCAACATTCTTTTACTTTGTATTATCTGATTCTTGTTTCCTAGAAGATTTGTTGCAACTGCTTTCATTCTTTCTTAAGTACACCTCAAGTTAGCTCAGTTACTTGAACTAGCACGAAAATGTCTCCAATACTAAATAAACGCATACATCCCAATTCCCATTGGCATAACGTGCAGAATTTCCTATGCAGCTCACCGTTGACCCGCCTGATCGTCGATGACTCAATAACAGGCGACACGGATCAGAACTCTCCAGTGAAAGTAAAATTTGCTCGAGTGGAGTGCCTCGCCAATCCACTGACCATGGGTGCGCAAGGCTGCCCTACTTCCGGTCAACAGCTATTACATAGCAGAAATGGCGATCAAGCCAATTATAACGTGCCATTGCGCAAAAGAACTATCCCAGGAGCCATTCACCAGCGGTGAGAGTATGGATCGGCAAGGAAATTGGGTTCCGCACGGCCGTTCTCGGTGTTTATGATCTTATCTGATCGAACTAAGGCTCGTCTTTGGACGCAATCCAACGGTTGAACTGGACACCGGCAAATTTGTCTCTTTTTAATTTTTTTCCTGAGTGTATTTTTTTTTGTTGCTTCCTAGGTGATTGGGTTGTCGTTATATCGAAGTCGTTGAAGGTTGGAACTCCCCAAACACCAGATTCTTATCAATCAGTGATGTCCCCAACCTTGGAACCTCTTCCCGAGCGAGAGCCGAAGAACGGAAGTTTCGCATACATGGCCCGATTTGGAGAATAACTTCATCAGTTAGTCACAGCCAGAGCTTTTTGTGACGTGTGTGTGCGGAGATACACTGTGAAAAAGTGGAATGCATGGAAAGAAGTCGCCGTCATTGGACACACTCGCTTCCATAGCGTTTAAGAGGCCCATTTTCGGCGATCCGAAGAAGCGATCCACTATACTCGGTAATATCTTTTCGGTTTACAATGAAAACGGGCAGTATAAACCGAGTTAATGACGCAGTTCTCAATTCTCGTCGCTATTAAAAAAAGAAATCTACCGATATGAATGGCAATATAGAATAGAATATGAGCAAGCCAGAATATCTCTACTCATATTTAATTTGCTAAAAACCGCTAATTTTCAACTCAATTGGGAGTCAATGTGAAGTCTTAAGAAAATAATGTACTTTGCTTGCATTAACGAGATCACCTTCGCCCCTTAGCACTGGACATTTCAAAGAACTGTATCTGCTTCACAACTCTGTTAATTGAGGAGTTCCATCTGCTGGAGGAGCAGAGTGCTTGGTCTGCACGAAGACCTTCTGCATGCCCATCTCTCGCTTATTAAAAGCCGCATACAACTTTTCCATATCTTCCAAACGAACCCGGTGGGTCACCATATCCAGCGGATTGATATCGTTTGTCTGAATGAGATTCATAAGATGCTTCCAATACTTATGGACAGGAGCCTGTCCATTACCCATAAGATGGACACCTGTCTGCATCAGAGCCCCAATGTTAAAGTGATTGGTCTGAGAATGATTTGTTAGATACTTCACTCTTCCGAAAACCGGTGAACTCACAAATCCAGCATAGACCCCAGTCACCCCAACATGGCCAAATGGGCGAACGGCAGTAATCATCTCATTCAACAATTCTGAGGTATCTGTCTCCATCCCAAGCAACTGCTCGAAGTAATGCGCCCATCCTTTGGCGTATTCACCTGCTGCACATTCCAAAGCAATATCGGGTCCACCCTCGACCATCTTTTGCAGCTGTGATGTCACCGACTCCCCTTTTGGCAGATCAGTGAAGTTGAGCGTCTCAACCTTTGGTGATTTGGTCTTCACGAAGTCCAATCGCCAAGCACCATCGCCTCCATCGATAAGGATGACTCGGCTAGCTCCATGGAAGAAGCTGAACTGCGCACACATCTGCCCGATCGGTCCAGCTCCCCAGATCGCAACAACATCTCCCTCCTTCACACCGGTGTCGACTACGCAGTGCCATGATGTTGCTATGACGTCCGAGACATAGAGTGCCTTCTCATCTGGCACTTCGTCTGGAATGGAAAGTAGATTGACGTCGCCGTATGGAACTCGAATGTACTCAGCCTGTCCACCGGCAAATCCACCTGTGAAATGGGAATATCCAAAAATACCTATTCTCGGTTTAGTATGATTTCGGGACCCTCAGAGCCAGGTGAAGTGCTTATCAGCCACTCTGCTCAACTCACCTGCAGTTCGTTTTCCATACAATGCATTGGTTAGGGTATTTTCGTTGGTCCTGTCACATTGAGAAGAGTACCCTCTCCGACAATTTCTGCAATCCCCACACGCAATGGGAAAAGAAACAACAACTCGTTCTCCGATCTTGATGTTCTTTGCCTCCGGCCCTACACTGTCCACAACTCCACAGCATTCATGGCCAAGCACGTCTCCCTTCTCCAATTGAGGAACGACCCCTTTATCCGGCACAGTTGTGTCAGTGTATCTCCCCGTCCAGGTCATGGAGTTATCTTCATACCATGATACAGGTGAAGATCGCTACCGCAAATAGTGCTTCCTGTCACCTTGACAATCACGTCTCCAGGGTCAACCACCCGCGGCTTTGGCATTTGCACTAATCATGACGATTAATATTGCACAAAAGGCTTAAACCGGCAATCTCCTCTTTCACTTACCAACTTTGACATGGTTCTTCCCTTGCCAGGTAGTAGCCTGAATCATCTCTCCGGTCTCCACTCCATGTTCATTGTCGTAGCTAGACACATCAGTGGTGATTGTTGCGTTATCACCGTGGCCGATAATCTTCTCTACCAGGTTTGCTGCCTGGGTCATCGCCATTTTCAATATATTTAAGGATATGTACGGTTGGGATATGGCGAAGTTATACGTTCGGGAGTAATGGGAACTTGCAGCACAGATTTATACTTGAGCAGATCCACATTGAGCATTTATTCTTGTGGTACGCCTTGTATATTTGCATGTTGAAAGTCCAGTTTTTGGCAGGTTTATGTCTGACATCACCATGATGTCGGATATGCGTCAAGCAAAGCCATCCCCAATTTAAGGAATATATCAGCTGTATAATGAGCATTATATCTTCGACAGCATAGTATTGCTTCCACTTGGGTTAAGAACCTCAGATATGTGGGCCTCGGTAGCAGTCAAACGTTTCCCATGAAGGATTCAACCTTATTTCTGTTTTATTTTCCAAACTATTGTCCCTCCCAGAGAAGAAGCTATAATATGTATTCATACCTATCGTATTGAGGTACGAGGGCTGCGCACATCTTCATCCACTTCGTTTGCATCAATTCTTCATACCAAGTCCGTGGTGCACAATTATCCACGGATATACCGAGATGTTTAATTTCAGAAAATTAGTGTGTTGTTAGCATTTCAGGGCCCCTTGATCTTTACATTGCTTGGGAACTAATCGCAAATGTATATATATCATGAGCTCATCTGACATATTTCCCAGGTTGTCTTCACTGCAGATCTACTAGAACCGATCTGGTATGGCGTCATAGGGCTTGGTTTCAATGTCTAATTGGTAGGTCTGAACTAAGCATATACCAAGCCAGCTATATTGCGATTTACTAGCATCTTATCCATGGATAGATATCATTTGACCTATAAAAAAAAGAACATGTCACAGTCAACACAAATCACAAGCTGAACTCGTAATCAGTTGACCGGATCGGGACTCGGTGATAAGCAAGGGATGGATCAGGTACCGCCCGTCGGAACTCCGCCTTTCCCCTCACGAGTTCTCTCCAACTCTCCCCCCAAGCTCCCTCTTCTCTATAATCAACTTCACAATATTTACAACCATGACCAGAAAATACAATTCCATTCAAGACCTGGATATGCCATGGGCTTCCAAAATCTCCGCCCAACTGCCCAATCCACTCATGCCTGTACCTGCAGCGCTACCAGTCCGAGCCCAGCAGTCGATCGCCGATGAGTCAGTCCGCTCATTCCGCCCAGAGGATTACTCAAAGCCATACTGCGAGTTTATGACATCTAACCCCACAATTTTCCACGCCGTCAAATCCTTCTCCGAGCAGCTTGAAGAGCATGGCTACAAGTATCTCTCCGAGCGAGCGATATGGACATCAGAGCTGAAACAAGGCGGCAAGTTCTACACCACCCGCAACGGCAGCTCCTTGATCGCTTTCCACGTTGGTTCCAAATATGAGAGCGGCAACGGCATCGCTATCGTTGCTGGCCACGTCGATGCCTTGACTGCCAAGCTGAAGCCTGTGTCCAAGCTACCGAACAAAGCAGGCTTCCAGCAGCTTGGTGTTGCCCCCTATGCAGGTGGCCTCGGCACTACATGGTGGGATCGTGATCTTGGGATCGGTGGTCGTGTGCTAGTCCGTGACCCGGAAACGGGCAAGGTGGAGACTAAGCTAGTCAAGCTTGACTGGCCTATTGCTCGTGTGCCTACTCTTGCTCCCCATTTCGGCTCTCCTGCGAATGGTCCATTTAATCCGGAAACCCAAATGGTACCTGTCATCGGAATTGATAACTCTGATTTGTTTGAACACTCCAAGGCCGAGTCAAGCAACATCAAGTTCGGCACATTTACCTCGACTCAGCCTGAGAAGCTTGTGAAGATAATCGCCCAGGAGCTTGGCATCACAGACCACAGCACTATTGTCAACTGGGAACTGGAACTATTTGATACTCAGCCCGCTCAACTAGGAGGCCTAGAGAAGGACATGATCTTTGCCGGCCGCATTGATGATAAGCTTTGCTGCTATGCTGCACAGGAAGCGCTCATTGCCTCCTCGGACGACAAATCAACCGGAACCGTGAAGATGGTCGGTATGTTCGATGATGAAGAGATTGGCAGTTTGCTCCGACAAGGTGCTCGGTCGAACTTTATGAGCAGCGTCATTGAGCGGATTGCCGAGGCCTTCGCGGAGGGCAACTACGGCCCCAGCCTCCTTTCCCAGACAGTGGCCAACAGCTTTTTGGTGTCGTCTGATGTCATCCACGCGGTGAATCCTAACTTCCTTAATGTCTACCTGGAGAACCATGCGCCCCGCCTTAACGTTGGCGTGGCAGTGTCTGCCGACTCTAACGGACACATGACTACTGACAGCGTCAGTGAGGGCATTATGCGGAGAGTTGCAGAGCGCTGTGGGTCAACCCTGCAGGTCTTCCAGATTCGCAATGACTCTCGCAGCGGTGGCACTATTGGGCCCATGACCAGTGCCCAGATTGGTATGCGGGCCATTGACTGCGGTATCCCGCAGCTGAGCATGCACAGCATTCGGGCGACTACCGGAAGCTTGGACCCCGGCCTGGGTGTCAAGTTGTTCAAGGGATTCTTCGATCACTACGAAGAAGTCGACAAGGAGTTTTCCGATTTTTAGATTAATTTCGCATTCTGCTCTGGGCAGTATAGAGCCCTCCTCCTTTTTGCATGGCTATTATAAGCGGTTTGTCTCGTAATTCTACGCTTTGGGTGCGTATTGGACTACAACCAAGTGGCTTCATTCTGACCATCGCTCTTCCAACTCTCGGTATTAAGTTATTTGTCTGATTCGATCGCTGTATCTCCAGTATCTATATATACAAGAATTTCCAACCTACATTCCGAATTACTAGATATAAAAACATAAGAAAAAAGAATGATCGTGTACCTCCCACAGGGGAATCATCCATGGCCCGACAGGCCCAATGGTACATAGTACAACTCTTCCGAAAAAAACAAAAGGAAAATCCGACGGGTATATGGCAATAATCCAATCCACCAACATGAGTACATGAGCCATTCAAAAAGCAAATGCGCATCTATACAGCAATCCTCAAAATGGCGTCCCGAAATCCGGAGGCAAAGCACGAGGATGCATCGTCATATTGGGAGGAGGCTGAGATATCGTAGCAATCTGAGCCAACTTCTTCTTCTCTTCCTCTTTCACTTCTTCTCTAGTCCACCGCTTAAGGCTAGACCTGAGCCCGGTAGGAAGAGCGAGAACGCGCTCCGGGTCGCCCGCGCCGTACTCATGCTCTTCACACTGTGCACCGAGTGTCGATGCATCACCGTTCCAATCAGAGTTACGCTGTGTTGTGTCACCGCGGGTGGTGCGACTAGCGTTGAAGGTTGATATCATTCCTGGGAAGATGCGGGCGATGAGGGGCTTTAGGGTTGGTAGACAAGCGCAGATTATACCTGTGTTGCATTCAATGGCGGACCAGGAAGCGGCGCCGACGTTATCGACTGGTTCGGGTGTGTTAGTTTGGTTTTGTGTAGAGGTGAGTTGAGACGATACTTACAGGTGGGATCGGATGAATCGGCGATCTTTTTCAAGCTGACTAGACGGATAATGCTGGTGATACAGACGCTAGATTATCATGTTAGCTCTTGTATGATTATGTAGGAAATGGGATAACTCACAACCCGCCTAGACCGAACATGATCATTAAAGCGACCTTCTGTCTTCGGGGCAAGTCGACTGCCATTAAAGCCGGGATGGGAATGACTAGGATAGCGATATCGGTTGAGATATGCATGCCGGCGTTGGAGAACCACAGTTTCGTTTTGTCTAGACAGAACCCTTCGATAGTTGGGTTCCAGAATTTGGCAACGGGAATGCAATTTAGGAATGCACTGATCACTGCCCATGTGCCATAGATGCCGAGGATGGTTATCATGATCCAGCAGACAACACGCATGCGGTGCGTTGGGAAGACTCGCCAGTACTGCATTAGAATGGAGGCTTTGGCGCAGAGGACAGCGGCGTTGTAGAAAGGAATGGTGAGCCAGAAGGCCTATTTTGGATTGTTAGATGTGGTTGATAGCTGGATTAGGGCAAGCTCACCTTCATCTGTCTCTCGAGGATGGCCGGCGGGATATCTTTAATATGCGTTCCTATTCCACTGACGCATTCGACAATGTCGAGGCCCATGAAGACATATGAGTTCACCTATGTATCTACATTAGTATATGCCATTCTTCGATAACAGTCACCCACTTACCAGTGCGACAATGACCATCCAGTCATTTGCTTCAACTCGTCTCATTAGTCTTACACGAGTAAACATCCTCATAGCCACGAAGCAGGTTGCTAAGCCCGTAAACACAACACTTATAACCATGGCTTGTTCGCCACGGGAGGACATGAGTATGCCATTATTATCGCGCTTGAAGACCCCATCTCGAGAGTGCAATGGATTCATTATCAAGCAATCTTTTGACTTTAGGAGAAAAAAAAAACGAAGGGATGGCTACTCCTCAAAGAGAAGATTGCCCGAAGAGTAGTCCAACGATCAGATAGATAATCTAGATCCGATATACTGAGATAGGACACAAATGAGTGAGGAGTGATAAGAGAAAAACTCTCTCAAAAGTTTAAGAGGATATAAGTGTATTATAATCTATAAAACTACTAAACAATACCTCAGGTGGTCTAGGAGAGAATCCACTATCCCTTTTTCAGAGACAGTCACTCCTCGGATGGGCGGCCCAATGCTTTTGACGCGACACAGCATCCCAGTCTGGGAAGCGTGTTTGCAGCATCGTGCAGCGCAAGGGGTTGTATACAACGAATAGGGACCTGAGTTGACCCCGGATAGACTCGGTTCGTACATCTGTGGCCTCATAACCACATTTTTATATGATGTTTTCTTTGTCTTTTTTTTTTTTTGCTTTTGCGTTCTTTTGCTTTTTTTGTATTTTTTACTTCTTTGAATGTGGCTGCTGCAATTTGCATGGGAGTAATATTATACTTTGCAGGGTTAACATATCGATTTCCCACACCTTATTCTGAGACCCCCAGATTCATTTACCCCTTCCGTCCAGCCTTGAATCGCTCAATAATTTGCTATTCCTGTCGATCGCATGTCGATCCGATTGAGTTACCGCACTACGTACGGAGTAGAGGTTACTCTTGCCTTGTTCGATTGACGCACGGATTTAATTCCACGGACTTCAGCTTTAAGGTTATGCTGCTATAGATGATAATCGAAGACATTCCAAATAGCTTTGAATATACCATGAAGACTTGCATGCGGTATTTACTACCAACAGCTCGGAGATCATCTTATTCGACATCCGATCATCTCCGATCGTCACACTAAAGAAGCATTATTAGCAACTTATGACGACAGTTGGAGCCTAAGACTATGCTATCTTGAAGTCAACCAACCCTATGCATCAATCTGCCCATTGGATCTCGCTGCAGCACGTCTACATGTGGAAGCTGCTCGGCCGCGGGGTTCAATGCGAGTTTAAGGGTATCAGATGTCAAATTTATTGAATATGTACTGGCTTCTAGATCGTGGCCACATCTGTCAACTTTTAAGTTAGAAGCCAAATGTCATATGGATACTTTCCACGACATAGCACCGGTGTGACGGAAATGCCAGACAATGCACAGTGCACACGGCAATGACAATGAAGCTGATCGGTGAAAACTTAAAACCTCAATCTGGAAAGACACTCTTAATTGATTAGAAAACGACCCATGTCTGTATACTCGATACAATATAGAGTTGATTGACTTGACCTATGCCCCTCTCGTTTGCCCCTCCTCTTGTTACCTTGGAGATTTAACCCAATAGTTAAAACAAGGTTGGATATGTCTCAAATGTTGACTGGGAAACAAACGGCTCTCTGTAGACACTGTCTCATTATGGATGTTAGGGCTATATTAAGCTCCTCTGCCTTATGTGTAAGGGGCGCTCGACTTATTGCCACTGAACTTTGTCCTTGTGTGACATGACCACCCAGATATAAAAAGGGGAATATCCAATAATGGATATCAAGTGGAAATACGGAGAATTAGATATAGATACTCCGTACTTGTTGGAACATGCAAGTGATGATGGCACTAGAGAGGTCTTGTAAGGGATAGCCGTTTCCCCTTGCCCCGGATCCGCTCCCGCAAAGCTTCGTTTACTTTCCCAAATATGAGATCAGTCCAATTTATGAACCGTGCTAAGTAATATAAAGCTTTTAATGTTCCCTCAATAGACGTCGGCCGTAGTATTATTTTTGTCGCCTTGACTAGCCACCTCTCACACCATCCAAAACTGTCACCACACAATTGACCTGGTGTCAATGCTCGGATTTTTGAGGAGCTCAACAAAAGCAATTAAAAGGCTACGCTCTTTTAAGTTTTCCACAGTGTGTAGCCAAAGAAGACCCCTGCCAAGGTGGCGGTTTAGGCGCTGGATAAATTGACATGTCACATAGTACGATTAGGGCTAACCGTCGTGACACACAGTTATCTTTATTCGATGCGCTGTCCTCGTAGAATGAAAGAAATATGGTTTTGGACCTAGCTGCCACATTTTTGAATCATGTAGTGCAACACTCACTTATGTACTCCGTACGCAGTACTCCGTGACTCTTGTCAATATGCACGGCGCAAGGTGGTATACGTTGTATGCAGGTTACCTTGCTTACCGAGTTGGCATGGCAGCTTGGGACTTGAACATTACATTGATCTAGAATGTTGAATATAGTGCATGTTAAGATCCGGTTGTTCTTCTATACTTAGTACTTATATCCACCGCGTCTAAATTGAGGTTTGAAAACTTACACATAACGCCTAAAACTTTATCCATCTACCAGGGAAAGGCTAACGCTTATAGGAGCTAATACATGGGATTCAATGCGGTGAATGATTACCTTGTCACAATTTTGGGCACTTCGATACGCCAAGACGGTTCTATACCTACTTCAGTCGACGATGTCATGGGACAGAGTGCATCTCACCACATTTATCTCTGGTCAGCCATCTTACTGCAGGTAGCCGGTTTCAGATTAGGATCGGGAAACCTCGGTTGGAATATATTCCACGTGTATTGGCCCTCTCTCTCGTGGCTTTGTGGATAGTTTCAAGTCTACAAACGTCTCGAGGGACGGCATATATGATAATCCTGCTGAAAGCAACTTGATATAAACCTGTCATTGACGTTCAGCCAACTTGTCGCGTGCCATATGTCAACAGCCATTCGAGATTATGGTGGGCTGTGCAAGATAGTATTGGGACCGATATGTTAGCTTTGTGTTCTAAATCAAACCATTGCTGGTAAAACCGCGACAAGTAATTGTGGTTCCTTATAGCCTGCAGCAACTCTCTTTGCCATTGTCTTTTCTTCTGCAATTTCCTTTTCCGAAAGGACCTTTGGGATTTTGGTTGAGTCTGCAGATTGAAACATGGAATGCACATTCCCCTATTGTAGGAAGATCGTATCTCCACATAGACAGATAACTTACATGAGATTCTTGGCAGCAATCTTGAAACTTATATCTGTTTGGGGCAGTTTGTTTGCGTAGACACGTCGGGCACATGTCCTCCATTGTGTGTAGACTTTGTAGAGAAATCCAAATCCTCTGCGGGGTGAAGAACAAGCTCGTTTGACCTTCTAACGTCAGTTTGGTCTTTATTAGAGAGACTCTTCAGCTAGCCCGGGGAGTCATCGGCACCCTACTGGCCTGATTTCCAACATGTGCTAGTGTCCCAACATGTGGGAGCTGGCTGCTATGTCCAACTTGGGCAAAGGAGGGAATTTTGCTTCTGTGAGGCCTGGATAAATTGTTCTTAGAGCATAGCCTCCGCTATGATCATATAATTCTCATGTTGAATCCAACTTGGTATGGCCGCATGTGGGTATTGTAAAATATATATTGACTATGTCAGCATTGTGGTCTCCATTTTGACCAACCCATACTCAAATTAGTATGTATTGTGGGGTAAAACCTCATCAAAATCAAATAACAAGAAAATAAATGTACAATCAAAGCATTCTGATGTCCAATTGCATGTCCAAAGACGAATGTGGTGGAATTGCAGTAGATTTGGATAGTCGATAAGATAGACCGATAAGGACGCACAGGCCACTGTTCACAGAGAAATTTCCTTTCCACAACTCAGCCAATTCTTTCAAGTCGCCAACGATCTCGTCTTTTCTCATTGTCGATCAGTGGGAATAGTCCTAATATACAGGACAAAATGGCGGACACTACTGCCCCATCCACCAAGCCTGTCCACACAATTGTGCTGGATGCTGGCCCGATTCTCAAGAATACCCCGCCGCTTTCCACCCTCCTTGCCCAGTGCGATGAAATTATCACCACCCCGTCTGTGGTGGCCGAGATTCGCGATCCAGATGCCCGCGCACGTGTCGAGACCCTCTACCTGCCTTTCTTGAAGCAGCGATCCCCCACACCCAAGAGTTTCAATGTTATCAGTGAATTCGCTCGCAAGACCGGTGACCGTTCTGTCCTGAGTAAAACCGATATTGAGGTTCTCGCCCTTGCGTACGAAATTGAGTGCGAAAAGAACGATGGAGATTGGCGGTTAAGAAGCGTTCCCGGACAGAAGCAAATCAACGGAAAGCCCCCTGTGAAGGAGGAATCCGTGGAGGCCAAGCCCGAGGATGCGGAGGTGGAAGCCATTACAGAGGACGTGAAGGAGACCACAGTCGCAGACGTCCAGGAAGAGTCTCCAAAGGAGGAAGAAACTGCTGCAGTGAACGAGGCTGACGAAGTCGCCGAGGTTCTTGTTGCTGTTGCTGATGAAGAAGAAAAGGATGAAGATGAGGATGCAGAGGATGATGCTGGCGGTGATTCTGATGACGGAGAATGGATCACACCCTCTAACTATAAAAAGCGTCTTGCTAAGGATGAGTCCGGGACAGCAACTCTTACTGCTGCACCCAAGACAATGCAGGTTGCGACTATGACCACTGATTTCGCGGTAAGTTGACTCCATGGAACACCTGTCTATTGTGCAATTGCTAATTCTGTATAGTGCCAAAACGTTCTCCTACAAATGAACCTTAATCTTCTGTCTACCACCACCCTCCAGAAGATCCAACATCTTAGAACCTTCATCAAGCGCTGCCACGCTTGCTTCTTGACCACGAAGGAGATGGACAAACAGTTCTGCCCTCGCTGTGGTAAGGATACTCTCACTCGTGTATCGTGCACGACTACTGCCAACGGCGCGTTCACAATGCATCTGAAGAAGAACATGCAGTGGAACAAGCGCGGCAATGTATACAGCGTTCCCAAGCCAATCGCAGGAAGCGCGAACGGCAAGTGGAAGGGCGGCGGTGGCCAGCGCGGATGGGGTACCGAGCTCGTTCTTGCCGAAGATCAGAAGGAGTACATCCGCGCCAACGAGGAAGAAGCGCGGCGCCAGCGTCGTGAGCATGATCTCATGGACCAAGATTACCTGCCTGGTATCTTGACCGGCGAGCGCAACAGGGCTGGCGGTCGTACCAAGGTCGGTGCTGGCCGCAATGTCAACTCGAAGAAGCGCTCTTAAGTGTGCTCCGTGGATGACTTTGCATCTTGATTACATGGGCTGGAGTTTTGGGGCATGGAAAGAAAAAAAGTTCACTTGGTCAATGCCGCTGTCATAGTGGGTGTTGACCTTTTTATGAGGAATGACCATGTCTTGTCTTGTGATTTACGGTTGAACATAGAATATAGCCAATCCATATGGCTCTTTATGAACATTTAAGAAAAAGCCTTGTTGATTACCTAGATCAGGTATCATATTCTTTAGAATGTCGAGGTGAATCCCCGAATAGATTATCCGAGGACAGCAAAACAAGTATGGACATTTTAGCCATCCGTTGACCACAAGAAAAACACCATTCGCCGAAACATGGGCTATGCCACCCGGTAATTCATTTCCCCCAGTGCTGATCCATTTAAGCCTTGACAGGGGCCTCTGAACGATAACATGTCAGTTTCCGACACTTCTGCGAGGTGGGGTTCTCAAGGGGGAGATTCGACATACTAGCTTGCTGGGTGAGGAGAAGGTTGTAACGCTTCTTCAGGGTGACACGGTGACTGAGAAAGAGGTCAGTTTCCAATTCTTCCATTGAGTGCCATGTATAAGGACATCGATACTTACCGAGAGTACTTGTCATCGGGGGAGAAGCGAGCGGGGTGGGCGGACTTGGTGACCTCGCCGTTCACGACCTATAGATGCCCAGATTAGCATCATTGTCCAAAGTTGAAATTGTGATTCGACGAGCCGCATGTTCGCTGGAGGGCAGCGGTCTCCGCAGCGCAAGGATTTCCATACCTTCTTCAAGGTGTAGACGCGCTTGCCTTCAGCATTGAGAGTGTACTGTTCGTTAAAAATTAGCGACTGATCTCCGGACGGAGCTGAAGATTCGCTCGCTTCGATGTCGCAACGAAACATACCATAAGATGCATTCTGGAAAGAGCAATATTAGCACATGAACAAGAGACCACTTGTAACACGATTTCAAAACTCACTTGGCGGTATTGATGAATAGCCCTGTGTTAGTACTTGCGTCGGCAATAAGTGGAGGAATTTTTTTCTCAACGAGGAAGAGCTCGGACCACATTGCTTAGTCACGGGGTGCTTTTTAAACGGAGCTTTCGACCGCAAAATTTCCTTTTTCTCTCGCACTTAATCAGAGAAGAGAAAATAATCTCTCTTAAAATCACTTTGAGCTCTGTTGATGTGCAGAGCCATGGTGGATTTACTAATTGACAATTGATTCAGGTTGTTCATACATACAGAGACTTCTAGGTAAGATGATCTTCCGCTCTTCTACACTTTTCCCTTCAATCCTTCACCTTCGGTGATGACACCATTTATTTAGCTCAGGCAGGCGACACTTTGATTTCTAGTTGCCTGTCAATGATCCGCTGAATTGACTACAACGGTATCTGAGAAGATATTATCATGACGATTGATTCACTTCGCATGTTTAAGCACAGTTCGCTAACCTCGAATTTTGTGTTTAGGACTTTGAATATTTCATTCATTCAGTAGTGGTTTCCAAGGATGGCCACCTCAGTAACCAGCATGGAGAATCCCGTGGCGGCCAAGTCAGGGCCTGTATCAGATGCACGTCCGCCTCGTGCCCCTCGACCTCCTAGGCCAAACTTCAGACAGATTCACCAGTTTCCTCTTCCGGTCAATGTACATCATGTTCCTGCTGTAATTCCTCATAACCCTCTTTCTCTTATAAGCGTCGCTCTCTCGTACCTCACATTCCTTATCTCCCCTCCCCGTCAAGAAGTCTACTCGGCCTACTTTGACAAAGCCACCTCCTCGATCCATGTCACGGACGAGAGATCCATTAAGGCTCTGTGGCAGATGGGATTCTTCGGCAAGGGTAGTTTAAGTCGAAGTGAACCCAGCTGGCTGGCGCGAGAGAAAAAACGAAGAGGGTTACATGATGGCAAGACCAGTGAGGAGATTACAAGACTACGACGGACTGAACGTCGTGAACTGAAGCTAGAGCGTGCCCGGATGGAGAAGCTAGCTATTGAGGAAAGACTCAAGGCCGAGGCGGCTGCTAGGGAATCCGGTGCTTCTGAGCCTTTAGACCAAGACGCTCAGCCAACAACCACAGACAATACGACTAATGTCACAGCGACTGCAACGGAGAAGTTCTCTTTGAAGAAGGCAAGAGAAGCCCGGGCACTGGAGGCACGGCAGGCACGGGAATTGGCTGCACAAAATGCGGCTCTCGGCGAACAAACCCAAACCGAGGCCTCTAACGGCAAATCCGTTCGATTTTCACCAGTCGTACAAAAGAAAGAATTCCTATCCACGTCGCCCTCGGCACTACAATTGCCTGATTCCGCCGTCGACAATCTCGAAGCAGATGATTTTCCAAATGAAGAGCACCTTCAACTCTCTAACGAAGAGGCATTCTTCCTTGCATACTCGCTTGGAGCATTGCAAATCTACGATGCACCCTTAAAATCTGGGGAAGCCCAAGCGACTTCGCCTACCACCACCTCTGCCCTCCTTCGACAGTTCTGCAACCACTCCTTCCAGCCCGCCCGTGACGTCTCCGCATCCCTCCAACCCGATGACCCCTTTATGATCTCCTACACCGTCTACCACCACTTCCGGTCCCTCGGATGGGTTATCCGCTCCGGTGTCAAGTTCGGAACTGATTACCTTCTCTACAACCGCGGACCGGTCTTCTCTCATGCCGAGTTTGCGGTCATCATCATTCCCTCCTACAGCCACCCTTACTGGTCCGAGACCGAAGAACGGAAGAACTACACAGCAGAGAAACAGGCAAGAAGTTGGTGGTGGATGCACTGCGTCAGTCGTGTGCAGGCCCAGGTGTTGAAGAGCTTGGTCGTCTGCTATGTTGAAGTGCCTCCACCCGCTGCTTCAATTGATGATATTGGGGCGCTGTTTGGCCAATACAAGGTGCGCGAGTTCCTCATCAAGAGATGGATTCCGAACCGCACTCGTGATTGATCTTAGTTTATTTTTGTATACCCTCAAGGCGGGGGAATAAGGGCTTCAGATACCCTCTCTGTAATTAATTATGTTGCATTGTCTTGCATAACTGTACAAACCATGGATATGTTTTCTCATACATCCAGCTTACCTCCATTTCACCATTGATCTCTTTCTCTGATTCTATAAACACAGCTGAGGAATGGCGGTTATTGACTCTTCCCGGTGGCTTGTGGCGTTACCAAGGCAGGGAGATGACGTAGGGGCGAAAACTTCCATATTGATTCTTTAAATACTCTAGATTCTAGAGCTAGAATATAGAATTTGGTTTTATTACATTCGCCAAAATGCCTTGGTCTTTCGCTCTACCTCATGTACTTTTCGCCAACCCCTACCTAGCGGTTGCGACCCCAATCACCGCAGGAACTGGAGTGGCCCTCTTGACCAATCGTAAGTCGACCAGTAACGATTACAGACAATCATTAACGATCCAGCAGGAAAGCAAAATCGTGAAACCTACAAGCAGCTGAAGCAACCGCCCTACAGTCCCCCAGGATGGCTCTTCGCACCGGCCTGGACCATCCTTTACGGATTGATGGGTTACGCCTCTCACCACGCCACCAACACCGCGTCACAATCTTTTTCTCTAGCTGTCCGTGATGCCAATTCCACTGCCCAGACCCTCTATACCACGCAATTGGCCTTGAATTTCCTCTGGATGCCCCTCTTCTTCCGGCTACGCCAACCGGCCTTAGCGTTGGGAGATCTGGCCCTATTAGCGGGCAACGTAGGTACCCTGATGGTCAACTGGTGGACGGCCGATCGGACCGCTTTCTGGTGTCTTGTTCCCTACGCTGCTTGGCTTGGATATGCGGCGTATCTCAATGCCGGCTTTGGTGTTCTGAATGGATGGACGGTGCCAACTGAGAAGGAGCGGTTAGATTAGGAGACCAATGCACGATATGGAGTGTAATAATTAAAGTACATGTCTCATGTTCCAACTGCTTTCCATGCCGATTATTAAACTGTGTATAGATGGATGCGTAGGTAACTAAAATGACCACAGTGCCTGTTGAGTGTCCAATGGCGCTAGGCTATAAGAGGTAATATTAGTTTCAGGCACGTGACACGCGCGTTTCGCGTTCCGACGCCTCCATTTGGATTTATGGCTCGACGAAAGGCTTTGGGGACATCAGACTACGCTAAAATGAAGTTTGCAAATACAAATATTGCTACCAAAACGCACTAGACTACCAACCACTGCATGTGGGCCGAAAATGGAAACCCAGGACGATAGCATCGACCTTGCAAAGTTGCAACGCGACGCGTTGGGGCTAGTATGTACCGAACCTGCAGGTTGCCTCGCCCTCATTGGACTAACTCCGACAGCCCCAGGAGCACGATCCATCTCATTCGTACCTTTCGGATGCTGCAAAAACTGTTAACGAGCCGAATCACACTCTTTGTTACACATACCACCAAGTGAAGGGCTCTTCCAATGGTGACGGAGTGTGCACCGGCAAACACCTACCTCCGAAAATCCCATCGAGCCCCACGAGCGTTGCGCACCAACATCAGCCTCCTCTGTCACGACCTCCGCGATATGAAAAACGAGCAATGATGTCTGAAAAGAGTGGCATTGAACAGGGCATTCCACCGGGCTCGCAATTCGGCAACATGAGCTCCGCAGAGGGTACTCCTGGGGATACCCAGGTCGTCTCGCAGTCAGTGTACGACAGCATTATCAGACAAAATGGAGAGTCCATGCAACAAGACTATTCCCAAACAGGAGCAAATGGAGCGACTTTGAGGACATTGTATGAGGGCGACAGCGGCCACATCGACCTTCTCTCCGAATTGGACGCCGCACACCATGGAACGAACCTCTCCCAAGACGACGATGATAACGACGACGAGAGTGTCATCGATCAGAACGAGTCGTCTCCAATGGCCTACGCACCCAATCTCTTCCCCGAATCACAACGATTTCTAGCAGAAACACCCGGAACGACGAAGAAGAATGAGACCGTGGGTGAGACAACAGAGACTCCGAGCATCTCGCGGAATCCCCTCGCTAGTGGGATCGAGTCAAGTGGCGGTCTGCTTGGTTTGAGCCAGGTTTTTGGGGCTACCCAGGCCCCGTCGTCTCCTATTGTCCACGGCCTGCAGACGGAGCTTGTATCGGATCGTCCATCACCCAATATCCCTATTCAGTCCGCTCGTGTTGTTAATGGTATTTCGTCGCCGCTGATGGGTCTGCCAGTTCAGTTCGTGAGAGAATCATCCGAACCGAATTTGAACTACATATCGATGAAGGAATCACAGACAAAGCGCGACAGGGCTTTGGGCGAGAGGTTGACTCGCTCGGCTGACAACATTCAATCGGACCAGAGTGACAGGGAATTCTATAAAGAGTCAAGCTTCATAGAACGTGCACGACGACAGCGTGAAATAGATGAGGAAGCTGCGGCTCAGTTCGCTGGACTGAGTGCTCCTGCCAGATCTACATCCAATCTCTCCGCTAGACTACAAACTTCTCGCCAGCAGCTAGGAGAACTACAAGAAGACCAGGAAATGATAGAAGCTGTTGCCAGCGAGGAAGAAACCGAACAGGAAGAAGATATGCAAGTGCTCCGATCACAAGAGCTTCCTCAATCTTCAGCCGAAGAAGACAAAGAGAACTACAACGGGCCCCCTCTGGATGCCGCTGCTGCCGCCGCTGCTAGTGCTCATGACCGACTATCACAAGTGCTCGGGTTTGAGCCGATTCAATCCCCATCCCGTGTGAGAGTCGACGAAGAACTCGAGGATGATATAGCTCACCGAGGCTCCTTCGGCTCCTACAATGGTAGTCAGCCGAACGGTGTAGTGCGTTCTTCACAGGTGTTGGTAAAAGACTCTCAGCCATCACCTCAATCATCCTCGAAATGCATCGAAGCGGATAATACTAGGAACGGTATTCATCCGTCGCCTTCGCGTTCTCATGTGGTTTCTCCTGCGCAAGACCGTGTTCAGTCCTCCTCTCCCTACTCACGACCGCAATCAAGACATTCGAACGACAATATCCAGACAAATGGCTCAGTATCAAAAGGACATGCCATCCAACATGTTCAGAGTGCACCCCCTAACGGGAATATACCAACACACTCTAGCAACCCCTCGGAGCAGCAACATATAAACTCATCTCATTCCAGAGTGGACACGGGAACTGCAGGCAACTCATCATCGATGCCATCTCGTGTGACTGAGACGCCTATGAATCAACGTCTTAAGCATATTGGTGATATGGCTCGATTGACGAGTATCCCAGAAACAAGTCCCAATCATTCCCAATGCGACTCCGAGGCTGGATCCAACGGCGATGGGCTGAACAACGAAGACGACGATCTTCCACCCATGTTCAATGAAGTTCCCAGTATTCGAAAGAACCATATTCGCCCAGCTGGGGCAAAAGCACTCTCTTCCCCTCTCAAAAAATTGTTGTCCAGCCCGGGCGGAGGCCAACGCAGGGCTTTGACTGAGATTGCGGCAGACCTTTCTCCACAGGTTGGTGCAGCAGGATTTGATCTAGGAATCGGTGTCTTTACCACCGATGATCAAGAGTTCAGAGCATTGATTGATGGATCACCGACTCGACCGAAGAAGAAGCGGCGCGGCAATGATGGCTCGAGTTACATTGCCTCCGATCCTATCATACCTCTCACCCCTCGTGCACAGCCCCCAAAATCTGTTGCACCCATTCGAGCAATACAGGAACGGCCAGCTTCTATTCATGCAGAATCGGATGATGTGCCTTTGGTGCAGGTCCCCGAAAAAGTAGTGCGAAGACAATCAAAGCCCCCGCGACGAGCTCCCGAGAATGTTTGGGAAATTGAGGGATCGCCTGAACAGCCCTTACGCCGGAGACCAAGAATTGGCAAGATGGCTAACTCGCTGTCTACACAAGAGAAGCATGCTCCAGAAACGAGCTCCAGGCTTGCTGCCAAGTCAGCACCCCCACCAAAGGTTGTCGTTCACAGTCGGCCACCACCTCCGTCATCAGAACCCACCGAGGTTTCATCAACAATTGCCTCGGATGATATCATTGAGTCGGAGGCCTATAGTGTCGATAACTCTCCTACGACGCCTCGACCCTCGCACACTTTATCTGAAAGCACTCTGGTTGCTCCAAGTCAGGTCCTTTCTGTCTGGATGGGTCAGAAACGGGCATACTACCCAGGCACGTGCTTTGGAACACCACTAGGTGTATCGCAAACTAAATACTCTGTGAAATTTGAGGACAGTCTTCCTATCGAGGTGCCGAAGGGTGCCGTTAAAAGATTCGAGCTTCGTGTCGGAGACGGTGTCAAAATCGATATGCCTAATGTTCCAAAGGTCACTCATGTGGTCCGTGGATTCGGTGACAAGCTCACTAGAGAAGAGCTGGCTAAGGCCGCCGCCGACGGTCTTCACCCTATGACCGATATTTACGGTCACACAACTGTTATAGTCGGCCCCAAGCAACGCAAAAGTCTGCCAAATGGAGGTATTGGCAATAGCGAGAATGTGATTAAGGTGCCCATTGCTCGTGTATATCTTGATACTATCCTGTGGAATCAACTCAAAGATCGGGCGTTCACATATCGCCCGGCGCCTGTTCAGCAAGAGAGCATGGTCCATACCCCGTCCGAAAGGTCGTCCGCGCCTGCTTCTCCCAGTTCTCGCTTGTCTCGCAGTATCCAACAAGGCAGTGGAATCTTCTCTGGGATGGTATTTGCAGTCTCTTACAAAGAGGATGAAGCATCTAAAAATCGTGTGACTAGGCTTATCATCGAAAATGGTGGCACTGTATTACATGATGGATTTACTGAATTGTTCGAGGCTTCATCAATTGTTCCTGTTGATACTCCGATCAAGGGTGGGGCCAAAGACGTAGATCTCAATGACAAAGGTCTTCGTCTTACAGCTCTTGCTAGCGACGTTGGCTTTGCCTGTTTGATTGCCGATACCCACTCTCGGCGAGAGAAATACATGCAAGCACTAGCACTGAACCTCCCATGTCTGGCCGGCCGGTGGGTAGAGGACTGTATAGCCCAAGGTCGCGTCCTCGACTGGGATATCTACCTCCTCCCAGCTGGCGATTCAATGTATCTCAACGGAGCGACAAAATCCAGAGTTATGGCTCCCAATCCTCCATCCACGGCCCGCCTCGCCGAAACAATCTCCGCACGAACCAAGCTGCTTGCAGGGCAATCAGTGCTCCTTGTCATGGGCCGTGGAAAGGCAGAGGAAAAGAGGAAAGCCTACATCTTCCTGACTTATGCCCTAGGGGCTTCCAGAGTTGAGCGTGTGCCTGATCTCGGCACGGCCAGGGCATTGATAGAGTCGCAGTCCGATTCAGGCCTACCGACTAACTGGGACTGGATCTATGTTGACGATGCAGATCAAGCTGCTGCAAAATCGATGTTAACACCCAAGCCCAAGATGCAGCGAATTCATTTGTTCCATGGGAAGAAACGCAGGAAGTCGATTGCATCGTCCACTCCTACGCCCCCTAATGAGTTGCAATGTACTGCGAGGGTTGTCGGTAATGAGTTTGTTTGTCAAAGTTTGATTTTAGGTCGCTTGTTTGAGGAGTGATTTCTTGTGCTGCTGCTTATTGATACCAATGTCATTTATCATATTTATTCTACAATGGATCTATTCAATCTATTCAGACCATAGACGCTGTTAGCTAGCTTCTCCACCTACCCCATAACCCTTGGAGTTTCATACCTTTAAAGAGGAATGTTGACTTTGAATTTATTGAGATCTTGAAGCCAAGGGAGTGTTCACCAGGCTGTACTACGTCTATATTCCCTCCAAATTCCATGTTGACAGGTATCAGATCCCATGCAGTGCAATGGAATATTGGAACAATATGGACTTTGCCCTTCCCATATTGTTTGCATAATTCTCTGTTACTACAATCTATTGTCTCCTTGTTTTTAAGATGAAAATCAGTGGCTTCCCTTATCTTCTTCATATATCCTAGGTATAAGATCCATACGGCATACTACCCTCCGCGATGTGTAGGCTCTAAAGAGACACCGTAAATTGCAGAACTTATTGATCTTGTTATTTCGCAGCAATGGATTCTAGTACATAGCGCCAGGGCCATACTTCACCCTTCAAGTTCCCAAGCTTCTACAAAACCACGTTTTCTGTAGCAATTTAGGGCTCCAACGCCCGAAACACAGGCAATGTTGGCCTACAAAATGGCGACTCCTTTGCAAGTCTGGCTCACTAAACCGGACCAGAACACTACGGCGACCTCTTATGTGGGCTGCTGAAATTTGTATGCTCGTTTCAGTGGCCTTGTAATACATGCCGAATATCTAATTCATCAACAGGTTGATACGACTACCTTCACTATTCTCTCACTTTCACCTAACCTCATCCTTACTTCTGCTACTTTCTATCTGCTTGCTAGATATCTTCGCTTCTACTGGAATACCCGCCCAATAACCTATTCACCGGGAAAGCCGGGCCGTGAAATGGGTGGCTCGGACTTCCTGTGGAAGACAACGACTATTTGATCCCTCTGTTCCGAGACCGGGACTTCCCTAGGCAGAACACTCAGCTGGCAAAGTCGAAGGTAGCTCCAAAACTAGTCAGCGCTATCGGGTACTTCTGCTCTATTCTATTTAGCCATTATGATATGGTAATAGAAGAGGGAGATAACCACCGGCTACAGGAACCACCGGCTACAGGATCTTATATGGAAATTTTGGAGGTATATCGATATTATAAGCGCGATCAGAGATCAAGTTCTGGCCTGGTACGGAAATACTCTACTCTACACCCGCAAAACAAGGTCGCTGTCGAGATTGGAGGCGGATGAAGCGAAGGCTCTAGATCAGCCGGTAAGTGAGTGATTTCAGGAGATGTCCCAGACCAACATGGAGATAGCGCTCGCGGGAGGCCCAACCATTTTTGGCAGATATCCGACGAGAAGAGAATCACTTTCGACAGCCTCTCCGCCTACTCCCGGCCAGTGGGCCTATATTCAAACATTCGATTCACTCCCCATTACCTGTCAAATAAATGAAAGAACTGCTGGCGGGCCAGTTATACGATCTTGTGGAAGAAAGGTGAACAGGAACTACGGATTCGAGCCATCTCCCTACAGAACATATCATCTCCGCTCGGCGTCAAAACTTACTGAAGGAGAGTTTATCTCTGTGAGAGCCGTGTGGCCAAGATAAAATAGGGATACCAGGAAGTCATCCCCATCTCGACCCTATGTCGTATCTCAAAGTGACCTGTGTATCATCGGCTGCTCTCTGTTTGAAGCGACAATGCCGTCGACCAGATCCCTACGCCTCATGAGCCAACGCCTAGCGCCAGCGCATCGATGTCTGATCCATGTCCATGCGCTGATATAAGTGTGGAGAAAGAAAGCTTGTCGTTTTATAGGTCAGAGGACGACTTTTCGCTCCGTAATGGACGGTGACCGTGATCACCTCTGGCATGGATCTCGACCCCGACCTCGATTCTCGCAGGCAGTTCCTCAGTTATTCTTCTGTATGCAGTGCGTACAGCTCTACCTTGGCTACTGGTACGTTCACGGCTCCATTTCCACTCCCGTCTTGCCTTCCACTGCGCCCAGGACTCGGGCAAACATCCCAACTACGAAGACTGCTCTCGTCCGAGCATAGACTACGAGTAGATTCCCGTTGGCGTCGGGGGGCATCGGTATGAGTTTCTTCCTCTCGTGGCCTGGGTCAATCAGTTTCGGGGATTGCAAAATAGCACAGGAATTCCTGATACAGAGAGCAGAGAGGTTAAGAAGGTTGATTCCTACAAACAGGAAGGAAGCTACCTAACTAAATCTATGGTGAGACCTGATGACCCAGGCACTCAGGATGTGATTTCACAACAATTCCACATGCAGTACCCCTCGAAACCTGGATCCCAGATACACCTACAGGAATGGATTAACTCTTTTGCTTTGAACTAGCATGTAACATGACAAACCCATTAATCATGTTTTGTAATTTATGTTATATCGAAGCCCCATATAAATTGCAAGGATAGCCGATACAGAAATATGAAGGAAAAACATTTTTATTTCTGGGGGTATGGATATCTATTCTCGACAAAAACCGACATAACAGTCTAACAGGACTTTGGGAATCAGCGACTGACACTGGGGGCAGTCTCTATTCTGTCTGATGGCCGCTCAGTAGCGGGGATAGACCCCGAGACACCTAGCTCACGAGAGGTATCGTGTGTGTCTTGAGCTGCAGGTTCTTTGCCTTTAGTCACTGATTGCGTACTCGGCTCAACAGCAGAAACAATCTCGCTTGTAGGCATAGGCTCTTGCGCGTTTGACGTATGCACATCTTGGGTAACGTCGTTCGATACTTCGACATCCCCAGTTGCTTTCTCGGTGCCTAGCTCAGTGGTTGGTTTACTTTCGGTAGCCAGTGTTGTCTCCTGGGGACCCAGCTCATGACATAGATTGTGGGAGTCTTTGGTGAGTGGCCCCGCTGTTCCAGGCGTCTTCTCTGCGCTTGGCTCGGTAGCTGCTAACTGATTAGGAGCAGGCGCCAAGATTGCCTGTGATTGCTCATCGGGGGTTTGCGCAGAAGCCTCGGTGTTGTGTTCGCGCGATTGCTCTGCATTTAACCCGGCAGCTGCTAAATGATCAGGAGTAGGCACCGAAACCCCTTGTGGTTGCCCAACGGCCGGTTGCGCAGAAGCCTCGGCATTTTGCTCGTGCGGCTGCTCAGAGCCCTCCGGGGTAGATTCCGCAGGTTCTTCGGCGCGGAAGAAGTCGGTACTCAAAAGCTCAATGAGGGCTCCAGCTTCAGGTGGCGGCGGAATAGATCCGCTCAGCAGCTCCTTTGCTCGAATTTTCCGTCCATATAGCTTTTTGTTTGCATCGGCACGTTCTGCAAGCACACCACCCTCCACTGTAAGACCGCCGTACAATCCACGGGTCTTGGAGTAAGCAAATACGCCAGTAGCACCCTTGGTTCCCACTACACCCCCAGCCTCGGCACTCCGACCAATGGGCCCAACAGCCATGGAAATATTACCACCCAGGGTCAAGTTTCCCGACTGCATGAATGTCTTCACTGCAGAATCCGTGGCTAGGACGAATACGAAATCCGTCAATTCTGCACCAAATTGACCACCAGCGCCGAGGCCGCCCATTGCCATGGCTGAAGGCGCGGACCAGCTGCCATCTGGGAGACGCGCGACAATCAGTCCCGAACCAAAGCGGATAGAGCCTAGGAATCCAAGTCTGAGCGCTGTGAATACGGCGATTCCCTAGCATAGAGTGAGTCGCGATCGGTCGGGCTGTTTCCCAGTGAGCCTCTTACCTTGGCGCCCACGAATATCTTACGCGGGATTTCTCCATCGATTTTGAGTTTCGGGTTGGTGAAGGATTCAAGAATCGCAGCGGCCTTTTTGCATTCGCCTGTGAGACGTGGTCAGCCCCGAGTTAGCCATGTGTGGTAGTACGGGGTATAATACTAGATAGTGAGGCAGGCAATGGGTTGTGCAAGGGGTTCTTCATGGTAGATATCGTTTCTCTCGCTTTGTGATGCTCGTTGTAAGAAGCCGTCTACGTCTAGCAGAGCCAAGTATGACCCCCTAATACCAAGAGTAGTATTCACAAATTCGAAGAAAGGGGGAAATGATATTTAAACCTTAAGACTACGCAAATTTAAGTGATGGTTGTTCTCACCATATCTCGTTAATAAGGGGGTTGGAGTTGGACTTAACTTGCGCACGGACGTTTCATATTGGGGCCATAAACCTCGACAGGTTCTTTAATTTAATTTCTTCATGTCGATCAGGGCAATCATAGGGCATAGCCAAGAGTAAGTAGGGTTGGATAGCAGAAAAAAATATAAAGAAATCGACAGTATACGCCCTCTAAAGGACTAGATAACTTGATAGTGCAAGTATAACACATTTACTGCTTTGAGTATTTAGTGCTGGATATATATGTTAGCTTCAATTTACCACTTCCAAGCAAACAAAGAAATGTATCAGCAGGCCAACTCCGCTGGATACCACGTAAGTCCACGGGTACTGATTTGTGCTTTGTAACCCCAATATTACACCTAGGATACAAATAATGTGAATGCTAGATCTAGATCGGAACATGCTCCCACCTATTTGATATCATCCGACCTCAGAATCACTGATCACGGCGTGAATCTCCCTAGAACATACCGGTGGCTGTATTGGCTGATCTAAGGTTTACGGATAACACAATACCACTTGAGAGTAGGTAAGGCTGAAAACATAACATTCGGATTATTTCATTCGCTATGATCCATGAACAGTAACGTTGAAAGTCAATCACAAATACCCTTGGAACGTCCCTGCAAATCATCCATGGTAAAGGCTGGCGGGCCGTGGTCATGCTTATATCTGAACCAGCTACACATCTAAGGACCAAGGTTACATCCGTCCATACCTGGATATCTCAAGAATGGGAGTGCTCGGAGGTGAGCCTATCCTGGTGAAACAGTTACAACAGTCCGACTAAGCATTGTACATATCGGCTGTGTTTCGCTGTAATATGCGGCCACATCTTGCCCAAGTTCCCAGCGGTTACACCGTTTCCGATGCTGTTTCAGACCACTTTAGCACTCCTCACACTCCAGGCAAGTAGAGTGGGATCTGTGCCTTTGGAACGGCGATCGATTCCCCTCGTGGACGAAACGTTCGACTATGTGGTCGTTGGTGGCGGTACTGCTGGAAGCGTGATCGCGACACGACTAGCAGAGAATGACTTCAATGTCGCCCTGATTGAGGCTGGGGGACACTATGAACTTGAGTCTCTGGCTGGGTTGCCTCCAGCCGATGTACTGTTGACGGGATCAAATCCTGCTTCCCACTCCTCTGTGGATTGGGGCTTCGTGACGAGGGATCAACCCGGTGCTAATAGGAGGGCAATCCATTTCGCCCGAGGGAAATGTCTTGGGGGATCGTAGGTATATGTTCCCAATGTAGGATAGCAGATCAAAACTGATTGCTCTGCAGGTCCGCGTTGAATTTTATGATTTATCAACGGTAATGCCCCGAGACTGAATGCTTACAGCCCGACTAACCCTCATAATGTCAAGTCCGACACGCGAGTCAATGGAACTGTGGGCAACTGTAGTCAATGACAGTAGCTACAGCTTTGATGAAGTGCTCCCATTTTACAAAAAAAGCGTTCAGTTCACGCCTCCAAATACTGACTATAGAGCTCAAAATGCCTCTACGGACTATGATGCCGACGCCTACGAATCGGACGCTGGCCCATTGCAGGTGTCGTATGCTAACTTCGCCGAGCCCTTCTCTTCATGGATGAGTCTCGGTATGGAAGCTATCGGCATCGAGCAAGCAAAGGACTTCAACCTTGGTACTCTAATGGGAGCTCAGTATTGTGCATCGACCATCGACCCATCGAACGAGCTACGAAGCAGCTCCGAGGAATCTTTCCTATCCAAGATCACGCCAAAGTCACTGACGACTTATAAACATACCCTTGCCGAGAAGGTAGTCTTCGATGAAAATAAGAGAGCAATAGGAGTCCAAGTGAGAGGTCTGCTGGGCAACATTATCACCCTTTGGGCATCGGAAGAGGTTATCATATCTGCCGGTGCCTTCCACTCCCCTCAACTACTCATGGTATCTGGCATTGGCCCTGAGGACCAGCTAAAAGAGCATGGAATCGACATGATAGCCAATCGACCAGGAGTCGGTCAGAATATGTGGGATCATACATTCTTTGCTCCTTCGTACCGAGTGCGCGTGACAACATTCACTGAATTTGCTACTAATCTCCTATACGCGGCTGACCAACTCGTGAAAGGCATACTCACCAGAAAAGGGCCCTTGACAAGTCCAATTGCAGATTTTTTAGCCTGGGAGAAGATCCCGCAATTTATGCGCTCCTCTTTCTCTGAGAGAACGCTAAACGAGCTGGACAAATTCCCATCTGACTGGCCTGAAGCAGAAGTGAGAAGGATTTTCCCTCAGATACATAGAAACGCTGCTAACAAGTATATAGTACATTTCTGGCGCAGGGTATATCGGCAACGCATCAAATCTCCTGACAAACCAGCCAAGAGATGGATACCAGTATGCCTCGATCCTCGGAGTTCTGACTACACCTTTGTCTCGAGGAAATGTTACTTTGCAATCCGCAGATACCTCAGACCTACCAGTGATCAATCCCAACTGGTTCGATGATCAGGCTGACCAGGAGGTTGCCATTGCTATGTTCAAGCGAATCCGCCAGGCTTTCCAAAGTGAAGCTATGCAGCCCGTAGTCATCGGCGAGGAGTACAATCCCGGTCCACAGTTCCAGTCTGATGAGCAGATCCTCGAGTTCATCAAGGATAATATGATGACCATATGGCATCCGAGTTGTACTTGCAAGATGGGAACTTCGGATGATGATATGGCTGTTGTTGACTCCCAAGCCCGGGTTTATGGGGTGGATGGACTGCGTGTAGTTGATGCTAGCGCCTTTCCTTTTCTTCCTCCTGGTCATCCTCAGTCGACCGTTTGTAGGTTTCTCTCGGTTATCCTTCTGGTTACCAAGTGCTGACTGCGTTGTAGATATGCTTGCTGAGAAGATCGCGGAGGATATTATCCGGGAGTCCTAGCTGTGTTAATACGGTCCAAGGACGAACACGGAGAAGAGCCCAATGCCTTGTAATACTTCTCTCTAAATTGTCATTTAGATAATAAATAGCCATGGTTGTTTGGTTTTTGGAGCTGTGCCAACACCAACTATGGAAAGGACACTTTGTAAGTCGGAATGCCATAGGATATGGGCTTAAAATGGCAGTTGTGTGCCATAGTCCCTCAAGAACAGAAGAACAAATGATAATAAACGTGGGAAAGTTGGTGGATAAATGCTCTTTCTATAATACAGTGAACACCAGATTCAAATCCTCATATCGCTACAGAAACCCAGAAGTTATTGGAACAAGACATCATGCAATCGGCAAATGCCCTTATTTCTTGGCCGACTTCTTCTTGCCCTTCAAACTCTTGATCTGAGCAGCCCGCTCGGCTCTCTGCTGACGCTTCCTCCACGCCAACCAACGGTTGCCACGATCATGGGGCATAGCAGTGATACCAGCCTTCTCGGCAGACCGACCGATCTCCCAATTGGCCTCACGGTACATGTAACCGGGGCGCAGTTGCGGGCCAGACGCAGCGTCGACGGCCTTGACATCCGTCACACGGACACCGCTCTTATCAACAGAAGCAACAAGATCAGACTGAGCCTCGACGCTTTCCGTCATAGGCACAGGAGCCATATTCAGCTTGCGCCGGCTGGGCGCATTGCGCGGGTGTGGGAGCTTCTCATCCTTGTCGAAAACAACTCCGATATACCGACGCTTGGGGTGCTTCAGCGGGTCGAGGTAGTAGCGGACGTATCCGGACTGTGTGGCGTAGATTGTGTGGTCCCGTCCCATCCCGCAGTTCTCACCGGGGAACCATAGCGAGCCTCGCTGCCGGAAAATAATGCATCCCGTTACCACGTACTCGCCGCCCGAGCGCTTCGCTCCGAGACGCTTACCGGCCGGATCACGCGAATGTTGATTGGCCGTTCCTTGAGAGGCGTGCGAGGCGTGACGCACTTGTGTGAATGGGAGGAGTGCGCGGGAGAGGGAGGGTGTGGGTGTGGTTTTCGGGAATGTGGATGCGGAGAGAGTGCGCAGGAGGGATTGCGATTGCGTGGGTGTCGACCGGATTGTCGGGGTGAAGGCTCGCTCCAGTGCCCGCAGGGGCGTTAGCACTCGCGGCTTGAACATGGTGGTAATTGGGTTGTTTGGAGGTGTAGATCGTGAAGCTCCAAAGGGGAAGTTTTTCGTTCGGAGATCAGGCTTGGCGTCACGTGTGTACCCGTAAACTGGCTTCATCTATACACCACTTGGACTCGTTCTACATTCTATATACCCGATCATTCTGCAATTACTGTCGGTTTGATTATTTGAGCTATGTTGCAGAGCTGGCGCCAAGCCCTCTGGGCTCTTCTTCTTCTCGTGTCGGTCGCCCAGGCCCAATTCAACTTCTTCGACCAGATGTTTGGAGGCGGCGAGCAGCAACAGCGCCAACAGCAGCGGTCCCAGAACGTTCCTAGCGACAGCGATCGGTACCAGCAGATGTGGAGTGGAGGTAAGTCTTGAAAATTGCGATATTGAGAATATTCTGTCGCAAGTTCACAATACTCTCGGGACCACATAACTGACTACTTTGATCCATAGCACAATGCGATAACTACCTCTGCCCTGGAACTCTTGCTTGTGTACACTTCCCACACCACTGCCCATGCCCTCATCCTGATGTCGAGGAGAAGGTCGAATTGGGAGAAGGAAGTGCTGTTTGTGTGTCGAAGGGAGGGTTCAAGGCGGGCGAAGCTGCGCGGAAGATCGAACTAGCTCGCAAGGGTCTTCTGTGAAGAATTTGGATCTATGATTTTTTGTTCTATCATATAAGAACCACATGCAGCTGCCGATGGGTTGTGAGGTCAAATCATTGAGCTTGGTGCCGCTGGACGGATTGATCCCGATAGGTTTACTATGAATCCTTTCTTGGACATGCCCATATGTGCCCAAAAATGGGAGAGCTTACCTTGTGTATGAAAAACGAACTGCATATACTCCATACAGAACTATGCTAATGTAGTGCACTGTATTGTATATGGTGACTTGAGGTGCAATTTTCCACCCTTGGGAAAGCACCCATCAGTAGTTCTCGTAACGTTGGAAGTAATGGAATATTGAGTAAATAATTCACCTGAAAATTAGTTGAATATCTCGTCAATGGGACGTACAACATACCTATACTTCAAGTAAGAGTAAACGATCTACACAAATATTGCCTTTACTATCTCCGATTATCTCCGTCGCCAACCTTGGAAAGTTCCGTCATCAAGTCTCTGAGCCTCTCAGTGGTTCGGACAACTTACCAAGTTCGCATTCCACCGACATTTTGCCTCAAGCTTTATATCTACATTAATCTGGTCTATATCAGCAACCATGTGGGCTTCAAGCCTCCGATTCCTCCGAACGCAGCGGACACCAGCTCGAACTCGAGCTCTTTCAAGCTTCAGAAGCCATGCATCTCCGCGCGGTCCTCGCAATAGCATAAAAAGACCAAATCCCATACCACCGAGGAAAGTCGAACCCTCGCAACAGCCTGAGCTTTCTGCCTCTGAACCTCAAGATGCTATGATTCCTGATTACGACCCTTCGCAAAACACACTACTCTCTCCTGTTCACCTGCCTGAAGATCCTAGAGGTGTGCTCAAGGAAAACCACCCCTCAATTTCTATACTGGCGAACTCAGGAATAGTTGTACAAAGACAACTAGAGATGATGAATATTCTGATGTGAGTGCTGCGCAAGTGCATTTGGGAGAAACGTGTACTGACTCGGAGTCCTCAGTGGATTTGAACAAGCGAATAAATACATCATCATGGATGCGCTGGGAAATCACATTGGATATATGGCAGAACAGGACAAGGGATTAGCAAACACAATGGCACGGCAATGGTTCCACACCCACCGGAGTTTCGTGACACATGTATTTGACCGGCATGAAAATGAAGTTCTTCGAGTAAGCTCATGGAATGGCTATCTTTTGGTGTGTTTCCGCTTGACTGACCATCGCAGTTCAACCGTCCATTTTCTTGGATCAACTCTCGAATTCACGTCTATGACCCTCTTGATAAAACGCCAAATGCTTCCTCTGCATCCACATCTCTTCAAAGCACGACACCCGGTTCTATCATTGAATCTGGCACTGGATCAAGTGCAAGGATATCCTCACTTGGTCTGGGTGAAATGAGAGTTATTGGCGAAGCTCAGCAGCAGTGGGCACCTTTGCGGCGAAAGTACAATCTCTTCACCCATAGCCAGTCCCCAAACCCGGAAACAGACATGGGAACCCATGATGTCTCGCCATCCGACTCTGGTCTATCACGAGCACAGCAGATGGAGCTGGTACGAAGATCAGATCAAACTCAGGGTCAATTCAACCAATTTGCCTACGTCGATGAGCCGTTTCTATCATGGGATTTCTCCCTAAAATCAGCAGACAATCAGTTAATTGGATCCGTCAACCGGAATTTCGCAGGCTTTGCTCGCGAAATCTTCACGGACACTGGCGTCTACGCAATGCGAATGGATTCCGCTGCTCTCGGCACCGAGGCGTCACCTAGCAACAAAGGGTCAGGCATGACCCTGGACCAACGTGCTGTTATGTTGGCTACAGCTGTAAGCATTGATTTCGATTACTTCAGCCGCCAACACGGCCATGGTGGACTAGGGATGCCGTTGCCGCTTATGGGTGGCCAGGCTCCCGCTGGCGGTGCAGCTGCCGGTGAAGCTGGGGCCGTTGGTGGTATGCCAAATGGTATGGTTGGAGGCGCTACCGCCGCAGGTACAATGGCTGGGTATGAAGCAATGCACAGAGGTAACACAACCGATCCGAATGCCCCAACATCGGATGCTCCAACATCGGAGCCGGCGGAACAGAGCACACAAGGCTTCTATGATGAACCTCAAGACCCTTGGGGTCAAGATGACCCTTGGGGTGACGGAGGTGACATTGGTGATGGCGGTGATGGTGGTGACTTTTTTTAACTGGTGAGGGCCAGTTTTTGTACTATAAAATTCACAACTTAGATATAAAATGCTCTTAAACTAAAAATATCAACATTTACTTCTGTATTTTACGCTCCCATTTGCCTTAAATAGGTCGGTTCCTGACGTCGCCACGCTTTGTCCACCGCCCCGGAATTATTCCATCCCCACCCATTCCAGCCAAGTCCCCCGCAGACAACCTTGCCACCTAATTATTTCCACAAGTTTTCGCATTTGAATCAATTAAATAGCAAAAATGGCGTCCTCCGTCGCCCAGAAGCGCCTTTTCCACGAATACAAGAACCTCTCAACCAACCCACCAGAGGGCATCACAGCAGGCCCCGTCTCCGAAGATGACATGTTTTACTGGGAAGCCCTGATCCAGGGCCCAGAGGAAACCCCCTTCGAGGGCGGCGTCTTCGCAGCAGAGCTGAAGTTCCCCAGAGACTACCCCCTGAGCCCGCCGACGATGAAGTTCATCGGAGGTGGCGTGTGGCACCCGAACGGTACGTGACCGGGACGACTCAACAAAGACTTGCACATACTCGCATTGCACAAATGCACAATGGCAAACATCTTACTGACAGATTTGTATTACAGTCTACCCCAACGGAACCGTCTGCATCTCCATCCTTCATCCCCCCGGTGACGACCCAAATCACTACGAACATGCCTCGGAGCGCTGGTCGCCCATCCAGAGCGTGGAAAAGATCCTCATCTCTGTTATGAGTATGCTTGCTGAGCCGAATGATGAGAGCCCGGCCAATGTTGAGGCTGCTAAGATGTGGCGTGAGCGGAGAGCTGAGTACGAGCAGAAAGTTAGGGATGAGGTCAAGAAGGGTCTGGGTCTGTGAGCCCGGCTGGGTTGCAGATGAATGCCGAGGTTCTCTCGTTGCTGTGCAGGCGGATTTCCGTCATGGTCTGCCTGTGCGATGTGGGTGTCAAGATTTGATGGCTGGCGTTCAAGGGTTTCTTTTTTTGCATGGTTGGATATGCGATGGCTTCTCGGTCTGTACAGTGCATTCTTATCCTCGCATTATGATAGCGGATGAAATACATGCAGTTCTTTCATAAACTGTTTTCTTCTATTCTAGTGTCTTGCTAAATCTTGGGTCTGCTTTAGTATTATCATGTCTCTTTCTTCTGCAAAAGGATTGGGAGATTCATGGCAACGGATATGGGATATTGTTTCTGTCTTTGTTTCATGCGGTCTATACCTTCGTTTAGAGCTAAATATGCAGATTCTACAGCATCTTACTCCTGCCGAAACATCCTCCGATTAATCCACCCTTCCAAGCCCCCTGGGCACCCATACAAGATCTCAATCTCCGCCTTCAGATTCAAAATCAGCATCCGCTGCAATTCAGCACGCCACTCTGGCTCCGGTCCATCACTCGCCCAGACAGGACTATTTCGAAGCATAGCAATGATCTTCTTGCGGTCTCGCGCCGTCAGCGAAAGAAGGGCGGTATCACCAAGTACCTCCGGAACTGCTATGATATCTGTTACTCGAAGACCCAGCCACTGCAGTCTCGGTACACTGAGCCGAGCATTCTGGTGCAAGTGTGCCGCCGAGCCATACTTATACGTCGACATGATAGCCATGCCATGGGGATCACCGTCGGTGATGGCATAGAACCGGGGCGGGCGTCTGCTCTGGTTGGATACAGAGTCGGACATGGCGCGCAGGAAGGTTCGTGTCATGAAATCAGGGTATCCTTTCCCCTGCTCGAGTATCGCTGAGTTCAGTCGCTCGTTTGGCGACAGAACATGCTATAACGTAGAGACGCAACTCACCGTGACCATGATCCCTTCTCCAGCTAGTGCTCTGGTGTGGTAACTTACTCGCGCGAGTCGGTGGAAAACTGCCTGTGTGCATGGAGCTCAGCGTACTGATGTTATTTGTGTTGTCTCGTGGTTCATACCTCTTTCTCAATGACCAGTACCCAGCGGGCCCGTGAAAGATCAATCTCGTCTCCGTCCTCTACGCGAGGAATCAAACTGTCCTCAGTGACAGACTGCGCATCGATCAAAATATGCGGTCCACGGATCAACCGAAAGTCGCCCGTTACCAGTCCTTTTGCTGCCGCTTCCTAGAAAGTGCAAAATGTCAACAGCCCGACCTTGCCGTGCTGGTACCAGAGGATTCGGCTGAACAAACCACGTTCAATGCCGTTCTGTTCACTCCGATGGTGTATGCCAGGTCATCGACAATGCGGTCCACGGTACACTGCACGCGGAAGAATTCCGGATCGATATAGTATATGTCTCTGATTGTATGATCTGCTCAGCATACCTTTCAGACTGGTTCGTGGACATTGCTAGCTCACCGCTTGGAGATTAGCTGGCCCGTTCGAATAGCTTGATCCAATATAGCTAGAATTCGAAGGATGGCAGCTAGTATGACACACAGACTCAGTCAGTTTGTCATCCAGGAACGATGTCGAGGACCGGTAGAAGGAAAGATCATACTGAATTTCCAGGCCTCATATGGCGTCTTTCCTGGCCAAGAGTATTCCCTGTGCGTCTCGACTTTCGGGCTCGCTTCCAAAGCTCCGGTGATGGGGTTGATGATGCAAGAAGTTGGGCTGGCTCTGCGCTTGAGGGTGATGGAGATGTTGGCCTCAGCCGGAGGCTGTGAGAGTCCGTGTATGAGGGATGTGAGGGTGTTGTTGATGAATTCTTGGACCGAGGGATCTCGACCGTCATCTATTTCCAAAGTGTCGGCAGTTAGCTCAGCCATTGCCATCGGGTTGGATTTAGGCAAGGTGATGGATGGGGTTGAACAAGAGGGTAGATGCCACCCCATACCTAGTGGACCACAATGAGTGATGAGCTTACATACTTCCCGATAATATCTATACACTTCCAAGGTCAGCTAGTATAAACTTATTTGGATCAATGCTTTCACTTGTTCTATAAAATAACAATATGACATGATAATAGAGGTAAGTAATTGGTTACTATATAAGATTCCTTTCCTCTCCCTCTATATCTAGAATTACTGTATCTATACACTCAATATCCATTGATATTCTTTTTGGTTAATTTACTCTCTTCCCTTTGGAGTTCTCGTATAGAAAGGAAACACTCGGTACCCACGCCCACGCCACACCATACCTAGATCCCCTGTCTCTTAATCAGAACATCCTCGACATCCATCCTTATTATATTTTTTTCCTTTCTCTTTTTGAATCAATTTGTCTGCATCAAATCACATGCAAACATTCTTCATTTTACACTGCAGTTGTGATACTGATGACTAAGCTTCCCCAGTTTCCACCCCGTGAACATCTGAGCTCTCCAAGCTGTTTATTGTCTTTATTAGATTGACAATAAGGCCCAATTCCTCTTATAATGTCTTCTACTCCTCATATTGGACCATGGAGAACCCCAGCTGAGGGTCATCTCACTCCAGATGCCAATGGAGATCTTAAAACCGATTACTCACGCTGGCGATTGGTTGATGAGGAAGGCCGTCAAACATGGCGGTATCTCGAATCCGATGAGGAAAACCAAAAGTGGCCACAGTCAATAGCTGATAAATATCACTTAGGATTGCCAACGGTATCTAACCCTCAATTGCCAACGATAATCTGAAATTTCAATCAATTCTAATGACACATTATAGGGTCTTCCAGAGCTGCCAGAGGCCAAGACACCATTGAAAGCTGCCGAGAATGGGCTTTCTTTCTTCTCGCATTTGCAACTGGAGCCTGGAAACTGGGCCTGCGAGTATGGCGGTCCCATGTTCTTGCTGCCGGGTATCTTGATCACCTACTATGTGACCAATACCCCTATTCCGCCCGAGTATGCAACGGAGATCAAGCGTTACCTATTTGCCCGTCAGCACCCAGAGGACGGTGGATGGGGTCTGCATATTGAAGCCCACAGCTCCGTCTTCGGTACTTGTATGAATTATGTGGCGCTGCGCTTGGTCGGTGTCAGCGAAGAAGACCCGCGCATGATCAAAGCCCGAGGCCTTCTGCATAAATTTGGAGGTGCCATTTACGGTCCTCACTGGGCTAAGTTCTGGCTCAGTATTCTGGGTGTGATGGAATGGGAAGGCGTCAACCCAGTTCCCCCTGAGATTTGGTTGGTTCACGCATCTCAACAGCTACAATCTCTTTTTTACTAAATGACTATCTAGGCTTCTTCCTGATTGGGTTCCCTTTGCTCCTTGGCGGTGGTGGATTCACATGCGTCAGGTGTTCCTCCCAATGTCCTGGCTGTGGTCTAAGCAATGGTCTCACCCCCTGGATGACTTGACAAGACAGCTACGCGAAGAGCTATACACTCAGCCATACAGCTCTGTCGATTTTGCTGCGCATCGCAATTCTATTCACGAGGCAGACAATTATTATCCCAAGACGTGGGTGTTGAATGCAGCCAATGAGGTGCTGGTTCGGCTCTGGAGCCCTTACCTTCGACACCCTAGTATCGTTAAGCGAGCCGAGGAATGGACCTGGGAGTTGATTCGCATGGAGGACGAAAACACCAAATATGCGGGGCTGGGACCCGTTAATAACCCAATGAACATGGTGGCTTGCTTTATCCACGACGGCCCTGACAGTTACTCTGTCCGTCAACATAGGGAGCGGTTGAATGACTACATGTGGGTAAAGGGCGAGGGCATGCTCGCAAATGGCACCAATGGCGTGCAAGTTTGGGACACAGCATTCATCACCCAGGCGATCGTCGTCGCTGGTTTCGCCGACGAGCCCAAATGGCGGCCGATGTTGACAAAGGCTCTCGAGTTCCTTGAGGACCATCAATTACGAGAGAACGTGCCAGATCAAGATAAATGCTACCGCCAACACCGTAAGGGCGCTTGGCCATTCAGCACCAAGGACCAAGGCTACACAGTCAGCGACTGCACTGCCGAGGGTCTCCGGTCAACACTTCAGCTGCAGGAGATGCACGGCTTCCCTAAGCTAATTTCCGAACAACGGTTGAAGGATGCTGTTGACTGTCTTTTACTCATGCAAAACCCAAGTGGCGGCTTCTCCGAGTACGAAAGTACCCGTGCCTCACCCAAGGTTGAGTGGCTCAATGCCGCAGAAGTCTTTGGCGGAATCATGATCAGCTACGACCACCCTGAATGCACAACAGCATCTGTTACGGCCCTGTCACTTTTCAGCAAATTCTACCCCAAATATCGCGCTGACGAAATCCGTGCCGCCAAGCAGAAGGCTGTGGCCCACATCAAGCACGTACAGCGGCCCGACGGTAGCTGGTATGGCTCTTGGGGTATTTGTTTCACCTACGCAGCATTGTTCGCCCTCGAAAGTCTGGCCAGTGTCGGCGAGACATATGAAACGAGCGCCGACTCTCGTCGGGGCTGTGACTTCCTGATCGAGAAGCAGCAGGCTGATGGTGGCTGGGGTGAGTCATATCTAAGTAGCGCAACCCATAAGTATGTTCAGCACGAGAAGTCCCAGGTGTGTCAGACTGCCTGGTCCCTTATCGGACTTATGGAGGCGGGCTATCCTCACAAGGAACCATTGGAGAGAGGCGTCAAACTGTTGATGTCTCGCCAGCAGCGGAATGGCGAGTGGCTGCAGGAGTCGATTGAGGGTGTATTCAACCAGTCTTGGTAAGTCTTACTGTTCTGGTCTTTCAGATTGCATTTACTGACCCTCCTTCTAGCATGATCTCGTATCCCAACTACAAGTTCTACTGGCCTATTCGTGCCTTGGGCTTGTATAGTAAGAAGTTCGGAAATGCAGAGCTTGTGTAGACTATTTATGGACAATAATCTCTATGTACTTAATTAATAATGAAGGGGTTAATTCAGATATTTAATGAATATATCAAACGATGCGTCGCTATATGTGTGTTCGTATTTTAATGTCTTCTCTTCTTTCTTTCTTCTTCCCCTCATCTTCCCCTCACAGCAAATACAGAACCACGTGACTCAAAATGGACCCACAGGAGTATGGCCAATTGGAGCGCATTTATCCCGGCATACTGAAATACATGTCCTGTTTTCCAGCTAATCCAAGTGCATCAATTCAAGACCCTAAGTTTGTCGCCATGAATGCTGCAGCTAACGGTGACAAGGCTTCTGCCGCGTCCAACTACCCCGTTGCTATCCAACACTACACCCACGCCTTGAGCGAGCTACCCCGCGCCCCGGCATACTACATTTCACGATCGACGGCCTATTCGCGCCTCAAGCCCGCAGATGGTGGACCCAACTATCAGGCTGCTCTTAACGATGCTGAAATTGCGCTCCAACTCGCTAGAGACCGTGGAAACCGCGAGTTAATCCTCTCTGCTCAGATGCGTCGTGCCGTCTCACTCTACCAACTTGAACGATATGGAGATGCAGGATTTCTTTTCGACATCCTCGCGGAGAAAACAAAGAGCAACAAAGCCCCAGAGAATAAATCGGAGCAGGTCCAGGCTGCCATGGCCCCAGCATCCGGATTGGGAGGCTCCAAAAACAACTACAGCACCCAGATGCCGATTTGGATTGCTAAACTTCAACGAAAGCAGGCGGAGTTACATAAGGATGATCCCAAGCTTGCTGTCTCTATTGCCGAGTACCCATCCTCCACCCATATTCCCACTGCAGGGGAGGCCAAGGCTCAGTGGGAGGCCCTCAAGGCTGGCACCCCCAAGCAGGCGGCTGAGCCAGAACGAGCGACAGAGCCCACAGTTAAAGCTGAGGCTGCTAAGGTTGCTCAAAATCTAAACCTAATCACCAGTGCTACGGCTACTCCTGCTGTCCCGGAGAAGGTTCGCCACGAGTGGTATCAGTCGCAGGACGCTGTGGTTGTGACTATTTATGTCAAAGGGGTTTCAAGGGATAGTGTGATATCCAAAATGGATGAAGATTCGGCAAGTATTATCCTCGGTCTTTGTTGAGCCTGTAACTAATTCTGCGAAAGTTCTCGATCAACTTCCCCCTCCCATCTGGCTCTGAATACGACTTCACCCTCGACCCGCTCTATGCAGCTATCAATCCCGCCGAGTCCAAGTTCTCAGTCAAGAGCACCAAAATTGAAATCAATTTGCGAAAGGAGACTCCCGGCCAGAAATGGAGTGCTCTCGAAGGCTCAGCCAACCCCACTGAGATCACAGACCGTCCAGCAGAGCAAAAGGCGCCAGCTACCTCGGGCCCTTCGTACCCCACCTCGTCACGACACGGAACCAAGGATTGGGATAAGCTCGCATCTTCGCTCACTGGAAAGAAGTCAGATGACAAAGGGGGTGATGGAAACGCATCGGATGAGGAAGGTGATGCTGTCGACGGGTTCTTCAAGAAGTTGTATGCCGGAGCTGACCCAGAGACACGCCGGGCTATGATCAAAAGTTACACCGAAAGCCAGGGAACAGCCCTGAGCACAAACTGGTCTGAGGTCGCGAAGGGTAAAGTAGACGCTCACCCTCAATGATTGCTTCCTTACTATTTTCTCTCTTCTGATTGCTATGCCGCATGAGCGAGGTGTTTCTCAGGTATCATTTGCTGTGACATTTGTCTCAATTTACCAGCTCTTTGAAGCTGTTTGATCAATTCTAGTTTCGAAAAGCAAGTAGTTCAATTTGTAGGCTTCAATCACATAGACATAAAAGTTCACCAAACACCAACCGATAGACATTCAAATTCAAACCCAAAACATGCCATGCTCACACAAACCGAATCCCAATTTCCGTTGACACCGCAGTGGTTCTATCCTGAAGCAGAACATGAGAACCAACTCCATCTTGCCGGCCCACAGCAGCCACGACAGTCCCATCCACCAACTTCTTTACGAGAACCTGAGCACCTTCTTCCAAGAAAGATGGCCCGCGATATACCTGCTTGAAGATACAAGTAGCTGGCACTCTCTGCTCAAAGAACGCCACAATTCGCTGTCCTTGCACCCAATTTTGCTCCGCGTACACAATCCACACTTCCACCTCCCTATTGTGGAAGAGCACTCGGCTTTGCTCGTACATTCCATTCACAAGGTCGATACGATCCTGATCTGAGGTAAGGTTACAAACCCAAACGCGTTCCCTGTTGAAGATCGCTACCACAGAGCTTGTGCCTAGCTTGTTTGCCACGACACCCCCTGGAAGTTCGACCCAGCGACCCTGTAGCGTTCTGTCTTCAGTCACAGGAATAGGGAGGGACATTGTGGTTGGTTGTTTGAGTAATGAAGTAGATAGTTCGTCTTTGTTGAAGTGTTTTTGGATGGTAGGCTTGCTCTGGGATCTTGAGATGATATCTGGATGATTCTGTTCTCTCCATGGTGCGATTGAACTGGGGTATATATACCCATTCTTGTCTTTGAGAGAGTCATTTGAAAAGGTCATTTGGAAAGGAAAGTCAGGCTGGAATCAACACTGCAAATAATGAAACCCAACTTCATAGCCAACTTTCATATAGACGGATTGTTGGCTGTGAAGCTTCCACAGATCTTATAAACCAGGTATCGCGATATAGAGTCACTGATAGCGCTAATAGTAACAGGAACTTGGTTTTACAAGTCAGCTTAGGGCTGCAAGTAAGTAAACTTGAAGCCAAAATGATAGGCTGTGGGCGCTTAGGGCTCGGACGTAGCGTGAGTTCTATTCGTTCTCCGTGAAACTTATATTGGCGCCAACCCCTTACATTTCATAAGTTACTATTTTCACGGACTTGTGTTCCTGCAAGCCATAATTATGCGCTAGTACGCTTATGCTAGTCTGTTAATACAGGAGATGGTTGGCTCAGAGGTAAAGTTGTATCTCCAGCAGCCGCGTTGAGCTAATATATCCCCCTCAGTATGAAGCGAAGTAAGGAACGCTATACAATTGTCAAGAACGTTTCAGGCATAAGTCGCCGAGCTTTTGGGCATGTCGATGGTTCATGGCTGCGATGATCCAATCGGGGATCTGCGATCCCTGTTTTATGGCAAACATCTCCCGGCTAGCGAGCTCAGCTTGGAAATCAAGATTGACCGCCAGTTTGTCTCTAATTATACCCGATACAAAAGTGTGTTCCACATGTGTTACTCGGTTAGTTTGTTGTTTTGCCGGCTTCTGGCGGCCCAGGGAATCTTTAGAAGACTGTAATATGATTTCGTTGAGGCCAGTTAACCGACAGTACTACTTTCACACCATAATGATGAAGTATTATTAACTGTGTCTAGTATCACGGAGCTTGGTGGCACTCCTAAACTCCAACAGCTGTCATATATCCAACTACAAGTGTCGGTCCAGCGTAGCATCCTCGGTTCATCTGACAGGCCCTGCAGCTCTCTCACTGTGTTTCTGTTGTAAACTTGAGGAGATATATCATGTATTCGTATGCATGTATGACGATTTGCATGTCAGACCAGAACATCATTGTTGCAGCCAGGTCAATCCTTCACTGGTTGGATGACAAGCATGGGATTGTGTTCGCTATCTTTAGAAACATGCGTCACCCATATATATCTTCTGATAATGGCTCTCGCCTGATCTCTCCAGGCTGCTATAAAATGACCGTATGCTAATTTCACCACCAAGTTATCAGGTTGTCAAGTTTATTACACTATGACAAGAATAGGCGGCGGCATGAGCGGCCTTGTGATGTGTTTTGAGTAGCGTTTTCAGTACTCTTTTTGTAGTCTTAGATATCATTCTGTTTAGATGACGGTCAAAAAAAGCGGAAAGGGGCTTTGTTAAATGGACTTTTCTAAGTATAACTACCGATATCACTGTTTACTGCTATAGAATGAGAGCATTGTTAAGCACAGGTACTGGTAATGCGATAAAGCTAGGCCAGAGAATGTCCTATTCCAAGCTGAAGTACTCCTCATTCAAACGTTATATATACAATAAATCACATCCAAATTTTAAGTATCTACTCTTCGTCCTCGTCAACCTTGATATCATGGTACAGGAAGAATTGAGTAAAGATCGCCATATCCAACAGCAGCGTGCCAGCACTGCCGACCAACCACGACAAGTTCACCAATACATACCGGCCATACAGCGCAGCCGCCTCACCAGGACGACACTGTGCACGGTGACGATGGCCCATGATCTCTTCAGGAGACCCACCATGGCAAATAGGCGAGTAAGCCAGAATAGAGAGAACGTAAGTCAGGTTCCCGATGCAAGCAAAGAGGAAGAACAGTAGTGAAACACCATCCGTTGATTTGCGGCGGTAGTTCAAGAGCAGTTGGGGCAGGCGTGACCCAAGATACAAAACTGCGCAGAAATAGCCGAATACTTGACCCAGAACATCCATAGCGAGAGGTTCCGGGTCTGGTGAGGACTTTGCGGCCGGGCTGACGAACCAACCTAGTACACCTGCAGCACAGACTAGAGCGACGGCGGTAAGGTTGAAAAGGATTGATTGGAGGGCGGAGATGCGGCGGCGACGGGCGCGTTGAGCACGTCGCCGTGCGGAATCGGTCGTTGGCTCGATGAAGGGCGTTGCGGGTGATAGGTGGGTGCCATCTACCGATGGGTGGAAGATATCATGGAAAGAGGTTGCCGAATGCCGTCTTCCGTCGGAAAGTGGGCGATTGCGGTCCTGGGGCAACTGTCCGGTTACATTTGTGTCTTGGGGGCTGGGCTTCGGGATGAGGGATGATCTCTCCGTTGGCTCTGGTTGATGTTCTGCACCATTGCGCTCCGCATCGGAAGTACCGTTGGTTGCGAAAAGGTCTGGTGTGGACGAGGGCGATAGCTCTTCCTTGAGGTTGAAACCCCGGTAGTAAAAGCACTGTCCCAGTAGAACAATATCTGCTAATGTGTAGTACACTGCAAGGATGATCATGGTAGGGAGCACGCCCTGTAGCACGGCACCTAAGATGTTGAACACATCGCCAGCCAACCAGATGATAAGGAAGATGAGAGAAAGGCCATCAGCAGAGCCACGTCGGAAGTTCTCGATGATTTGAGGAGAGAAAACTACAACCCAGCAGGCAATAGAAATCGATCTAATTGGTTAGTTTTCGATTAAGAAAAACAAAACATGCAGAGATCGCCGGGCCAAGTAGATCTAGATCCGATGTCGCATATGCATGCATCAAACGAACATGACAGCTAAGGAAAAAAGACACCATAGAGGAAAAAAGAGAAGTTCAGGTCGTTGAACATACCCACAAATGCCGCTAAGGGCCTCAATGTTAAAATTAGCCGCCTGCGATGGGAACATCTTGCAGGCGAACTGTGCGACTCAAAGTCAAGTATTCTCAATAGAGATTTAGGGTACAAAATAATGTAAAAAATTTGTATGCCAATATAAACAAAGTCGCTGGAAAATCCAGCTCTGTGCAAGTTGTAAATAGATGCAATTGGAGGTGGAAGAGAATCGGAGAAATCCACAGATGAAAGATGGATGACGTCGGGTCACGTGTATCAGAAGTATATGGTGTTTAAGCTGTTGATTTCTTTGATTTCCTTCTATTTCTAGATATTCATCAAGCTATGGTTTAAATAAGATAGCATTGTCTTAATTGTGGCTACCTAGATTCACGCAGCTGCCTTCATAAGTAGCTCCAACTTGTCCTGGGCATCACAGAAGATGTTTACAGCCTTGGTCTCTGTCAGCGAAGTATAAAAGCCGATCGATGTATGCACTTACCTCGGTTAGCTTGATCTGACTAGCACCGTGCAGGTCTCGGGCAAATGTGATCTGGTAGAGGCTGGGATCATTGATGTAAGAGATCCCCGGTGCCGGGACTGGGAGTGTCGGTGCAACATCAAGTAGCGACTGCACATTTCCTGCGAAAGGCTGAGTCAATTGTGTCAACAAACTCGGCGAAATAGTGAGATGGTCCACCCCAGCAAGCAAGAAGATCTCCTCGACCGAAGTTAAGCTAGCAGGGAGGACTAGAGGGGGCGAATCGATGGACTGGTAGTATTTCTGGATGGCAGCGCAAAGCGGGAGCAATTTTGCATTATCCACGTAACTGAAATAGGCAAGCGTTAGGCAGGGCTTTGAAGAAGATTGAGGGAGTACACACCCTGCTTCGACATGCACCTTCAATTCGTTGACATAGGGCGCGATATAAGTGCAACCAACTTCGGCTGCGAGTACAGCTTGAGCCATGCTGAACAGAGTAGTCGCTAAAGTACGCACACCAGCTAACTCAAGCGTGCGGCAGGCCATCATTCCTTCCCATGTACTCGGAATCTTGATACAAATGCGATCGTTGTCAAAGCCTGGCTGGACATGCTGGAACAATTGCACAATTCCTTTAAATGATCAGCACTAGGTTTGGCCAAAAACAATGCCAATGGCTAGAGTGGGACATACGGAGTGCATTGATGACAATCTTCTCCGACGAGTACGAGTAGTAGGGATTAACCTGTACATGCACACGTCCATGAATGTGTTTTGCCATTCCCATGGCCAGTCTAACCATCTATTAGTCGATATTAGTTGAGCTTCTCAAACCCATGCTATAATCGAAGCAACAACTTACCGCAATGTCGACAGCTAATTCTTCGACGCTGATGGAAGGGTGCTTCGGATGCAATGTCTTCGCATCTATCCACGACGCAGCAATGACTTCAGCTCGTGCTGGCTTAGAAAGTTCACCGAGTGCAATAGCCTATGTGTTTAGTCTCTGGCCTAACGTCGCATGTCCATGTTCATACTTGGTTGGAAGTGCAGTCCTGGAATGGTCCCAGGGCTTTGGCGACTAGAAAGTGGTCAGTTATCTAGAAATGATCATAATCTCTATAGCGTAAAGGAGCCAGTTGACTCACCTTCATCGTCCATCGTATCACAGTCAACTAGTGTGCGCGAACGCATATAGTCGAGACCTGTCTGGACTGCCATCTTGAGTGTAGAGGGCTAAATTTGAAACTAGCGATGTAGGAAATGAGCAAACCTAAGGTCTAATAGAGAGAGAAAAGAGAGACGAGGGGGCACCCGACCTTCTCCAACTCCATAATACAATTAATGGGGGGCTTTCCGGGGCACCATACTCCGCAAGTGGCACGGATTTGTCGGCCCGAGTGATTTGATAGTGGGCCATATTGCCGAATATGCACTGTGCATCTAGGTATTGCGGTGCAACATGGGGGAAATGCTTTAGAAACTATGCAGTATGAAAGCTGGGCTAAAAGCACCCACTATTTCAGGTTTACATTATAGAACTATTCAGCAGATCGGGTTGAATAGTAAAAGTATCCCAATCAGGCAATATTGGCATTGTGTAGGATAAGAAGGATATATGTCGAAACGCCACGCGATGCAAAGTGGAAACCCACCCCCAAGATACCGATACCTATGAAACTAGATATGTAAAAATCAAATGCTCTCTTTTGTTTTTTTGGCCTCTATTTGGCCTGGGTGGCCAACCACGCCTCATGTGCTTTCTTCTGGCGCTCCCACTCTTTGCGGAGCTTCTTCGCCCGGCTCTTGGTGATCTCCTCACCGGCATTGTCACGGGTAGGCATGCCTTCATCGTCCCAGGCGGTGTATTCGCTGGTACGGAACATCTCCAGATGGCTCAGCTTTCCCTTCTCTGCCTTCTTAAGAGCTTCTTGCTCCTTCTTCAGTTTCTCGGCCTGCTTTTGGAGAGCACGGGTTTCCTTCTCTTCCCGCGCCTTGAGCATCTCCTGAGTGACTGGCCGGACCAGGGCAGGCTGATTCTCACGATCTTCGAGGGCGATACCGATATCGAAGAGGTCAATGTCTCGCACCCGGTCACACAGGGAAAGAATATCCTTGCCAATAGAATCAGATGACTCCAAAGACGTCACCTTGGCGCGGAAGTTAGAGAAAACTTCGGCGTACGGCTTGGCAGATTCAGAGGCCTCTTGGGGTGCTGATGCTTTGGCAACCGCCGCCTCGAGATCCTTGGCGGAGATTCCAGCCTTGGACCGCGCGGCTTCACGGAGAGTGTCACGCATAGCCGACAGAGGGTACAGGTAGGCCTTGGCCTCCTCGGGGATGTCAATACCAGACCAGCCGATTTCAGTGCTGTCAGCCGAGGCGGTGCCGTTAAGACCGAAAATGTTCACCATGGAGGTAACCCATTGGCCGGCAGCCTGAACGACGTCGGAGGGGACGGTGGCCTTGTCGACAATGTTGAACTTGGAGATAAGCTCTGAGATAGTCGCCATGACAGCGGGGGTGTTGAAAGAATCACAAAGCTGGTCGTTAACCGCTTTCTTAGCCGCTTCCAAATCAACAGCAAAGGTGGTGTCGGTGCCTGACGACTGGAGAGCCGCAGGATCCTTAACCTTGAGGAAAAAGTTGTTCACCTTCTCCTCCCATGAGCTGCCAACGTTCACGAGATCTTCTGTGATCTCAACACCGTCCTTCCAGCCACCCAGAAGGAAAACAATGCGCAGACTTCTCGGAGACCAGTCTTTGCGATCAAGCGCTTCTCGGATAGTAGTAAAGTTCTTCAAAGACTTGGACATCTTGGATCCTTGGATGGACAGATGGCCCATGTGCAGGAAGTAGTTAACCCACTGCTCATGCTTGTGGTCATCATGCCAGTATGCCTCACTCTGGGCAAGCTCATTGTCGTGGTGCGGGAAGGCAAGATCAATACCACCAGAGTGGATATCCATCTGGTTACCCAGCCGGGCTGATGCCATGGCTGAGCATTCGATGTGCCAACCAGGGCGGCCCTTACCCCAGTTACTGGACCAGCTCGGCTCGCCTGGCTTGGATGACTTCCAGAGAGCGAAATCGGAAGGACCACGCTTCTCTGTTGTTTTGCTAGCCAAAGAGCCTTCGCCCTCTGCAGCCAATTTGTTGTCTGACCGACTCCATGGCTCAAGGCGAGCGTAAGGGTGGCCCGCAGCTTCAAAGGCATTGATATCAAAGTACACCGATCCATCCTTTGTAACATATCCGAAGTTATTCTTAACAATACGATCCACAAAGGCCGCAATCTCATCGCCATATTCCGTCACGCGAGTTAGCTCGGTGGGGTCAAGAACGTTCAGGTCCCGCATATCTTTAATGAACCGTTCCTCATATCTCTTAGTCAACTTGGTGAAGATGCTGTGGTCGTCCGCATCAACCAATGCGCCCTTCAGGGAATCGAGGTAAGGCAGAATGAGATCCTGCGCATTTGAGTAGAAAGACTCAGCAAAGAGGGCAGGGTCGGCACTCGAGCCGGTACGGGTTTCCGCCTCCGCGATGACTTTTGCGGCAGATGCAGCCGTCTTGATGTGCATCTTGACCTTGGCTTCATCATCACCTGCCTTCTCATTTCCTGGCAAAGCTCCACCATTCAAGATAGTCGCATAAGTTTTTTCAACTTCCTTCTGGTACTGCGACGGAGGGAGTTCGGATTCGAGTAAGGGAAGGTTCTTTTTTAAGTAGGCAACGAAAGCGCTTTTAACGGTATCTAAGACCTCCGGGGTAATCGAAGGGTTGGCAGCGATGAATTCGTTAAACAGGTGTTGTTGTCTGGCGCGGAGAATGATCTATATGGTTGGTGAGTCACCGTGCTCGAAACTATCTCCATATACACAGCGCCGAGTTATACCTTATCGTCCACGTCCGTAATATTCATAACGAAGTTGACATCAAACTTGAAGTAGTCGCGCATAATACGCCGAATGATATCGGTGCTAACATAGTTTCGGGCATGTCCAAGATGCGCATCGTCGTAGACAGTCGGTCCGCACGCGTACCACACAACTTTCTTTCCCGCAGGGTCGATCGGGACGAAGGGGGTCTTGGACTTAGTCAACGAGTTCCACACCTTCAATGGAGGCAGTTGCGCATCCGGGCTAACGGCCGGTTGCCGCCATGGCGGCTGCTGGCGAGAAGACATAGACCTGAAAGAAGTGACAGACAATAAAAACCGCTGTTTGGACGGCGAAAAGAAAGAAAAGGAAAGAAGGGAAGATCGGGGGAAGAGCATAAAGAGGGAACGAAAGCAATGGAGGGGGAGGGGCTTTCGTCAGGACCAGATCGACTCATCCATCAACAGCGGACTCGCTGTGATTGGCGGTAACTGGGATGGAAGGACGGAGCCCTGAGCCCTAATTTATAGCCCAATCAGGCAATGAGCATGACAGCCTTTTTTCCTTGCGGAGAGGCAAGTTCCAGCCTCAAGTTAGGGATTGTCCATACCAATCACCCTTACTAATATCGCTCACCATGCCGTCTCCATTCTTCACCCGGGGCGTACAGGCCGACGCAGACAGCCTCGCCCTCTTGCAACTCCGTCGCGACCAGATCGTTCCGACGATCCTCCGCGACCATGACGATGAAAACCAAGGCTATTGGGAAGGAAAGGTCACCAACACCCGATTCGGCTCATTCCCACACAGCACCCTGATCGGACAACCCTGGGGCGCACAGGTTGTCGCTTCAAAAGTCGACACAGGCTCGCGCGGTCGCAACAAACAACCCGCCAAGCGCAAGGCCGAAGAGCTCGATGCGGACGCAACATCAACTGGCGCAGAGGAGGAGAAGAAGCCATCATTAAGGGCACCCGTCACTGCGGATAGTGGCTTCCTGCACATACTTGCCCCGACACCCGAAGCGTGGACCATATCTCTTCCCCATCGTACCCAGGTCGTCTACACCCCAGACTACAGCTACATTCTCCACCGACTCCGCGTACGACCGGGCTGCACAGTTATTGAAGCCGGCGCCGGCAGTGGCTCGTTCACGCACGCCTCCGCTCGCGCCGTTTTCAACGGATATCCGGGAACTGGCGAAACGACCAAACGCCAACGACTAGGAAAGGTATGCAGTTTCGAATTCCACGAACAACGCGCGGCCAAAGTGCAGCAGGAACTCAGAGACCACGGTCTTGATGGGATAGTGGAGGCTACGCATCGTGATGTCTATGAAGACGGATTTCTACTAGGCGATCCCAAAACCGGCAAATCGCCCAAGGCCAACGCCATCTTCCTGGATCTCCCTGCTCCCTGGCTCGCGCTGAAGCACCTCGTGCGCAATCCGCCTCCCGGACAGGAATCTGCTCTCGATCCTGACTCTCCCGCTTATATCTGCACATTCTCGCCCTGTCTCGAGCAGGCGGAGCGTACAATCCGCACTATGCGCAAACTGTCATGGCTCAATATCTCAATGGTGGAAGTCGCCCAGCGTCGGCTGGATGTCAAGCGGGATCGTATCGGGCTGGATACCGAGGGCGTGCGCGGAGCTACACTGTATCCTAAGACCGTTGAGGAGGCAGTTGCAAAGCTTCGCAGTGATGAACAACGTGCGAAGCTCATCCGCGACAACCGAGCGACCAAAGATCAACCAGATTACCAACCAATTCCGAAGCAGACTCCGTTCTATAAAGAGAAGACGGAAGTTCCCGTATATGCGCAGGGTCGCTTGACGCATCGGTCAGAGCCAGACCTCCGAACTCACACCTCATATCTGGTTTTTGCGATTCTGCCTCGGGCTTGGACTGAGGAACAAGAGCAAAAATGTCGGGATCAATGGCCATCTGCTAAGGTTGCTAAGCCCGATGAGCCGAAGACTAGCAAGAAGCAAATGAAGAGACAGGCTGCGATGGAACGAGCGAAGGCTCGCGAAGAGCAGAAGAAATCTGAAGAAAATCCACAACCAGAATCAGGGGATAATGCCGAGCAAGAAAAGATCGAAGAAGAAAAGGCCACAGAAGAGACTACCGAGGCATGAGGATGAATAGATACCAGTGATTGTTTTGTTAGCATAGAATTTCCATAGAGTAAGGCATTGATGTCTTCGAAGACAGTCTACACCGCCCATATCATTTACTCAAAAGGCTCTTTCATTACTCGCATTGTACGCAATCCTAGAGCCAAGCTGGTAGTCAACTCTGATATCAGACCGGCGCTTGCAAACCTTGTAGGGAATTTATTTTGGGCATCACGAACTCATCGATAACCCGCTCAGATATTGACGTGAACCGTTTCGGTTATACAGCCAGAGCTAGCAAGACATCGTCGGCCCAAGCAGCCGTCTTGCAGGCTACCTAGGGACATATATCAGCAAAGATAAACATGCAGCGATGAGTACTACAGGGAATAACCATAAAGGCAACCGCTCGTACAGGAGTCTCTATGTACAGGACAAAGATGCTATCAAGGCCGCCTTCTAATGGAAGCATGAGGTGTAAGTAATGATATGGGTAGATGGTATCAACAGGGAAATGGGAATTCTCAGAGATTATTTTCAGCTCTGAACTTATCCCACGCTTCATTCAGGGTTCCGAACACGGATCCAGCAATCATACGTTGCTCAGTAGTAGCAGTTGTCGGGATCTGATAGCAAACGTTAGTTGATGATCAGATGAAATACAGCCAACACCCAAGAAGGGAGTAAACATACCTTATCAGGGTGTACCTTGGAAATGCCCTTCATGTACTGAATTTTAACCTTATTGGGCAACACCAGCTCCGACAAGCCAATCTTCTTCCACCCAGCCTCGGGCCATAGAACGGAATCCAGGCTACCGAGGAGCGCACGCAAATTGTCTTGCTTGCCATTCCTCCACGCGGCAATTCTGGCGTCAACGCTCTCGGAAAGAGCAAACTTCTCTTCGTCGGCGCGCTCAGCGGCCTGGTTGGCTTGCCGCAGACGACTGACTGCTTCAAAGTCTGTCCCAGATGCCGATGTAGCCGTGAGGCCGGACGTAGCCGGAGCCTTCTTAGGCGGAGGTGAAGGTCTTTTCTTGACAGGGGCTGCGGCAGGCTTAGATTGAGGCTTGTTGATACCAGCCGCTTTCTCGCAACGGTTTCGGCCTTGGATACTTGTGCTACCACCGTGACCAGACTCTACAGCCAGCTTCCACGCCTGCGCGGCATCACCCCAGCGCTCAAGTTGCTCTAGGGCTTCGGCTTTGCGCATTAAAGCCTTGCCGAAAAAGTCTTTCATAGGCTTCGGTGGTTCCCCGGTGCAGAGATCGATTGCCTCTGATTCACCCCTAGATGGGCCAATGAATGTCAGGATGATGTCGGCGTCATCAATGGCGGACTTGGGTTCGCCGATCTTGAGGGCTGTCATGGCACGATTGCTGCGGATGATAATGGTAATTGGATGCTTGTCAGGGAGCATACCGAGAGCCGTAGAGAAACTCTGGTGGGCTTCTGCATAGTCGCCTCTCTTGTATGACTCTGCGGCCTTTGTGCGGTGCCGATGTGTCGATTGAAGTGCCTCTTGAGATACAGGTGGAATAGACCGCGTTGGCGCTTTGGGCCGTACGGGGATAGAGGCCGAGCGTGCAGGAGGCGTGCCACTCTGGGCTGGGGTAGGAGGCTTTGAACGGCTAGCTGACGGAGCGGGAGAATCAAAGAGATCGACGGCAGGCTCAGAAGGAGGCGGGGGCGCCTGAGGTCGCTTGCGTCTCGCGGGACTAACATACGCTTGTGCTTGTTGCTCTTCAGCGGCAAACCGTGAAAGTCGAGATTTAGGATCTTGAGAGGTAGGTCGTGATGGACGCTGGAGGAAGTTGGGTTGCTGCCTTGGCTGGACAGCACCGGGGGCCGGTTGGTCACGAGAAGGCTGGCTTCTCGGGTCGGGTTGGTGGGTTTCACGAGAACGAGGAGGTTTCTGAGGCCGACCGCCTCCGGACTCAAGAAGAAGCGCTTCATTGGTGAGTTCCTGCTGCTCTCTTTGGGATAGAGCCGGCTGATCACGACCACCCGGACGCTGCGGCTGCAGAGGAGGTTCATCCTGTGCAGCGGATGCATCTCTCATCCAACGTGGCTGGCTAGGATCATTCTCGGCGTTGAATTCGCTTACAGCTTGTTGGAATTTCTTGCTACCAGTCTTCCAAAGCGAGCCTGCAGATTTCAGAAGGTTATTACCAAATTGAGAGGCGACCTGCGCAGGGTCTTTGTCCGCCGATGCTGGACTCCGTCTGTCCTGACGTGACCTAGATTCTGGCATATCTTCTCGCATCCACGAAGGCCGGTCGCGGTTACGACTATCGCTCCTTTCAGCGCGATCGGCAGAACGAGTTCCACTGGAGTGTCCTTCAGTCTTTTGCCGAGATTCGGCATGGGCCTGGGTAAGAAGCCAGCCAACAGCAGCCTGTACATCGGTTCCGGACTCTGTGGTATCCAAAGCCCGACGAGATTTGTCCGCGGGGAATCCCATGTCCACCAGCTCCGCTATAGCCCGATCGACCTCGTTAGAGGGCATAGGAGATGCATCATCGTCTCGCCCACGATCTGAAGGAGTGGCAGATTTCGGAGGTGGTTCTTGGTGGGGGATTTCTGATACCGGCTTCCCGAGCAAACCAAGGAAATCATCGTCGTCGCCCTGTTGAGGTGGAGGGGCGGGAGCGGACTTCGGCTTCAATTGATTGAGGCCGAATGGGTCATCGTCATCAAAGGCGCTCATATCCCCCGTGTTGTCCTGCATGGTAATACCTCCATTGGAAGGTCCTGGGCGGTTATTCACGTCGATTCGAGGTGACGATCTCAAAGATTCGGGCACTGGGAAATGGGTCGACGCATCCACTGGTGCGGCAGCATCGAAGGCGGCCAGGATATCCTCATCGTCCGCGGGCGGCGGTACAGATCGAGAAGCAGGTATAGATGCGGGGCTCTGGGTACGTCCTTCAAAGTTGTCCCAGAACTGGTTGTTCTGGCCTCCGTATTGCGATTCGAATTGACTGCGTTTATCGGCTTCCTTCTTAGCCTTTTCCTCCTGCAAGCGCTTCTGCTGTTCTAGGAGAGAAACGTTCTTGTTTCCGGCGGAAGAATTGAATGAGACCAGATTGGCGAAGCTATCTCCGCTAGAAGTAGCGGGCTTTGATGGCGAGCTTGAGCGGTTCGACGTCGCAGATAACGGGGTAGACCTGCCGGAGCCGCCATTTGACGGTATACTTGGGTACAAGTACCCGGAGCTCATCGGCGGTGGTTTGCTTGGGTTTTTGGAGTCGGAGGACCAACTTAAGCCGTTTAGGTCCTCCATGGTGAGTGAGCTTGTCGGTTGTCGCAAAGGATAAAAGGTGGTGACGTCTGGTGGGTTCGAATGAGGATTAGATCCCAGAAGAGGGATGAAGGTTTTCCATTGTCTCACCAGCTCACAATATAAATAAAAGCCTGAAGTAATCTTTAATCGTTTGCTATGCTATCAAGCAGATGCGGAACACTTGCCCCCTACATGTGGGGGATCCAGACCGCACTGAGGCTGGCACGTGATACTACGGTTTCATCTGTCGCCTTTTGGAATAGCTTCATATCCTTGGTTATTTTGAGGAAATATCAGTTTGCTTATCTGAATATTCAATTTATTGGGATTAGGGTTTTTGAGGTTGAGGTCGAACAGAATGTTTGATTTCCATTCCTAACATGATGTAGCCAAGTCCGAACTATATGCAATGACGTTGATGTGAGAGGAGGAATCACACTCCAGAAAACCTCAATTAATCCATATAATGGATATTTTAATTTTCAAACCATGACTCTCAATGGCCAGTTGGATCTCCCTTAAACTAGACATTCGCAGATATCGCTATGGTTGGTTTAACCAACTGAACCCCCACGAACCCGGCAAATCCGCAAGATAGAAAAGCCACTTAATAATATACCAGATGAGGCATATTTATGCCACTCGTTCAAACCCTGGGCAAGTATTGAGAAAGCGGCAAAAAGCTAAAGTTTCATTTAATAGCCGAAAGATCGTCAGTTCTTGACCCTAAGCGGCAGAGAGTTCCAAGGTTGGCTATAAGATCTAGGCATGTACATCGTACCAAACCCCTCCCAAAGCTAAAATACATGCTCCATATACCGTATACCATCTGAACATGATAGAAAAGAGTGCATACTTCGTATCCGGGATTTCCTGGACTATTAGTTGTAGACGGTGGAAGTCGTTTCCGTTCCTGCTTTTGGTTAATGCACATCATATCCCAATTAGGGACGTGATGGGTCGGAAATGTAATACTCGTTACAACTAGAACTATCTTGTCTTTCTGGAAGGATTAAAAGGGGGTTGTTGATGCAAGATCCGCATACCGGTACATTGCAAACCATATCTACAAAGTACGTTCCCTCAAGCTAGTCCGTACCTGGTGTCTTTGAAACCTCAAAAGATAACAGTTTCATCATCCGCTAAACTCATGTTAAATCATTTAAAGTTTAGTAAACAGCACGAATTGAGAAAAGCCATGTGCTTTAGCGCCCAGGCTAATGGAGTTTGGCGGGAGAAAAATACCCGATAAAGTCCATATATACGAGGCCGAAGAAGATTCTGTCAGTGGGGCAACTATAGCGGCAGTCTAGTCTCCACGCATGGGTCTTTTGGGGACCCTATGTTGTACAGAATACTTCGTAGACGATGGAGTATCAAAAATAGCAGTTAGCAGTACGGAGTACTCTGTACAACATACAGACCTACCCAATTATATATGTACTCTAAATCGTCCCGAGTGCGATACTATCCTCACATTATCCCGACTATAAATAGTTTCTTGAACGACGATCCTGCCTTTTTATGTATTGAGGCGTCAAAGTTAATTGAAAGATGCAAATGAAACCTGAATCATATTGTAGCAAAATAAGTGCATCGTGGCCGTTAAACCTAAATGGTCTTTGGCTTTCTGACTACGCAAGCTGACAGCCAACCCCTAAGCCGCACAACGAATGTGGTCATCTCAAGCGAACCGGGCAAAGCTTGACATATCTAGGACCTTGAAGGCCATTATCGCGTCTACCTATGAACATGCGAAAGCGAATTGCTCAGACGAGATGGCAGTGTAAAAGCTTAAGACCAAATTTGCTCTTGGAATTGTTGCTATTGTTGTTATACCTTTACAGGATAAAGAAGGCCAGAGTATATCCCAATTTACGGAAGGTTAACCCTAAAAGCTGTGACTGACTCAAGCGGGGCTCATTGGGCCCCAACGAGCTTCCTTATTCGCCTCCAAGTCAAGTATCTGTCAAATCTTATCTTGATCCTGTTTTCACTCGAGAAATCAGGTAAATAACGCGGAGGTTATTGGTTTCAAACTATTGAGATTGCCCATCGAAGAGCCCCCTTCTTCCATATGGATAGGACTCTACCGGCCACAATATAACTGTCACACCAGAATCAATCTCGGTCTCAAACTCAATAAGATGCGCAGGGTCGTGGGTGGCTTCGACGTGTTCATCCAGCCCTGCTTGCCATACGAGACTGCGTGGGGGTCCGGTCATTTGGGCAGTTTCTATTGTCTCAGATGAGATTAGTCCAGGAATCCATTTTCGGGGGTCCAGACACGGAACCCGTGCTTCGCGGGGTTGTGGTGATTGCGTGGCCCACCCCGAGCTAGAACGACTTCGACTTTGCCAGGTTGATGAGGGGTTTGTATTCAAAGAACTCGAAATATGTCAACTGAGCACCATTGCTATTCCAAAATAGAGAGCTGTGTATATAGGTAGGCTATATTTGCTAGGCAGAGCGGTTAATCTACTGATTATCAAGTACATGAGTCACGTACTCGAATGGGGAAATGGTTTGGCAGATTGGGGACCATCGACGATATCTAAACAGATATTGCTTTCAGAATTCTAGAAAGGATGTTATCAATGCCGACGACAAGGTCAATCAAATGCTCACATCTATAATCTATTCCATCTACAGCACGGGGTTGTATCCAATAATCTAGACCCAAGGTCAGATTGTATATATTAAAATCATTAGATTCATTCTCCTACCCCGCATTGTCCTAAAAATGAGTTTCAACTAGCGAGATACTATTCTATAGAGTATATCAATCCGGGGCGTAAGTAGATGCCGTTGCCAATGCTATAAAGTGATTGCGGGAAAAAAGCAAGCCGGAACTCCGCTTTTTTCAGGAACGGAACCTCTCGGGAAGATGAGCCGCGCGGTAGCGACTGGAAATCGAGTGGATCTTACCCCCTGACAATTATGACTTCGCACAAAATCCTTATATGTTGTATATGATTATTATCTCTGTACAACATACAACTTTTGTTTCCGAGATCTCATTTATCGAGAATGGAAAACAATAAAAGAAACAGAGTTAATATGAAACGACCCAGCAGAGTGGCCAGGCCCGTGCTTCCCGCGTTAGCTGGGTCCTTGATGCATTGTATAAATGACGGGGGTTAAGAGGGGCTTAACGGTCCGGAGATGACCGCCCTATAACCTATGGAATAAGAAAAGTGTTCAAGGGTCTGTTATGATCCTTCTGATATGTCCACTACCATGCATGCTGACAAATAAATAATGGGATTCCGTACATGTAGTATTTCTAAAAGGGGTTACAATGTGAAACCGGGCTTGAGGGTATATTATACATGTGAGAAAGACCTTCCTCTTCTAGCTGATAGGTCTAGTGCCAGGGGGACGAACTTCTAGACAAAGCCAAGTCAATTCTCCGAATTTCGGTGTACTATGTTGTACTGTTGTACTTTTCCATAAGGTGCATAAGTCTTACATGTGAAATCTCCATTACTCCCCTGAAACAGAGTTCTTAATTACGCTCTAATAGTTGAAGTAAATCCATTAAACAAACCTAACATGCGCTTCTTCAATTATTCATATGAGAATTTAACGCGATGCGCGATAGTTGGCCATTCAGAGGCATTACCAGCCATTCATATACAACCTTAGAAGTACCCGAAGTGGAGATCGTCCGCACAGGGCAAGCCGTGCCATATTTTTTCTTTTTTCTCTGAACGGTACGCTAGTCCGTGCATTTACGGCATTTTCTTCTTTGGTTTCTGGTTAAACCTATGAAATCCCCTAATATGGAATGGGCTGATCGATATCCGAGCGAGCGATCTATAACACGTACCACTTGGTGGCGCCTCAGAACCAAAATTTGATTGATGTTTTCATTCCTCATTATCCATTTCCCCTAAGACATGATTCGTTGACATGTAAAGTGGAATGATAGTCCTCTCTCTATGCTTTCCGACTGGTCAATTACTCCGGGTCCCTCCCCATACCTCTTACGGTAATCGGTCCTAATTTGGTGCCGTGTGTACACAAAGATTTTGGTGTACTGCAGATAATTATTGTATACTACATGTGCATATGAGCTAGTTTAGTAAATATCAAATAAATATCAAATAAATATCAAATAAATATCAAATAAATATTCAAATAAATATTCAAATAATACATATAAATGATAAATACCATACTAAAAAAGTACCAAGTGGATTGTAACCTAAGCTTCCAGACTTCATTTTGCCCCTAAAACTAAAATAATTCTAGCCCCTACTAAAATATCCTCGAAAGAGCTCCGGTACCCATATTAAAAAAAATACATATTTTTTTTTACTTAGCTTTTTAAAAACATCACATTCAGATGTCATTTCCCCTCCTTGTGAACTTCTGAACTTCCCCCCTTCTCTTTCAACCCTCGGCTTGAGGGGATTAGCAATGATGGGTCTATTCAAGCGCAAAGATTCAAAAAATTCAATTCAAAGCGAGAAAGATGAGATCGATTCATTCATGGTCAACAGTGCTCGCACATCAAATACATCCCTGAGGTCGCCAGGATATAAGGGAAGTGGCCCGCCGGCCTCAATTCCCGAACTCCCTATCGCCAGACCACCAGATCCAGCATTGGACCCCGCCGCATACCTACGAAGCATTCATGCAGTTCGCGAACGCTCCAATATCGTCCTCGAGAAGGCCAAAAGAAACGAACTTAGCCATTTCGATGTTGACATGAGCAAATTCGAAGCCACCGCCTCCTATGTCGTATCCATTATTAAGGTAAAAAAAAAAAAAAAACTAATGGCTAAAAATCTATATTATTGCGCTAACATGTCTTCGCCCCAAACAGCGAGATTATGCGCCAGACTATGAGAATATTCCTCCACATGGTCGCTGGCAGCATTTTGACGTGGGCGGCAGACCGCGTATCAACCAGCTCCTCCAGTCCTGGCCGAGCCGCATTGATGCGCAGGAGCGCACTCGTCGTTTGATTGATTTGTTTGTCGTCTCTGTCCTGCTCGATGCTGGTTCCGGGAATAAGTGGTCATACCGGTCGAAGGAGTCTGGTAAAGTCTTCTCGCGGAGTGAAGGCTTGGCAGTGGCAAGTTTGGAGATGTTCAAGTCTGGCCTTTTCAGTAGCGATCTTACCGAGCCGTGCCAAGTGGATGGTGCGGGATTAAAAAAGGTTACGGCTGAGGTGCTCGCCAAAGGGATGCAACATACCGAACAAAATCCACTGGCTGGTATTGAAGGCCGCGCCGGTTTGTTGATACGGCTCTCCGATGCACTTAACAATCAAGACTTCTTCGGTGTGGATGCTAGACCGGGAAATATGCTAGGTGAGAAAATACGCCTCTGGTATGTATGTGCTTGGTCACTAATTATATTCAGATTATCTTCTCGGCCATCCATCAACTCTGGCTTCTTCCGTACCGATTGTTCCCATTACCACTTTGTGGTCCGTGCTCATGGATGGCTTCTCTCCCATCTGGCCCCCGTCACGAACACAGATTGATGGAGTATCCATTGGAGATGCTTGGAAATGCTCAAATATGCCCCAGTCTCCTCCTGCACAGCAATGGGAGAGCATCGTTCCTTTCCACAAGCTGACGCAATGGCTATGCTACTCAATCATGGTACCAATGTCGAAATTGATGCTCATCCACTTCGCTGGCAGCGATCTTCTAACAGGCCTTCCTGAATATCGAAATGGAGGCCTTCTTATCGACCTGGGACTCTTGAGTCTGAAACCGGCAGATATGCAACGTGGAATCGATGCATACAAGGAAAATGCTCAGATCAAGGGTCAACCAAGTGTGGAAGTGGCACCGCTCTTCGGCGCCGACGACGATGTAATTGTCGAATGGCGAGCGGCTACTGTCGGATTCCTCGATGATCTCCTTGAGGAGGTCAACTCTCAGTTGGGACTTAAGGGCTCCGAAGACCAACTATCTCTAGCACAAATGCTTGAGGCTGGCACTTGGAAGGTAAGCGTCAATGATTCTTCTGGCCACGTCAATTCTAACAAAATTACAGGGTGGTCGCGAGATTGCGGAAGTTTCCAGACCAAACACCAAGGAACCCCCTATCATGATACGATCTGACGGCACTGTCTTCTAATACCCCATTTTCCCAGTTTGATTGATGCTTGGATACCTGGATACCTTCGTCATTTGGTTTTGCTATTTGGGACGAGCTTTTTGATGAAATGAATTCTTCATGACCGAATACCTTCATACCTATATCTCACGTTTGGCCTTTTTCTTTCTGCTTTTCTTTTCTTCTTTTCTTTTCTTTTCTTTTTTTTTGCCTACCATTTTGGCCTTCTCTTTTCACCTTTCCTCTGCATTTGAGGCTATTCATCTGATTTCACATTGATTTCTGGGCGGCTTGTTTGATACTACGTTTCATCTTTTCTTTTCTTTCATCCTCTTCTTTCTTTTTTCATTATTCTTTTCTCTGTCTATTATATATGTTTGACTGTTGATAAAAAGCCATTTGACCATAGAAGGAAGATCTAAGATTTTCGGGAGACCCATGGGATGTCGTCATCCCGTAACCTCGGCCCCTTAAAATAAAAACTCCACAGTGCAGTGCCAATAAGTGAATTGTGAGGCCTCATTTGATAACTTTATGGAACCTGTTAACAGATTTATATACCCATATTATAGTCATGTTTTCCCGCCGTCCCATCCGCCTAGCCTGTCTTTCACAAAACTCTGAGGTCACGTGGATCGGAATAACAATGGCCCGCCTCCGCATTAGAAGGCTGGAGCTCATTACCTAGGTTCCCTCTTATCTTATGCTCCCTCTCCCTCAATCCCATTGTCAAGGCACAAAAATGCTAATATTGGACTCCTAACCTGAAACCAATACTACTGCATCTGTGTGACCCTGTGAAGGCACTAAGTTGCCCTCCAGATCGATCCGAGCTGTCCCCGCAAGAGCGGGGCATTGAGCTCAACGGCAGCCCCAACCACATCTGACAAGATGGATGCTCGGAAGAAAAAGAGAAAGGTGCTCTTGATGGGCAAGAGTGGATCGGGGAAGTCATCCATGCGCTCAATCATCTTTAGCAACTACGTCGCAAAGGATGTCCGACGCCTAGGCGCTACAATTGATGTGGAGCACAGCCACGTCAAGTTCATGGGTAACCTCACATTGAATCTATGGGATTGCGGAGGGTGAGTAATGCGTAATTGACTTCCAGTCATAGACACCATTCCACTAACACGAAGGTCTCCCATCTCAGACAAGATGCCTTCATGGAAACCTATCTCGCCTCGCAGCGCGGCAACATCTTCTCAGACGTCGCAGTCCTAATCTACGTATTCGATATCGAATCACGGGAAGTTGAACGCGACCTAGAAACCTACCACTCGATAATCGAAGCCCTGCGCGAATTCAGCCCAAACGCCTACGTCTTCTGTCTCGTGCACAAAATGGATCTTATCCAAGCCGAGCACCGCCAACGCATCTACGACGAGCGTTCCGCCGTAATCCGCAGTCGATCCAGCGATTTCCGCGTCGACACCTTCGCAAGCAGCATCTGGGATCAATCGCTGTACAAAGCCTGGGCCGGAATCGTGCACAAGCTCATCCCGAACCTAGTCGTCATCGAGCGCTTCCTAACTGCCTTCGCGAAGAAAATTAACGCCGAAGAAGTCATCCTCTTCGAGCGTTCCACTTTCCTCACCGTGACCTCCGTGACATCCGAAGTCGGCGACCTCAATCCAATCTACGACCGCCACGAACGTCTCTCGAATATCATGAAAGCGTTCAAGCACTGCGCCGCAAGAAACACACTCACAACGCCGGCTTCGGCGGGCTTCGTCGTCATGCACACGAAAACCCCCCAGTTCAATATCTTCCTCGGCCGATTCACGGATAACACTTACATCTTCCTGGTTGTGCCTCCCGGCGAGGCTTCGTACAACTGCGCCGTGCTCAATACCATGCTTGCCCGTGAAGGATTCTCGAAAGCTGCTGCCGGTAGCGGTGGTGGTGATGGGTTCCCTCTTCCTCCGCCGGAATCAGCGGATGATCATGCGACGAATGGGAATCCCGTTTAAAATAGGTGGTTGTGAGATTAGGTCTGGCTTTGTATAGCGAGGGGATGTTGTCTTTTTACCCCCTTTGTTTTTCTTGCTCATCTGATTCCTGATTTATGACAAAATACAGCTGGCGCTGAACGATGGCGTTATGGAAATTAATGTATTTCATTTGCTCTTGCTTTCTTTCTTTTTCAACTTGAGAATTGAGATACCCTGTGGGATTTCCTAGTACTTTTTTCCTGAAAAATATTAAAACCGTAGAGCTTAAAAGAACTTGGAGGAACATTTACCGTTGCAATGAGTTCTTTACTCTAGAAATCACATGCAAACAATAATCCGTATTTGACATGAATGAGAACTTTATATAATTACTAGTGAACCTTCAGAGAGCTAGGCCTCTATAAGACTTAAGAGGCCTTTCTCCATCTCCAGGACATTCCCTTCATGGACACCTTCTAGGTACTCGGTAAATGCGTTTAGTTAACTATAACTCTAGTAGTCCGCGGGTACTACTGAAATATTACGAATGACATTCAGAATTACAGACTGATGAACTCGAACGACATCAAAGCATATTCCACAAAACAAATCACTATTCCACAAATTTCAGATCTCTCCTTAGAGCCTCCATTCCTTCAACTTCCATATCCTTTCTCATGCGTAACTACTATCAACTCTAGCCTTTTCCCGCACCAAGAACTGCTCAAAAGTCCCAAGCGGAATTCCCCACGCCTTCACCTTCTCCAAATCCACAAACGAGGACATATCCCGCATCATAAACTGACCTGCAATAAAAGGATTAACAGCTCTCTGCTTCTCAATCTCCTCATCAGACAAGAAAACAGCCTTGAACTCCTTTCCAGTCGCACGGGACAAAGCCCGCATAAGCTCCTCCCCACCCATGAATTCCGACGCAATCTCAATCTCCTGCTGGTGGAACCTAACAGGCTCCAGAATCGCCGCAGCGGCGAATTGTCCGATATCATTCGGATCAACCATCGGCAGCACGGTCTCCGACGTGAGTGCTGTAGTGAATGTACCGGTTGCCACCAAGCCGGGATACATTTGGTTCATCGGGAAGAGGAAGTTGGACATAAAATTTCCAGGTCGGAGGATCGTCCACGATTCGAATCCTGCGTTGCGGATTTCGTTTTCGATGGCTTGTTTGTTGAGCATCATCTGGCTGATGATGTTCTTGGGATCCCAGTATTTGTTTTTGGAGGGATCGTTGGCGGTCACGCCGCTGGTGTAGATAACTTGCTTGATGCCTAGTTCTTTGGCGAGCTTGAGGAGGTGGCGAGCTTGCTCGAGGCTTGAGTTGAGGTCGGTGAGTTTGGGCATCAGATTCAGGAAGAGGCTGTTGCAGTTTGCCATGTTTGGTTTAACGGATTCGTCGTTGTCGAAGTCGCCTTCTGAGATTGATACGCCCAGCTTTTGGAGGCGTTGGGCGGCCGGAGAGTCCGGGGTACGGGTAATTGCGTGGATTTTGATGTTGGACTTGAGGAGATGGTCGATGAGGGCACCTCCTTGAGTGCCGGTGGCACCACAGACGAAAACAGTAGTAGAAGACATTTTGAATGAGGATTTAATGGAAGAAGAATGGCTGTAGAATACTTTTTCGACCAGATATTTCATGCTTTATATAGTTATTCCAGTGGCATTCATGACTGTTTTTTTTCTATAGATGGAACTCCACCAACTCCGCTGTGATGGTCGACTTCTGATTGGTCCATCAAAGCCTCATTTGGACTAGCGTGCGGAATTCCGCTGTGACCCACTGGAAGAGGTCAAGACACACGTGGACATCTTCATCTAGAATGAGGGCTGATTTGAAATCTATCGATATCAATACAAAGTGGAAATCTCCGAATTCCTACTGTAATGTGGCGAACAGCTTTTCTTCTTGTCAAACAGCAGATATGGCCTTACTGGGCTATACAAGCACCATGGTTTTGGTGTGTAGCCTAGTGGTTAAATACTCTGTATTTTTTCCCACACTTCTCATAAATTATCAACCTTCCCAAGGCATTACGGATTTGATAAACAAGGAGCTCTTATTCAAAACTTCAAAAAGAGGAAAAGAAAGGAACTTAAACAATCAAAAAGGATTATAAGCCGTTATGGGCGCAAAGAATACAGATGGCACGTATATTGTAGAGCGGGATAGTTCTTAGCCAGATTAAAAAAAAGCCACCTAGGCCAGCACAGCTCAGATCCAGGGCTCAGCCGCAATGTTTGAGGAAATCCCCCTCCCGTCCTTTTCTCTCGGAACTTCAGTTGCGTATACCAGAGGTTATTCCCCCAATGTCGTGTTTTGGGTGTTTCAAGAGTAAAGTGGAGGAAGGTGGGGGCGATGTGGTAGGTCGACTCCCGACTTCTCGACTTCGAAGCTGATCGTCTCCCAGGGAGCTCGTCCTCGTCCTACAAATAATGTCTCGCCAACTGCGCCCGTGGCTAAAGTGCCGGTAGAGAAGCTGGTCGCGCAGAAGACGACCGAAAAGCATCTAGAGAAACAAGAGTTGGACCCAGAGTTGAACGGTGTAAATGATGGCTTTCCCGTTGTCGATCGCTGGCAAAAGGCATTCGAAAATCTCCCTGAGAACAAGCAGATCATTCTGAAGGAAATGGACTTCGATAAGCCAAATCCTGTGAATGTTGCGCCAAATATCACCGAGCTAATCGATGCTATAAACGCGAAGCAAGAAGAGTGTGAGAGGAGGTTCTGGAAGACCACTGTAGGTGGAAACGAGATTGTGTTTCGCGACTACACGACGAGTATTATTAGCTGGCTGGAAAAGGCCGGCGATATTGCGATCCAGTTTGCGCCGCCTCAGGCGTGCCTACCCTGGGGTCTGGTCAAGTCGCTTATGCAGGTGAGGAACCATCTTCAATTGTTTCGTAGCGATGTTGAATTGTGTTCACAAGCTAGATCCCCGTCAACGAGAGCGAGCAAATGTGCGCCCTACTCGCGACCACCGAGCGAATAGTCCGAATCACAGCTCGCGGCCAGGTGTATGAGCAGGTCTACCTATCTGCTGAAGCTGGAGTCGACCTACAGCCTATCCAGAAGCAACTGGAAGGCGCCCTGCTCAAGATTTACACTACTTCACTTGAGCTTCTCGCTGACTCGACGAAACTTTTGGATGCAAATACTGTCAGACGAACAATCGAAGCTATTATCAACCCTGGCCAATTTGCTGGCCAATTATCCGGTCTGATGGAAGATGAGGATGAACTTCTCCGTGACGTTCAAGCATGCGAAGTGCAGCGCAGCTCGGATGCAGACAATACAATGATTGATATGCTGAAGACATTCAATGACCCAATTATCCGCCTAGACAAAGGCATCGCTCATCTTCTCGCCCATATGAGCGAAAGCGACCGCATAGGAATGCTAGAATGGATCTCACCGGTTCCCTTCGGTACGCACCACGATGGTGTTAGCGAAGACAGGACGCCGGGGACAGGTGACTGGTTATTGCAGCATGAAGATTTTCAAAGCTGGGAGAATGCAAACTCCTCGCTCCTCTTTTGGCTCCAAGGCTCGCCGGGCACTGGCAAGACGTATCTCACATCTGCCGTGATTGATCACATCCGGAGCCAGACTACGAACGAAGGCTTTGCGTTCTTTTACTGTCGCCAAGGCGAGGAGTCGCGCTCACAGCCACAGTCGATCTTGCAAAGCTTTGTACGACAGCTTTCAACAAATGCAAATAACCCCGAGTCTGTTCAGATCAACCTGCGCGACGCGGTCAACACGGCCCGAGACAAAGGCACAAATTTTCGCCTGCAGCAGTGCAAGGAGCAGATACTCGTCTCGTTGAACGTCTATACCAAGTCCACACTAGTCATCGATGCCCTGGACGAATGCGATCCAGATACCCGCGACGAGCTGGTCGAGGCACTGAGCTCGTTTATCCAAGATGCTGAGAATCCAGTTAGGATCTTCATCTCCAGCCGTCCTGATCCAGAAATCGCGACAGAGCTGCAGAGGAGTCCTAATATCGGGATCCAGGCCGGTGACAACCAGGACGACATTCAAAAGTATCTCGACGTTGAACTGGACAAGCGGGCTAAAACGGTGACTATTCTGAAGCGCATGAAGGAAGAGATAATGGACACGCTGCTTGAGCGTGCGAACGGAATGTTCCTGTGGGCAGTCCTTCAGGTTCATCAGCTTGTGAAATGTCGATCTGCTCCCAGCATTCGCGACCGGCTCAACAAACTTCCGGCTTCGCTCAAGGACGCATATGACGAGGTCTGGGCCCAGATCAGCAGCTTGGAGGACCATGATCGGACGTCGGTGCTACGCGCTCTTCACTGGGTGGCAGTCGCGATCAAGCCCTTGACCTCTCCTGAAATACTGTCTGCCATTCGTATGAATCCCGACGGAACCATGGTGCCTGTGGATGCAATGCTTGATGAAAATGGATTGCTGTCGCTTTGTGTCGGTTTCCTGACTGTTGATCCCCAGCTGCGGGAGTGGCGCTTCCCGCATTTGTCGGTCCAGGAATATTTGGAATCGGAGAACCATGTGTCGGGTTTCCAGGGCCACCTGGAAGCTGGAATGGTTTCGCTCTCCTACTTTGTTCGCAATTACAAAGACCTTGACTTGGAAAAAGATCTCGAGCCGGAGGAACTTAAGGCCTTGAATGCAGAAGACGCGCCAATCCCAGCGGATATGGATGATCGCCTTGCCAAAATGCACCCATTCCACATTTATATGAGACACTGCTGGATTCTCCATGTCCAGAATGCCGAAGCTACCGAGGCGAGTGAATTAGCCCCCCTCTTAAAGGCGTTTCTAGGGTCTCTGAGTAAGAGTTCCGTGCAGTACCAAAGCTGGCTTAGACAGGTCGAGAAAGACCTTGGCGTCCTTCACGATTGGGGGAAGTTTTACTACTGTTGGGGGTGGAATTACGGTGGAGATCCCTTCAGATATCCCTTGTGCTATATACTTTCTGAGTTCTTTCCAGAAGATGCTACTGTCTTTGCAATGATCCGATTATCCTTTGACCTCATTCTAGCCTCTTGGTGGGAGGAGGCAGAGATTGATATGTCACTCCGCAATAATGACGGCCATCACCTCCTGGCCATGGCGGCTAATGTCGGCTCATTACTCATCTGCAAGTCACTCCTGGGCAGAGGATTCGATATAAACGCGCGGTGCAAGGGTCTCGGAACCGGTCTTGTTGCTGCGGCGGCTGATGGAAACTTAGAGCTTGTCAAATACCTGGTTGAAAACGGGGCCGATGCACATATCATTTTACCAGAGGGCGAGGGCATGTTTTGCAATGCCCTCTCAGCCGCCGTGGATAGCAAAAGCGTGGAAACCGCCCGGTATCTCATCGGGGATGTAGGCGTTGATGTACGCACCCCCCTTCCCGGTTCGAAGCATGGTTTTGCCCTGCTTGGGGAGGCGGCGTCGGTGCCGGGAATTGAGATGACAAAGCTTATCCTCGACGCGGGAGTCGACGTGGACACGCGCGTCAATAGTCCCTTTGAGCCAACAGCGCTCATCACCAAAATCCAGTTTGGCGACCTTGAGTCCATCAAATATCTTGTCGAGACCGCAAAGGCCGACGTCAACAACTGCGACGCACTGGAATATGCCGCACAATGGGGAGGCCTTGAAATCTTAAATTTCCTAGTGGAAGCAGGGGCAGATGTCAATGGGCGTTCGACCTCTGGAAGGTATGGGAGTCCGCTTGCGGCCGCGTCCTCGCGTTCAAACTACTTCGAGCCACTGGGGTTTCTGTTAGCGTCCGGAGCTGATCCAAACTTGCCTCTGCTAAGTGGGCATTTTGGGAGCGCGCTTGCAGTCGCCTGCGCCGAAGGCGGGCCCGAGGCCGTCAGACGCTTGCTATCGGCAGGTGCGGATCCCAACATGCCTCTTAGGCAAGGCAGATGCGGGAGCGCCCTGGCGTGGGCAGCGTTCGAGTCTCCCGATGTCAACATCTTCAAAACCCTTCTGGACGCCGGGGCAGATATTAACATGCCGCTTGAGCATGGCGAATATGGGTCAGCGCTCGCCGCATGGGGCGCGGGGAGAACAGGGTACCCCTTGTCCATGAGCACGGAAGTCTTTCCCTATCTGATCCAAGCAGGTGCCAAGATCAACATGCCACTGAAGTATGGCTTCTTCGGCAGCGCCTTCGCAGCAACGGTATTCAGTGGCCAATTGGACAAGATCGAGCTATTAGTTGATAAGGGCGCAGACGTGCACATGCGGCTCGAAGACAACGACTTCCCTAACCCACTTGCCATGGCCGCCACTACCGCTAAAGATCATATAGTGAAGTATATGCGCGAACTTGGGGTTGCTATCAACCCAAAATACCCAGGGAAAAGATACGGTAGTCCACTTATTGCTGCAGCAGTGTTCGGGAAACGGCACCAAGTGGAATATCTACTTGACAATGGTGCAGAGGTAAATGCAAAGTACGAGGGCTCATACTATTCCACTGCGCTGCAGGCTGCAAGGGCCAGTATTGAGCTGGAAGATCGGCAGTGGATGCGACGAGAGAGCCCCCACAGCTGTCACGCAGATGTTGACAGGTGTGTTGAAGCGTGGGCAGAGGAGAAGCCTGGCATTGTCGACCTGCTTCTTGAGTGGGGAGCGACTGCTTGAATTTGTGTATAGTTAAGATAGACACGTGTATAGCATGAAGGATACGATTCCAGCCGCCAAATGGGATCAAAAACATAAACATGCACAAGACCCGTCCTTGTGCATGTTTATGTAAGAACTATACGGGCACATTCAGCCCCCGGGGCCAGCCTCCTGATTGAAACGAGGCACTTCCATCCTCGGCCATTAGTTATCTGCCGGCCTGGAACTTTTCTCTTTCCCTCAGCTTAATGATATAAATTTCATTTTCACCATGCTGGATACAGAGAAAGCTCCTCCTCGGAGGAAATCCTGCGAGTCATGCAAAACAGCCAAGCGGCGTTGCGACTTGGCAATTCCAGCATGCTCGAGGTGTATGCAAAGAAACATCCTATGCGTGTACCCCGGCAGACTGCCCCAATCTTACTCTGAGATAATGGATACTCTGGATAATTATGAATCTTTCGTGGATAATTTGGATAATTATGCATCTTTTGATGCTACGGCTCTATACCCCACTGATGCCGATCTTATGGCGCTCAACAGTGGTCCACTCCATCCAGTCGTGGTCCATTCGCCATTTCGGTATATCACTATACTCCATCCAGATCAACGCGTCGATTTGTACGAACATTATCCACCATTGAATGGATTTGAATTGTCTACACCACGAGCAAGCCCACCAAAACCCCTATCTGGTATCTTTGCTAGTCGCATTCAATTTGCGGTTGATGTCCTCAAAGATATTCCCAAAATGATGGTTATGGAAACACAAACCCCATGGTGTCATCGCCAGCTTTACAAAAATAACATGCCAAAAGAGATGCAAGGTTAGTATCACTATAAACTATTGTCTACAGCAGACATCTAATAACTATATAGATGCGTTTACCTGTTGTTCACTCTTCATGACCAAGAACGAAATCAACGCACCAGTGCTTATGTCAATCTTCGACTCCAAAATAAATGACCTCTTATCATCACCACCACCTATGGAGCCTCTAGAGCTCCTCGGTCGAATCCACGCCCTCATCCTGCACCTGATAATGCGTCTATTTGACGGAAACATACGATCCCAACCACCGTCACAAAGCCTATTCGATGTACTAGAAACATCCGTACAGTCTCTCCTAGGCTATATCCATCTACCACACCCATCAGAAACATTAGACTTACTTCCCATATCCATGGACCCGGTGATGAATTTCTGGGACTCATGGATCTTCCAAGAATCAGCTCGACGCACGGTGATGATGGTGTTCTATTTTGTGTCTATACATAACTTCATGCAAGGTAGACCTGCACCAGTTTGTGATGGAAAGCTAGGACTTGAACTTGCGTGGTATCAATCTGCGCATTTGTGGAACGCGCAGAGTGCGTTTGATTTTGCTGTTGCCTGGACCGAGAAGCTGCATTTTATCGTTTATAATGCTGACTTTTCGGGTCTGCTTCTGGATGCGAAGCCTGATGATGTCGACTTGTTTGGGAGGATGTTACTTGTTACGAAAATTGGTATTGATGAGACTAAGGCTTGGTTTTATTCACGGGGTGGTTCATTATAGTGTTTGTTAGGTATAGATTCCATGTGAGGCAAGAGCTTAGTCGGGTACATTTATCGAGATACAACATCAAAGTCAGCGAGTCTCTCCTCGGTATCCTGGAATGTTGTATGCTCGTCTCTAATAGAGATATCTTCTCGAACATCTCGGAGGTCTTCCTCTAGAAAGAAAGTGTTGGGGCTACGAGGAGAAGAGGAAGAAGAATCATTCATTAACCTGGCAAAGAACAGAGGATGTATATCCTGCAAACAAGCTTGAACGAACTACCTTGTCTACAAACGAGAGATGGGATGGTCCAACAGAGCTTTCAATAGATTCATCGTGAACCTCGTTGATTCTTATAACTGCTCCTTAATGAAAAAGAATTGGTTCCCGGCGCACAGAGTTCAGTCATATGTGCTTTACCACTATAAGGGGGTTCTGGTGCTGAAAATATTCTACCGAGAATGAATGACAACTCCTTGCTTTGAGCCCGCAAGCTCTTTCCTGTCCCAAAAGCAAGTAGGTAGGTACTTTGTCGAAAACTACCAGCGCTCCTTCCGCTATACGGCGCTTGGGGACCCTGACATGCCTGGTCCTTAAGTTCATTTTAACATCGCTTTTTTATTTCTAGTGATCTGATTGGCTGGATCTTTCTCCCCAAAATAAGGTAATCATGAAGCTGTTCAGAGATCCGCTTTTTTTATATGCCTTTTCAAGCTATCCCTCTTGTCCCTGCTGAAGCTATTCCGAGCTTCTTTTATAAAGAGAAATACAAGCTCAATTTTATACCTGCTCATATAAGATACTATCCATATTTCTTCCTCAAGTGCAGATTGCCTCCATCAATTATTATGACTTGCTTAGATCTAATCACTGACCCTTCTTCACTGCCGTATACCACGTAGAGGGCTGAGTTACTACAGTAACAAGACCTTTAATATTCATTTACTTCAAAATACAATACTGCAATGACATAAGATCCCATCCGAACCATCTATATTTCCTCGCATCCGATGCAGAAAGCGGCCAAAGGCAGAAGAGAGTAAGAACTAGGGAGGGATTTAATTATCTATCGGACCGGCCGGCCTCAACGGAGAAGGGCATGAAAAATGGGAGCAAAAAGAATAACGAGGGCAAGAAGGGGATGTGGGAGGACAGGGCTGTACAAAATCAATCATCGACAGAGCTCAGACATTTTTTTTTCATTGAACTTCTGGCATACGCATGGCAATATCGCCCGACTGTGTGATGTATCGCACCCAAGGGAGAGAGGGGTATTGCAGCTGTGGGCAATTATTAGCGATGAGTTCAATAAATAGGCTAAGGGGATAGATCTGGCAATGTCTTACCTTGGGTTCGGTGATCTTCAGATATCGCACTTGAATACCACTGGTCGTGAAATAGGGGATCTCGAACTTGACGTTGATGGGGCGTTTCGCTTTGCCTACACCTCCGGCTCCGCCCATGCTGCCTCCGAATCCACCGGTCATACCACCACCGCGCTCATCGTCGCCCTTGACGGAGGGTAGACCCAGCTCTGCGCGCATGAGGAATTCCTTGCCGCCACCGAACTGCTTGATCTTCCAGATGATGGCTGACTTCTCGGGGGCGTAGTGCACGGTTCCGATATTTGTGCGGAATCGCGGGGAATCTGCGTCTTCGGGGACGGGGACAAGAATCTCGACGTTGTTGGCGGTGCTGCGGCGTTTGAATTGAGCTTTGGCCTATTGTTGAATCGAGGTTAGGGACTGCTGTTTGCTATATTACATAGGGATATTACCTTGAGCATATATTCAATTCGGGATCCAGAGTGCGATTCGACAACGCACTCTACCCAGATCAACGGCTTCACTTGTGTGTTTAGTCGGTAGCTCATGAGCTCGAATTCACCATCCGGAGGGATGAAACTGATTGTCCGGTCATTCTCGAAGCGCGAGAGTCGAACACACTGGTGGAACTTGACGTCTTCCATCTCGACCGACTTGCCTCGTGTAGCACGACCAGTGGTCTCGAACATGGCTTTGTCATTCAAGCCCAACCGCAACTCTGGCATACCACTCAGGTAGCACTTCATCTTGACAGCGCCCAGAATCTCAGATCGCAGGACGTTTCCATTTGCCGAGACGAGAAGATTGAGGGATTCGACCACGTCCAGGAACACTTCGTTTTTGCGGTAGCGTATCCCCTCACTACGCCAGGAGACAGCGTTTGTGACAGCAATGGGTGGCCGTGCTTGGACATCCAATTTGTGTGACTCTTGGGTGATGTATCTGGTCATAGCACAGATCCGTCAGTTATGCTGTTTCACTACCCTGCGGTACCCATAAGACCCAGCTGCTTACTCTTGTAGAATCTTGGTCTCTGTTGTCTGCGGGTATCCGAAATCCATCATCTCATCCAGCAATTCGTAAATGACGACAAAGTTATCCCGGATACTCTCCTCCTCCAGCACCTTGAAATATTCGGTGAAGACCTCCACCAGCTTGTGGAGGAAAAGTAGAATTTCGGTGGCATTTGTGTTTCGTTTGGTTAATGCGAGGATGTACAGGTTGCTGTGGCGGATATAAAGGTACTATATAGAAACACCTCTGTGTTAGTAGGTGGGGAGCACACAAAAGGAGACACTCAGGAGAGTGTGGGGTCGGAGCGGAATGCCTAGACTTGGTGGAACGCACGTTAATTCCCTCGTGAGAGAAGCAGGGAGGCACTGCTGAGCTCTCTTCTTCGGCGTCACTGAGAAGGATAGGGAATTTCTCGACCGCGGACATGGGAATATCTCCGCGATAGTTGCGGGCCAGTAGGGTCTATACATGGTCAGCGGGAGGTTGTCCCTGAACGCATTGGCGACTTTCCCATCAGTGAGTCAAATCGCCATGCTGTTCACAAGGCCCAATAGCCTACCTTGCCCTTAAGGTCGAGGAAGAAGAGTGCGGACGCCATGACGTGTCAATGGGGGTAAATAGGTGACGGGAGAGTTGGGTGATCTGGTCTTTTCAAGGTAGGGGGTGAAAGCAAATAATAACAAAACCGCCTTATGCGCCTACTGCAGCATTGTCATTAAAGAGAACAAATAAAATGTAGTAGAGGTGAGAAAGGAGCAGATCAGCGGATGATTGTTGGCGATGCCCGCAATGTCGGAGATAGACGCTAATCTAAAGGCGGACTAGCGTGGTAAAATCACACATAAAAGCTCGTCGCGCACTTTTTATTTTCTTCTTTCTTCCAACGCTCCCAATAGACAGTTCAAGGCAGTACAAAGTCCTTGTGATTTTCTACAGTTACTCTGACATTCTGTCAGGGTTCTGTGGTGTATTGATAACTACCTTGCGATACAGAGGCGCGGAGACTACAATCTTACGAGGGTTCCATAAGAGCTGGCCGAGTACTTTCTCTGTTACTCGGGCGGCGTCAGAGGAACCGTACATTTCTATAACTTCAATTGAATTTCTTTTTATCAATAATCTTCATATCTCCTAAAAC